TGGAAAAAAACCCCCGGGGGTGCAATCCCACTTTGAAAAACTTTTATATTACAAACACCATTTATTACCTTTTTACAGAATTTAACCGCCACAACATTTAATTCCCCCCCCCCCCCCCCCCCCCACCACCACCACACGTCCCCTTCTTTCACAAGCCAAAAATGTCCCAGTCAGACGGTGTTCCTCAGACGAACGGCGCAGCCACACACGGCAAGCCTGATTACTTGAACACTCTCCCCGGTGCCGACCATGAGTGGAAGATTACCCTTGAGGGAAAGGTTATTGCTAGTAAGTAAAAATGAAAAGGAGGGTTGATCGCTAGCCTCAATATCATCGCCTCTAACATTAGCCACAAGTCACCGGCGCCAACCAAGGTATCGGCCTTGGCATTGCCCAAGTCTGCCTCGCCAACGGTGCCGCCACCGTCTACAGTCTCGACATCAGCAAGCCCGGCGAGGACTTCGCCAGTCTGGAGAAGAAATACCCAGGGCGGTTTGAATACCTGACCGTGGATGTGACCGATGAGACAAGCGTGGCAGCCGCTCTCGACGCCATTGTTGCCTCCAAAGGTCGATTCGACGGCATGGTCGCCAACGCCGGGGCTACCAAGCACCAGCCGGCTCTGGAGTTCACCGGCGAGCAGGTAGAGAAGTTGTTCCGGCTAAACTTTATTGGGGCGTGGAACTGCGCAACGGCCGCGGCCAGAATGTTCATTAAGCTCGGGTGCAAGGGCAGCATCGTCTTCACCGCCAGCATGACCAGCTACCGGCCCAACCGGGCTGCGCCGTCCGCACCATACGGAGCTACTAAGGGCGCCGTCCGGAACATGACCCACACCCTAGCCATGGAGTGGGCTCAGTACGGCATCCGGGTGAACAGCATCTCGCCCGGCTTTGTGAAGACGGCCCTCACGTATTACGTCGAGACCGCCCCCGACTGGGACACCAAGATGAAGTACTATGGCGGCATGCCCCGGTTGGCGTTGCCACAGGAGTTGGGTGGCGCTTACGTCTATCTCCTCTCTGAGACGGCGACGTACACGACTGGTATTGATATTCCTATAGCGGGTATTGTTGGTGCTTGGTAGTTGTAGGGAGTTGTCTAGGTGGTCTAATTAGTTTAATTCGCGCTCAAATGGGTATTATCGTTATTTATATCACCACACAGACGGCGCAGGTCATCGCATTACAGCAATTTTAGCTTGGATTTATCTAGCACTGCAACTAGCAGGAAATGTCTTCCGAAGAATATCTGGTCTTGGGCCTGTTTGACTGTTGCTAACACTGCTAATATTCTCCACCGCGGTCTTCAAGACGACAATCCCCCGCGCATAGGGCTTTGCAAGAGAGAGACGGGGTAGAAATTGCGACGCGGATATTTTACGCTACGAATGGAAGCGTCTCCACTAGAGCTTGTGATGCGCTGGAATTGGCCAATATAGGAATAGAACCAACCTTTAGTGTCTCTTATCGCTCTCCTAGCGCAGCCGCCTGGGCGAGGACCTGGCTTCACCCCCGACTCGAGGGTGAGATTGAGCGCGAGACGAGGATGCAGGAATGAGAGGGAGAAGCACCGTGATCATGTATCGAGGTATCCATTAAGCTGTGAACTATCTTAAAGGTCATAATCCTCGATATACCAATATGTATCTGCACAGCTGCGGTGACTTAGAGCCCCGTCAACGCCTTGCCATCCTCTCGTAACCCTCTCTCCACGCCGCCGAGCGCGTGGTGACAGACTCTCAACACAACCGCTCCATCCGTCGCACGCGGCAACTAGAAGGGCTTGTATCCCACACCTTTGACAAATGTCTGCGACCAAGGCCCCTGTGATTTCCCCTCAGCGAGTTCTACATAGAATTTTGCGTGCGCTTCTCCGTCGATGCCAGTCCCAGCCGACGACCCATCAGCCTTCCGCTCGTCGCCATAATAGAACCTAACAATTGTCAAATCTCGTCGTTTGTGGGGAATCTTCTGAGACAGAAAATTGCATACTTGAATCCTCGGTCTTTGTATGCTGCCGCAGCAGACTGGATGATGTGCGCGGTGGCCGACTTGCCGACACCCAAGTCCAGAAGCGGCGCCATGGTAGTGGTATTCAGTATATTTCCGGTATAGATGAATGTCCTAGATGCAGAGTCGGGGAGCTGTTCGAAGCCGAGTGCTGCTTGCTGTGCTGCAACAAAGGCGCTGACAGTGTTGACGTTCAGATCCCGAGTGAAGTCTGCCAGAGGGAGCGAGAGCGGGTCATTTGGGGCATTCGGGGTTAGTGCGGCAGCTATCTAAAGCTTCAACAAAAAATTCGAACAAGTTACTCGGTAGTAGTTCTCACCATTGTAAACGACAACACTTGGCGGGACACCTAGCAGCGATTTGACTTTGGAAAATGCGCTGACAACAGCGTTTGGATCTGACAAGTCACCCGGGATGTTGACTTGGTCAGCAGTGTTGTCCGTGTGCTTGAGACTCCTGGCTGCCAGGGCAACCCTGTAACCCTTTGAAGCAAATGCTCGAGCTACATGATGGCCAATGTTGGACCCCGCGCCGAGTATGAGGACGACTGGAGATGTGCCAGGCATGATTTTGATTCCGAGGTAGATTTGGTAGAAATGAAGAACAGTGCCTGTAATTAGAGCAAGATGTCTCTTGTGCCCTTGCTATAATTATACCTGATCAGAAATGCATGCAATGAGTATCACGCAATGGGTTCGTGCCTGTGCGGAAATCCGACGATTTGAAATCAAGTATTATAAGTCCATACGTATTTGAAATCATGAGTTTGTAATCAATCATTGGACAGTGAGACACCTTTCCAAAGAGCGCCTCCATACCGACCCCCCCATTTACCCATCCCGACCCCCCCCCCCCACATAAATGACCTGGTATCGGCCTGCCCGCAAAATTTGTATGGGCGCAAGATTCGAAGGCCATTTTACAAGCAGCTACGTCACTAGCCAAAATGGCTACTGCTATAGACCTGTCAGACCTGTCAGCCAATAAAGCTATTTCTAGCCGCCTTTCTAGCCCTGATTTGGAAAACTATAGTATTGAGTGGGATAGAGAACCATGGCCTAGCCTTCCACCTGACAACCCTGCTGCCCAAGCCTTACTAAGTCAACAATTCCCTAACTTTGAGGCTCTTGCCTTTGCCTTAAGAGACTATTGTCAAGGCCATAGCTTTATAGTTGCAACCTGGCGGACCAAGAATAATAAAGCTAAGACAAAGGCTGTAAAGGCAATCCTAGTTTGTGACCAAACTACCTGTTACAAGCAAGAATCTACAGCAACTACAATAAAGACCTACACGACAAAGATAGCCAACTGCCTATTCGAATTGGTTACCTAGTCTCTTGCCGCCAACAAAGGCAAGTAGACCATGCAGTTTGGGAATAACGTCCATCGCAGCTATAGACCTTTATTGGCTTTAGTAGCCTATTGCAGCCTTTAAACCCTGACTTAAAAGCAGCTGCTTTATATTGGTTGCCTTTAGCTTGATTGCACAGTCTCTTCGCAGTCTATATTTGACTAGCTTCTTAGGCAGTGGCCTAGATTAAGCAACATGTATTGACTAAAAGACATGTACTAGCTATAGTATCAAATCACCTATGCAGACTAGAATAAACAAAGCCTAGTCTACTGTTTTTTGCAAACTCTGCAAGAATCTAAGGAGATATGGAATTGAAGGCTAGACTGAGACTCTTAAAGCAAAGAGCCTTGCTTTTAATAAGCTACCTAGACCTACTATAAGGAGGCTTGCGTGTAGATGCAGTCTTCCTACTGCCTCTAAATTGATGCCACCTACAAGACCAATTGCTACAAGATGCCACTAGTCTCTCTAGTTACACTGTCAAATAAGAAGACCTCTATCCCTGCTGCGTTTGCCTTGCTTAATAGCAAGCGGTTTAAGAGCTTCCAATGGTGTATAGAAAGCTTCTAGGCTTTCCAGGAGAAGGTCAATATTGATCCTCCTAAGATGGTAATCATAGACAAAGACAACCAACTTCAAGCGGCAATATAGGCAGTTTAGCCAAGTATATAGCTTTAACTTTGCGTCTTCTATATCAATAGCAATATAGTCTTGAATATCAAGCTAAAGTGAAAGAAGGCTGCAGTCAACCTAGCTGATTTGGATAGAGATAGTGGCAATGAAGACAATGGCAACAAAGACGACAGCAATGGAGAGACTTTGGAAAAGAGAGAGGCTGATTTGGATTAGCTTAAACGCGCCCACGTTAAGATCAAGGAGATGCAAAGCCACTCACTTAGCCTGCTTCCACTTCCACATACAGTATCAAAGAATCAAGCTAGCTTCTACCTTCTCTAGAGGCACTGAGGAGGAGAGACACAAAACCACCTACCTACCTACCTCTCAACGTAGTATACTGCTTCTGAGGCGTAGGCCCCAACGGCAGTAGCCACGTGATCGGCTGGCAGGCGGATGGAATCGTGCTTCTTCCTTACCTCTGGCGCACGTGACTGGTCAGGTGACCCTGATCAGCCCCGATGCGTCTCGCGGTAGTGCCCAAATCCAGTCGTGTAAGTAAGGTGGGAAAACGCCGGTGGCGTGATCAATTGAATTGAAGGCGTAAGGAAGGAATGGAATGCGGTAAATCAAGTATTATTGCGTAGAAAGCCTCGAAATAACTAAGGTGTAAAGAGTGCTGCTTGTAAATCCGTGTAAGTCTGCGTAATTGATGATGATCTTACAATTTGAGGCCCTGATCACGCTCTTATATGGAAGCGCAGAAAATCCGGTCCGAAGCTGACTCATCCTAGCCTGAAGCGGCCCGTGCCTTTTCCATTCACCACGTCAGCACGTAGTATATGGCAATACCAAGGAGGATTTTAAGCATGCCTAGGCACTGCTTCAGAAGGTCTTCAAAGATCAAGAGCCACTTCTACAATACGTGAGAACCAAGTAGTTGCCATTAAAGAAAGAGTAGGCATATTGCTTTACCCAATCTTACCGCAACTTTGGCTTTATTACTACCTCTCTGGCAAAGTCAAACAACAGCTTTTTGAAGACGTATAGCCTTTTGTTACAGTCTGACCTTCCCAAGGTTAAAGTAGCAACTGCGCGCCAGACGAGAGACAAGGCACAGCTATGCAAAGAGAAGATAATTGCAGCCTATACTATAATCTGGCAATTGTATGGAAGACGAGAGTGGCTAGGCAAATTGCCACTTACCGTTACATGGTAGTGCCTTTGTTAGTTGGAATCGCTCTATTTGAAAGCAGTAGACACGTTGCTATCACCTTGTTGGCTAGCTGGAAGACTACTTCCACTCTGTACAGGGAGTACGCGAAAGCAATATGGCCTACCTTGTGCCTATAAACTTCTAGATTTATACTATGAAGAAAGAGGACTTTAGAGAAGCAACGTGGATCCATTTTGGTGGATAATAACTAGGCAAGATGATATTGATCCCCTTCTTCAAGCACGTCGACTGCATATGGTAATACCAAAGGGAAGGCCGCAAGGAGAGGGACTATTCAGAAATAAAGCCCCTATTGCCTCACAGCCACAGGGCTCAACGCCAGGCGGTATACGCCACTCTGCACAAAGAAACTACTCTCAATTTAAGCTTGGCCCTACGCTAGATGATAAAGATTCCAGGGATTCCAGAGATGCCGAAAAGGAAAGGCACGAAGGTGGAAGGAAGAAGCAGAAGACTGCTATGCCTAACCCATGGCTAGGCAGGATCGAAAACGCTAGGCGTAAGGAGGTTCAGGAGGTTCAGGAGGTTCAGGAGGTAATCCACGTACAGGGCAACGAAAGACTAGACGACAAAGAAAGCCCTGAGTTTAGGGTGCTTTGCGAGCAGTATATTCAACAGGCACAGACAAGGCAGGCAGAAAAGGAGGTCTAGAGACAAGGTTGTGGCAGTCACGTGCATAGATCTAAACGTTCAACACTACTCAGATATAAAAGTTACTAGTTTTGGCTTTGCAAATAGCTTCATTTTTAATTTGTAGTCCTATTACTGCTTTTGCGATCATTGATTTTGTAAATGCCTTCGAATCTTGCGCCCATACAAATTTTGCGGGCGGGCTGATACCGGGTCATTTATGTGGGGGGGGGGGTTGGGATGGGTAAATGGGGGGGTCGGTATGGAGGCGCTCTTTCCAAATGACATCATTCTCCCGCGCTGACATGTTCGTCCAATATGCACTAAACTATGCAGTAAACTACCAAGGGATATATAGAAATATTACTAGAGATTGCAAGAGAAACGATTTACGCCATGAACAAAGAGTGCAACAGCGGCTGTGGCGTCAAGGTTACCCAAAGCCTGTGGCTCTGACCCGGTTCTTGGCCACATCCCGGGAAATTCAAGAAGGGAGATGGTGTCTTCCCCCGATTCCCCATTGGGTAGAGATATTGTGTCCAGGGCCCCTGACCTGCCAACTTGGGTCAGACGAGGTAATTTGGCTTCATGGATAGAGGACCTTCCAAGGAACCGGCCGTCTGCAAAAATAATAAAAGACCACCGTCGATCCACTGGGCAATTGTTTCGAATTATGTTCTTCCGCCACTAGTTTCCCTCTTCCTCCATGGCATGCATTTGCTGGCTCGACGGTCATTAGCCATTGTAGGCGGGTAGATAATCAATTAGACGAACGATCCACGCCGAAATTTGCTTTAATTAATTAATCTGTTGAACTTTGAACCCTCCCACAGCGCGGCATGAGATTGAAATGCAACGCAGGATGCTCTCCCGCCATCAATCAAACACATAGGATAGATTCGCACACACCTTGTGAAGTCTTATATAGGGCCACAACCTGCTTCGAGACGTGACGTCGTATCAATGTTCTACGGTCTATCGACTTCTCCCACGGCCCTCTCACGATATAATCACCATGCAGCTAAAGAATCTCATCGTCCACGTTGCCCTCATAGGGGCCTGCGTGGCAGCTCCAAGCCGTCAACAGAAGCGTGACGATGCAGACATCCTCGACGGCGTAATCTCCAATCTAACCGCGGTCCTGGACAAGCTCGACACCGAGATCAAGGCGAGCCGGGAGAACCCCCCCCTTTTCCTCGCTCGCATCCACCAACTAACAAAGCACGACTGAGAATCAAGGCCCTCACCAACACGACCGACACAATCCAATCCATCGCCTACGGCACATACGACATCTCGGCCGCCCTAACCTCCGCGAGCGCCTCCCTCGCCGCCCTCGCCGGGCCCCTCCCCGCATCCTCCCTGCTAGCGCGCGGCCCAGCGGCGTCCTCGCTGCGCGACGGCGCCAACGCCGTGCTGGCGGGTATTGCGGGGGCGCGACCCATCTTCGTCAAGCTCAACTACGTGCGCGACCTGGTGGAGGCGCTTGGGAGGATACGCAACGAGACGATCGCGCTGGGGGAGGTGGTGGTCGCGAAGGTGGTGCCTGCAGCGGTGGGTGGGGGGGAGGAGGGAAGCGGTGCGGGGGTTGCGGTGAGGGTGGAGGTGGAGGGCGTTGCCGCGGGGATTGAGGAGGCGATGGAGGTGATTACGGGAAATTTGACGCTTTGGGTGCCTTGTGACGAAGATGGGTTTGAGTTGTGCGGATTTAATTGAGAAAAATGGGGCGGACTCTAGAAGGTCCATTTATTAACAACATACGCACTCGGCCCCTCTGTGATGCGCCTGGTTGCCACGCAAGGACGTCCGTCGATGGACGACCTGCACAAGAAGCTGGGTAAGAGTCGTTGCCTTGTCCCTACACGCAACTAGCCTGTAGTACTAGAGGATGGGCTTCCGAACTAGTAGCACCCAGGCTAAGATAGCCGTTAAACTCCTGCAGAACTGTGGCCCCCAACCACGCGCATGAAAGATAGAGGGTGACAGGGTCGGTGGAGCAGATCACCGGGTACACACTGTGCTGCGCATTGAAGGCCTGGGTGTCGAAGTAGATGTAGCCGATCCCCCGGTCGCTCTCCTGTGCGTAGACATTGACGCCGCCGAAATTTGGGTTATCCGGGTTGAAGAGCTGGCCATCCGAGTCAATGACCAAGGTGGAGGCGCTGCTCTTGTCGGTGGTGAACACTGCCAGAGCCGAGCCGCCGTTAGACGTCAGCTTGATGTATTGCCCGTCGTAGGACCCGCCCACCACCTTCAGCGCGGGGCGGGAGCAGGCGGTCGGTGCTGGGTCGCTCAATTGGGTCGTCGTTGTGGTTGTCGTGGCCACGACTTCGGTCGTCACCGTTGAGAAAACGGTAAGCGTCTCTGTTGTCAGGATGGACCTCTCGACGCCAACGGTGTTCGTCACAACCTGGGTGAGGGTCTGGGTGATCGTAGCCGACGGGGTTGGGGCGGTGACGGTGTGCGGGAAGACGCCGATGCAGGAGCAGGCACTTGAGTACTGGCCGGGAGCTGTGCAGCCCGAGGCGTAGGCGGGAACTCCGCTTGTTGGGGATGCGGCGCGACGCAAGACAGTACTCATCACTTTCGTGACGGTGGTCGTGACAGTATCGGTCTCGGTGGTCAAGATGGTGGCCGTGACAGTGTCAGTCTCGGTAGCGGGGATGGTAATGACGATGGTGTCCGTGGTTGTGACATCCTCCGTCTGGGTGGCCTCTACTGTCTCGGTAAAGGTGACGGTGGCAGGAGTGACGGTGGTAGCAAGGTAAGACGAGCAGTCCTGACTCCCGTGCCTTGTGGTGAAGGCACTTGCAACTACCTGCCGATAGCAATTGTTGGCATTGCAGCGGTTGCAAGTGGCTGCCTCGGCGGCTTCGAAGCTAAGGAAGAGGCCCAAAAGGGGGAGGATGCAGGAACGCATTCTTGTGGAAAAGGGTTAATCAAACCGAGTTGGATCGAAAGAGTAAAACAAAGGAGCAATTAATTATTAGCTGGCATATGAGGCGAAAGACGCCGTCTAGTCTAAGACAAAAGACCGCTCAGGTTGGTTGCTGAAAATAGTTGGGAAGATGCAAAACGAGAAGCAACGAGAGGATTGAATTTTTACAAATTATGTACAAATTATGATTGACTCCATGGTCATCATTGCTGGTCCCAATATGGAAGCTTGTCTGTGCGGCTGACATTAGCGGAAACCCAGTTGGGTAAGGGCCGAACAAGCTATTGATAGCTAGGGAGTGCTGGTTATGGAGACAGACCAGGTGCCAAAGGAAACTATCGAGATCCAGACCACGAAATACGGATTTCAGCCAGGGCCACGCTCTAGGTCCCGCAATTGTCATGAATGCGCTAGGCTATATTTGGATCATTTTTCTGGATTACCCCATGCATCCAGAAGCTTGTTTGTTTTGGTTGCAGGTCTGCTAGGAGCTTCCTTTCAGGCCGACTTGCGCCAGTCTTTGAACTCGGAAAATGGAGACCCCATATCGAGAGTGGTTCCTGAATGGGTCAACTATGATTCATGAACTTGGAACTGGCGGGTACTTATACGCCACCCAGGCCAAAACAAGCTGAAGCAGCCCAACATTGAAGGATAACAATCCAAAGAGCGCGGACAAAAAAAGGCCCACGATGGCTACAGTCAGTGCATTCCTCTCTGATGTATGCCTCTCTAGCCAGGCGACCATGACCTTGTTTTCTGCCGCCACAGCGAATTTGAGGACATGAATGAATGGCCTTTTGATGAGTAAGGAACTCAAGTACCAATGCTGCCTTCGCCGGCCGTCCCGGAAATATTCATGGAAGGGGAGGCAGGCGTCGACCATCGAGGAGGACCATAGGCCATTTTTCAACTTGTACTTCTGGCGTCAACGTATACCCAGGACTCTATACTGGGGCCAGCAATTCGTTCGGATACATTCTCAACTGCGCACTCCACCACAACGGCCAGAGACCCATCCGCATATGTTGCCTGGATTGACCATGTGCGGCTCCATCGTCGAGCTTCTCGGTAGTAAGTCCAGCATCTCTACCCTAGGTTGTGTGATTAAGATAGACTCCAAGTTCTGTGCCATCACATCGATGCACGCATTCAGACAATTTGAGCCAATGAAGTTTCTTCATAGCGGGGAGATGTCGGACTACCGGTCAGTAGAGAGTTCTAGCGCGGGTACTTCCGCGGACGAGGCTGCGGAGCTTCCTGTCTGCGACGAGGAGTCTCTCTATGGCTCTGATACCGATCCTTCCGATGCAGTGCTTGAAGATGGCTACTATTTCATCGACGATGTCGAGTATGAAAGCCTAGCGAAGAAGATGAGGGGGAGCTAGATCTCATCGACAGCCGCTCAACCGGTACGAAGGGCTCCTATGGCGGAAAGATCAGCGGTCAAACAAGGGACGCCAAAGAGATGCTCGCATTATTCCCTATGCCTCGTGAGCTCGACGAATCTTGTGGACTGGCACTGGACTGGGCTCTCATCAAATTAGATGACCAAAAAGTCTGGCGCCACAATGCCTTCGTTGATCCCAGCGTCTCATCGAACCCCGTGTTTCTATCGGAAGTGGCTGAATCTCAACCAACCCGGTAGACGCCAGTTTTCACAATCACGGGTGAAACAACACCTCAAAGAGGGATGCTCCAACTAGAAGAGGCGTATAGGAAGGCCACCGCGGGGCTTGATGGAACCAACCCGATGCTCCTCGCTACCTCCAACTCCATTCATCCGATGCCACACCCGATATCTCAGACGATCAAAATCCTCCCTGCAATACGCTGTATGTGGGTAACTTGCCCATCGACACGTCCGAGGAAGAACTGAAGGCCATGTTTTCCAAGCAGAGAGGCTACATGCGTCTCTGCTTGCGCACTAAGCAGAATGGCCGTATGTGCTTCGTTGAATTTGGACGTCTCACATGCGACCAAGGCACTCTATGAGCTCCACGGACACATGCTGCACAACAGTGTGAAAGGAGGCATTTGATTGAGTTTCCCCAAGAATCCCCTCGGCGTTTGATCCATGCAAAACCCAGCCCAGAATAACACTGGTTCCATGGGCAGCGTTAACGTGATGGTTTGCTCCGGCCATGGCTTCACCACTACAAACGGCCCACCGCCCGGTCTCAGCGCTCCCCCAGGGCTTGGTCTCGGCGAGATGCCTTACGACACAAATTCGAATGGCGATCCGTATCTAACACCAAGATTCGCCAACGATACGAGCGGTGACTGGGGCTTCCACGGGGCTCTAGCGACTGGCGGCCCCAACTAGGTCTTAACTAACCAGCACGACATCTGGCTATCTATCCTAATCAGCTTGAGGAACCGTCCAGGGTCCATTCATCACGGCGCGAATCATTAATGTCAGTCTCATTCAGCTTTAGATATGCTATCGATAAAACAGGTGGGACGCGACGAGTGTTAATTAATTAGTCCCCCAGGGGTTTTCTCTGACGAGAAATTACACCAAATCCCTAATTACTTCTTGGCCTCCTCTGAGTGCCTCACAGCGGCCAGTTCGGTGTGCTCCAAGCCCCCGGTCTTTTGAAGAACGTATTCCACGTCAGCCCGGCGCTGCTCCTCGGTAACCTCGCCAAACAGGATGTCCATGTCTTCCAACGTGCGACCCTTGGTCTCTCTGAGGAAGAAGAAGACAAAGGTGCCCATGGCCATACAGAAGACGCCGAACATGATGAATGTCTTCCAGCCAATGTGGTGGATCGCCGCAGGCGTGACCTCGGTAATGACAAAGTTGAACAGCCATTGCGTGGTGGCAGCAAGGCCGACGCCATATTCGCGAAGGCGGGGCGGGAAGATCTAAGAGGTGAAGGGTCAGCGTAATGATACCAAGGTTCGGTAGAGGCTGACTGGGAACACCAAATCTGTCTAGGGGAAGTAAGGACAACTTACTTCGGAGACGTAAACCCAGGGCGTCGGGCCCCACGAGGCGGAGTAGCCGATGACGTAGAGGTAGATCATGGCGACCATGGCGATGGACGGCGGCATGACGGTGGAGGAGTCGGGGTTCGGAGGGTGAGTCGCGAGGACAGAGCCAATGATGAACATCATGCTGGCCATCCAGGCAGCACCTCCCAGCAGACTCTTCTTGCGGCCCCACCTGTCGATGCCGATGAGGAGGAAGATGCCAGTCGAGACGACCTTGACGGTGCCGTAAACGCCGGTGGCGAACAGGGACGAGTTGGTGCTGCTGACGCCGACCGTCTCGAAGATCTGGGGCGCATAGTAGCCGATGCTGTTGGTGCCCGAGAACTGCTGCCAGAACATGATGCAGAAGGCCAGGAAGAAGCGGTAGCGGTTGCCCTTTCGTAGACACTCCTTCCATGTGACGCCCTCGGTGGCTGCCAGTTCCTCCTCAGTGGCGGCCCTGATCTCGGCCATCTCCTTCTGTACCTCGGGGCTATCGGGGGCCTCGTTCCGCACCCATGACAGCGCGTCCAATGCCTCCTCGCTGCGATTCTTCTTCATCAGCCAGCGCGGGGATTCCTTGAGGAAGCATAGGCCGATAAGCATGAGCCCGCCGGGGATCATCTGGATCGCCACGGGGACCCGCCACTGCTTGGTGCTCTTGGGGATGTGCAGCGCCGCGCCGTAGTCGAGCCAGTACGCGAAGGTGCTTCCGATGACGAGGAACTCCTGGAACAGGCCAGAGACACGGCCGCGGATCTGCGGCGGGCAGTTCTCGCTGACAAACACGGGCGTGATGCTGGACATGCCTCCAACGCCGAGACCGGCAATGACACGGCCGGCGTAGATCTGGCCTATGTGGTGTGTCGAGGCGGTCTGTATGGCCGCACCAACGAGAAAGATGCTGACGAAGAACATGAGGGAGTAGCGTCGGCCGAATCGGTCGTTGACGAACGCCGCGGCGATAGCACCGAAGAAGCAACCGGCCGTAAGAAGGGACACGACATTGGAGGACACATGGGCATTCTTGCCAGAAGCGAAGCCGCCCTTGTCAGTTGGTAGGCCGAAGTCTTCCTTGAAACTATCGAGGGCGAGAACGCTCCCCATCACACCCGTGTCATAACCTGCGAGGGTCTTCGTGTAAGCAGCCTGGATGTAGACGAAGAAAAAGGGCCAACCATATACGTACCAAAGAGCAACGAGCCCATATAGGCCACGGATGTGAGCATATACACCCGGTAGTTCTTGAAGAACTTCGTCTTGACGGCCGCCATGCTGAGATGATGCCTTTCGTGGGACCCTAGGTTCTTGTTTGAGTTGACTGTGCTCGAGAGGGAGAAGAGAACACCGGTGATATGATAAACTAGAGTCTGAAAGTGAGAGAAGGGATTATTTCTCGTCGACTTATGGGTGGAAAACCACATGCAATATATCAAGAATTTCTTCCCCGGGTTCTGCCCTGAAATCTGGTCTGGTCGGGCCGAGCCCACCCCTTCATCCTCCCCACAGGGGCCCCAAAACGGGACAATGAGGGGGAATGTGGAGAAAACATGTATTGTAGGCAAGGATCGGCGTGGGTAGTGTGGTGCCGGATTACCAAGAATTGCACCAGCCTGACTCTCCAACCGCTAATGTGAGACGAATTACGGATTACTTCAAACAACCTCGTCCAAGATTTTTCAACGTTAGCTCCAATAGCCAGTGGGGTCATGTTGCCTCGAACTTCCAATTTTGCAACCCCCTCCATCCCCAATTTTTCAGAGCTAAGGTTTAGAAGCTGCTCACTAAGGAGGGACGGGGGGCTAACTTCAACCCGATTCGCCTGCTTTGGTAGCCGGCATCCAGCACCGGCACCCAGAACCGCCATTCGGCACATGCGGCACCGGCATTCGCACCGGCGCTTGGCACCCGGCATTCACACCGGGGCCGCCCCACGGTATGATACTTACGCCTAACCTAGAGTTAGAGTCGTGGGGGTGCTTTTGGTTTCATAGCTCTAGACTTGGCTAGCCTTGATCACGGATTTCCTGCGCATCCATCCCATGCAATATACATAATCGCATCAGCTTCAGTCATGTACATACAATACAATGCCAGCAATAGGGTTACTGCTTTTGACCTTCGTAGTCTCGCAGATCCCAACATGCGCTCCTCAGATAGAGTCTGCTGCATGCCCTCTCTACGAACAAAAGTCCCTGCTGCTATTGTTAATTAGTCTTATTCTGTCTTGTGCAAGGCTGTTCAATCACTTCTACATCTTCCATCCATCTCTAGTGCTTGGGAAATGATGTGACTACTCCAATTTCTTGGACCCGGGACTAGACTAGGCGCTAGAGTTGATGCGAACTATTGCCGATGGTCGGCTATCCTTCCCGCTACGGTATGCTAAGTTAGTTACCAAGCCTCTTTTCCTCGAGACTCTGTCTTTCGAAGACCATCCTCTTTCCCTTGTTATCCCATTTTATTTTAACAGCTCACCGCCCCATGCCTGCTCTCGGCATTCGCTCACATACTACATACTTCCTCCCTTCTTGTGCCGCTTGCGCGGCTGTGGCAAACGTCGGAGTTACAATGCCGGCGAGGTTGTTAAAATTTAACGGGCAAAACTGGGTCACACTGGAGCGCGCTAGACAACAACGGTGTGGAGTAACCCAACACAACCCAAATCACCGCATCCACCACCCCGCGGGGGGATTTCTTTGGGATTCATTTTTGACTCTAATTACCTAGCGCATGTGCAAAGTGAACTAATTACACAATAATTCCCAACAAGGTCGGTCTCATGGTTGGAGAGTGTGAGGGGCAATGCGGGGAAACTGGAGAGAGGGTTGTGAGACGGGAAACTCCGAGAAAAATAGCCCTACTCAGTACATGGACACTGACTCGAGCTCGTGTTGACTTTGAGCTTCGGGACCAATCCGCTCGCTAGCCTTACCCCGGCATTCAATCCGGCATGTTTCTAATCAGGACTTGTTTGATTACCTAGCCACCATTTGGTTGCAATGCAATAGAAAACCACGCGATTGTACCCACCGCCCCGTGAGGGAGTATCCGCACATCGTTTCCCATCTCTTCGAGCGTGTGCTAAACTAGCAAGCCTACCTACACTACGGTGTGAACACCGACTTCGTCGGTGAATGTACTCAGTGGCTTGCCGAAGAAAAGCTTGTCAACATACAAGCAACCCCCAACTTTCCAAGGCCGGATCATCCCGGCCACTTACACGATGATTGGTAGCCAGCTGGTAACCCTGGTAATAAGGCTCCGTAATAGCCAGCTCTCTACGACCACAACCCGGACAACAACCCGGACAACAGCCCGGAACCCCATGCTCTAAGCACGTTTTCCGAGTCAGGATCCTTTCCCCAGATGGAAGGAGCCATCTCACCTCCGTCCCATCTTGGGGAATCCTGGGGTATCTTGTATCTAGTTCGACCTGACTTGGCCGATCCTTGGAGTCACGATTGTTTCCCCGCAAAGGTAACAAAGGCAGTTTAGCAAAACAACAATCACCCTCACTTAAGCTGGGGTATATATTGACCAGGCCTCGCCCCCGAGGATGGTGATTCTCAGACAAGCCTTCAGCTATAGCCTCTCGACAACCTCCGTCCGTCCTTGTTAATTCCTTGTCAACATGGAGACTCCACGATGCCTCAAATCTCTGCTTGCATTCGCAGGGAGCATTGGTCTCGCCCTTGCTTGCCCGCAGAACATAGTGAGCTCTCGAACTCTGAAGGTTCCGAACTCTCCACCCCCAGGACGGCAGATTGTCGACGGGAACTACCAGTCCTATTCGATTGAGTACAGCTACATGCAAGACTTTGCCGGGAACAACTCGTGCGTGGCCTCAAGCTTCCTTCCCACTCCTTCTCCGATTCAGAGAGCGTCGACTAATACATGGCCTTGATAAGACACCCCAATGAGTTCTCGGCACGCATGCTCCAGAACCTCAAGGACATCTCGGGAGCCTACCCCATGATCCGCGTGGGCGGCACCACGATGAACAAAGTCGTGTACGACGCGAACCAGTCGGAAGCAGTGATCCTAACATTTGTGAACCCCACCGACGATCAGCCCTCGCGGATGACGATTGGTCCGTCGTGGATAGAGTCTTTCCACCAGTTCCCCGAGGGAACCCAGTACATTTACGGTCTGAGTTTCTACGACCCGCATGACCCCCTAATCCAGGGCCGGAACGGGGTCGACGAGACGGTGGCCGAGGCAAAGCTTGCCTATGACGGCCTAGGTGATAGCTTGTACGCCTTCGAGATTGGAAACGAGGTCGACTGTGAGTTATCTGTCCTTGCAAAGTAAGCTTGAGTTTACTTGGATGGTGGGCTGACACGTCGGCAGTCTGGCCGTGCAGCGTCAAGCCCTGCAACTGGACGGTGGAGCAGTATGTCCCCCAGTGGAACGAATACGCCAACGCTGTCCAGGCGGCGGTTGGGGATTACGGACCCATTTTCCAGGGTGGCGTCTTCGCGCCCCCCGAGGGAGTCGGCTACAACGAAACGCCCTTCTGGAACGTCGAAAACGCCGTCAAATTCGGGATGAATCACACAAAGGCCAAGACCCTTTGCGACCACGAGGTATGTTTTTCGTTCCTCCCTTCCAGTGGAGATATAATTACCCAGCGCCACTAACTTTGTCGTCAACCACTACACAGTACATGGGGGTCAACTGTCCCGGCTACGGACCCGTCCCAACCATTGAGCGCAACCTGCTCAACCGTACCCAGATGACGAGCCTGGTGTACAACCACGACTACCTCGGCAACGCGACTGCGGGCTTGGGAATGAAGTACGTCATTGGTGAGACCAACTCGATCGCGTGCCAGGGAACTCCCGGGGTCTCGGACGTGTTCGCCGAGGCGCTGTGGTCGGTCGACTACATCATGTACCTGGCCAGCCTCAAGGTGGACCGCGTGCACTTCCACATGGGCACACCCTACCGCTACAGCCCCTGGCAGCCGATCGACTATCTCAACAAGACGGCACAGGTCAAGCCGCTGTACTATGGCAACCTCATGACTGCCCGGGCCTTTGCGGGGGGCAACAAGCAGGTCGAGGTGTTGGTCAACGAGACCTTGTTTGGCGCCTATGCCGTCTATGACGCGGGCAAGGGCCAGGGCAAGTGCGGCGGCGGTGCCACACCCGAGTCCGTGGTCGTGACCAACATGGCCATGTGGAACTCGACGCAACCGGAAGGCCAGCGACCCTACACCAAGGTCCAGCTCCCCGTGGAGTTCAGCCATGGCAAGGTCAGGAGGTTGACCAGTCCCGGCGTCGATGTTGCCGAGAACATTACCTTCGCTGGGCAGTGGGTAGATGACCAAGGTTATATCCACGGAGACGAAGTGCTTGAGGATGTGCAGGATAGCTCGGTAGATGTGGGTGCTGGTGAGGCTGTCCTCATCTCCATTTAACATGGTTCAGTTGTATCTAGCTTTGCTGCGGTAATCGAGGAGCGAAGAGGGCGGATGGATGACTTGGCCATGGGGCCGCATCAGTCCGAATCAGTATGAGGATGGGCAGAAAGCATAATTAATGCTTGAACAAATGCAAAGTGTTGAGACAGACTGGGATAATGGTCGTCAAAGAATCATCGATTAGTACCGTGAAAAGGAAATTAAATCTCCAGTTAAGCATCTCAATTCTTATGCCTCAAGGAGAAGCTACTGCTATGACCTAAACGAACTGTAGTCTTCTCGGGACCGTGCAATACATAGACATGCTCACTGGCTGGCTGCATTTGGAGTCCATGTCAACCAACGATGGGGAGACCGGCATGGATGTCCCCACGCTTCACAATATTCGCAGCCTCCTCAGGAGAGCTTCCCGTGACATTGACGATCCTGCCCATCATATCGAGAAGATCATCCGTTGTGATGGGCACCTCTTGTTTAGACCAGCCAAGCTCATACGGCAAGCGTTCATTTTCTGCGAATAAAACCATGTATTAGCCTCGGCCTAAGACACGTATAATTACCTATTATTTAGATACGAAAATAGACCTTACCAAAGAGGTACTCCACCAAGGCCTTGGGTGCCGTTGCACTCGATCTGTCGCCAAAGACAATGATGTAAGCCGCCGTCTCGCCGTAGCTGAAGTTCGAGCCAAGTTCGGAAAGAGTAAAAGTGGGGTTGGTGATGGCCGAGGTTATCACGCGGGCATGTCGAGAGGCAGCGGCCATATGCAGGTCAATGACATCTCCTGTCCAGTATGACCTAGTCTCGTCGAAGATTGTCTGGTTGAAGATGTGGGCGTCGGCGAAGAAAGCATCTGCACGGCTTCATGCTCGTGGATTCGAGTTAGCTCATTTGCTGACCAGGCCAGAGGGCTGAAGCATACGGACCTTAAGCTTGCGTCATGCTCCAAGATGTCGTGCTGGTTGAGGTGGTCAAGTGAGAAAGTTGTGGCGTTGGGGTCTGGATTGGCGGTAATAGCAGACTCGAATAGGAATTGCCCGAGTGGCTCGTCAAAGTTCAAAGCTGTCTTCAGCGCCTTGATGGTAACGTCCTCGGAGATGTCTTTGCCGTTGTGCGGTAGGAAGCCGTGGTTTGCCAGACTGTTGAGCATGGGGCAAGGAGCTCGCACTGGCGACGTTTGATTAGAATTTGGTCATGGCTATTTGGGACTCTCTCTCGGGGCCTACCATCGTCAGGTCCAGGGGGTTGCCAGCCAGAAGGACAGGCGCTCCATGAAGACCGAGCAAACAACGGAAGAATCCCTGTCGCAATGTGGAGAAAAGTAGGCTTCATTTCGACTTGGGTTTCGTGACTGCTACTTGGCGTGATACTGGTTTGCTACCAACCTTGGAATAATTAGAGGATTTGGCCGAACATTTATATATCCGCTGCTGCTGCTGCTGCTTATCCAAGCGCAAACATGGCTGTTCGTCACGCCACGGTTCGGACTACGATTTACTCCAGTTGATGGGGAGAAAGGGGTTGAGCCGCGTCATCATATCGGAACGCAAATGCTTCCTGCGAGCATCCAGCGAATTGCACCCCAAAGCCAGCATCAAGGCTTGAGTGATGAGCGGAGCCGCGCATTGATTACCCAGGACTGTGACATGTCCTCACACAAGCACCAGGTAATTAGAGCAGAGGAATAAAACGTCGCGTAGGATTTTAGCTGGGGCCGCGAAAATGAAAGGCGATAGAAACGACGAAAGCGACGAAAGCGAGGAGCGCAACGCAAAACATTCTTAAAGCTCGTGAAGCGGCAGAGGATCGGCAACGGGGTGTTCTTGGCGCGGCAGGCAGGTGAAGTCAATGCGACGAGTCGACCAGTTAGAAGACGTTGATTTCACAGCCTGCTAAGACTCCAACACAGGTGGAGACCAAAATGCTCCACCATCCACATCGGAACCCAGCCCGGTATAGATTATGGGAGATCAGGCTCGGAGTGACTCTGGTTGTCGAGCGGTAATGGGATACCCCTGTTAAATTACCGCCATCTCATCGTCCTTGCGCACCTTTGACGGCATGATGGAGTGCAGCTTCTCGTCTCAACTATGCGCATCTCCATTCCATATAATTTTCTGAGGATAGTGGCTTCACAGGGGAATGCACTTATCGAGGTTATTACACGGAGAGTGAGACTGCTATAATCAGGGAGCTGACAAATGGTTGGGGTCATGTGATTTTGGAAGCGCCGAGATTATTCTGGGTTGCGTCCTTTTCTTGTCGCGCTAAACACGTTGATGATAGTCTCTGAACCCGGCCACTGTTATTAAAGCAAAAAGCTGGTGTCTTAGAATATCCCCAGACTTTATTGCTCACAGATATCTCTCTTTGCTTCACCCTTCGCATCATCAATATCGACTCGACGACAGACCCAACGTCACAACGAAATCCACCTCCACCTTTGAGACCACAAAGATGGGCAACGATGACAAGCTTCACCACATTACCTCGGCGGCCGAGTTGGAAAAGCTAATGGCATCGACAACGTACGTCGCTGTCGACTTCTTTGCCGATTGGTGTCCGCCGTGCAAAGTCATTGCACCCGTCTTCGAGTCTCTGGCGGCCACGCATGCCGTTCCTGGCATCCTCGCCTTTGCCAAGGTCAACGTGGACCACGTTCAGGAAGTCGCACGCACTTACCGCATCACCGCCATGCCGACCTTCATGTTCTTCAAGGAGGGGAAGCAGGTCGCAGTTAATGGGCAGGCTATGATTCAAGGTGCCGACCCTCAGACTCTCGGAGCTGCTGCGCAGAAGCTAGGCGGGTTGGCAGCGAAGAGGGCTGCCGAATCTTCGCAATAGAAGGGGGATTGAACTGTGAATTTTGGCTTTAGTCGGGGACATGGGGGAGAGCCGCGCTTACAGTCCAAGGCAATACGAGGCTGATCCGGGGGTCGACCAAGTCCGAATGTTCCTGATGGTAGATGCTCGAAAACGAGTAATTAATTAGAACTTCAAAGTCTGCGCGCCCTCTTCCGTAGAAACCACCGAATAATATCACCTTTTTACTTCGCGCTCTTAAGTGGCATTGCTGTCGAGGAATTAGACGCCTTCTTGTGCCTCTTTCTCCCCGATTCCTCTTGGCGGCGCAACACGGTCAACGCGACTGAGTGGGGGGCGAGCTTGTGAAAACCTATAAACGACAGAACGGACAATCTGCTCATTTCTTCGGGGATATGCAGCTTGCCCTGCAGCTTGCCCTTCAGCAGCGGCTGAGAAATCGCAGGGCTTCCCTGGTCGCTGCAAATAGCGATGGCCCAGTCATTCCCTGGGAGATCCCGACGATGACAGCTGTACACGTTCTACCATGGTCAATTCTGATATTCCTCATGCGAGAACGGGTGAGGGTCGCAAAAGAGTTCCGCGTGGTCAAAGTCCAGTGGGGTGCTTTGGCAAGATGGGAAAGATCGAGAAGACGGGGAGCAGGGGAAACTTAGGCGAAACTTAGGCTGCCAAGAAAGGGTTCGCAGATCAACATTGGCCTAGACCCTCATCCCCCGGCTGCTGCCAGTGTGAGGAGGCTGGCTCCCAATGGAGACTCGCCAAGAGGCAGAAAGAATGGTGGATTCAGAAGGGGCAACTTCCGGCACCAAGCGATTCTGTTTCATTTACTGGTGGAACATCAACTTTTCGGGTCTTGGGTATTAGAACGCCTCTCAGACTGATGTTATCTGCGACAGACAATGGCTTCTTGGATTTATTCGAACGAGGAGGACGAATTAAATGATTGTTGCGGGGCAACATCCACAAAACACTCGGAGAATATTTCACGGCCACGGGGACTTGGTCAGTCAGTAAGTACCCTTGTCTCGGTGAATGCCAGCCTAGTCATATCTTCTTTTCTGCAATGCCTTATTTCATAAATGGTGGGAGATGAGAGAAAGTGATAGTCGAGTGAGTGCAGAGTCGGTCCATTTGTATTAGCGCACAGCAAGGATAAATCTACCATAATTTCAAATTATCATGGAGCATGTCCGCCCCGGCTTCATACAGGAATCCAAGTCGGGCAGCGACCCAGCATTAGTACTGTGCGGCGAGCCCGATGCCTTGTTGATACACTTCACAACCTGGACGCAGGCCGGCTTCTACAAGACGGCCGACTTCAGTCCCGCAGTTGTGCGTGCCGGCGAGACGAGCCAGTGGAGGAGCAACCCGCCCGGCACCATGGTTTTCCACCACGTGCAATCGATGCGACAGGGCCCGACGACCAGGAACGTGTTTGTGGTGCTGGGCAAGGACCACGGCGGCAACTATTGGTTGACTGGGATTCTGCTGGCCCAAGCCTGGGCCAAGACTGAAGAGGATATAAATAAGATGTAACAACAGTGCTAGAGACTAAGGTGGAATGACTACACGGCCGGAGAACTTTATTACACGGCTATCAAGGTCCTGATGACATCATTTGCTGATATTATATACCCCAATTGTTCCATAGAGCCCCCTGGTCCCAATACTAGGACCAATTATACAAGTATATCCGACCTTGTTTATTACGGAAGTGTGTAACCTCCGTCTATTATGAGATTCGAGCCAGTCATGTAGCAACAGGCATCGCTGCTGAGAAACACATAGATCTTCACATTGGTTCTTTTAGTTTGCGGCTCAAAGAATGGGTAGTAACTGCGGTTTTACTTACACCCTTCAGCTCCGCCGGCGGACAGATTCGCCCTCCTGGAATCATGGATAGCCACTTGTCAAACAGCTCCTTCGGCTGCCGTGTCAACACTGCTACTGCGTTAATACAGCGTCTTCCAATCATTTTCTGGGCTGGTACACAGAGAGTGCATGTCGATAATACGTACTTTCGGTATGGATGTACCCGGGCGAGACGCAATTCACCCTGGCAAAGTCGGCCCACTCAACAGCGAGGCTCTTAGCCAGCTGCAAAACGCCGGCCTTGGATGAGTTGTACGCGGCCTGCGTCTGCGGCACGTTGACCAGCGTGGCGCTGACCGAGGCCGTGATGATGAGGTTTCCCCGCCCCTGCCTCTTGAAAATCTTGCCCGCCGCCACCGCCGTCCACATGACCCCGTCGTAGTTGACGCTATTCATGTGCTGCCAGCTCTCCTCCGTGTACTCAAGAGACGGCACATTTGCGCAGACACCGGCGTTTGCGACGACAATGTCGAGGTGACCATGGCCGAACTCCTCGGCTACCTGATTGATGGTTTGCGCTATGGCCTTCCGGTCAGTCACATCGGACTGATAGGCCTGCACCCGGACGCCCGTCTTCTCCGCGATCCTGGCCGCCGTGGCTGCTGTGTCTGTGCTTGTCTTGTAGATGAAGGCAACGTCGGCCCCGGCTTCGGCGAGGCCGGTCACGACCTGCAGACCAATGCCCCTGGAGCCGCCGGTCACCAGGGCAATTTTTCCCTTGAGGGAGAACTGCGAGAGCACGGGGGCATCCACGTCGGCTGGTTGAGGGAGGGGCATGGTGTCGACAATATGTATGGGCGCCTCTCTTCTTAGGGAATGGATGGATATGAAATGAAATGCAAATGAAATTTCAACCCACCATGGGAAAGGATATAAAGAGGCGGTGGAGGAAGGGAATTAGAAAAGGATAACTTTCCAAGTCCAAATGATTACTGGTAATTAAAAGATATCAATGGTCATGGAGATGCTCTGTTCTGCTGAGTACGGCCACAGTCTAATTATATACAACCCGTGATTGTAGCACAGCTTTTCTTCGCTTTCAAGACACAATTAGGCGCAACGACCTCCACCTCCCCTTCGGTTCCTAGTTGTCGGCGGGATAGCAAATTCTTCACGCTTTCTCCTCTGGTCGAGCCTTCGATGGAAGCTACTACAGGCCTAGAACAAACGGTGATGGTCGTGTCCTCAAGTCCCTCGAGTCGGCAAGATGCTAAAAAGATGAGGCTCAGATAGCATGCATAACTTCTCCTCGAGCCGTGGGCTGTAACCGGTGGATCGGTCTCGTCACGATGGGACCGCTTGGGCATGCGCACGTTAGTCACAACCCGGCCCTTCACTCGTCTCGAGGGCTGGGTTAGTGGAGATGACGACCTACTACCGCAAGCATATCCACTAAAATGGGGGCTCTCTCCTACTCACACGATTCGGCCACCCCATACATCCCGCAAAGTGGATCATCTTCCCCCGGGGGGGGACGTTGGTTTTATCCCAGTCCGGGGTTGCAATGCTTGTTTCTGGGGTTTGTCCGATAAGTACCAGTAATTACCTGTCAGCGACTTCAGTTTTCCCCACGCTTCGCCGGATGGCTCAACGGTTTCCGAACCCAATAACGCAGCCCTAAGAGACACCATAGTATAGGGGATCTGCTGTGAATGGAAGGCTGCACCCGAGGACGTATCTATCTTCGTACCCCATCATCTCCAGTCGTACAATATATGGAGTACACTACTTCATTCAATCCTCAAATTCTGTGAAAGCTCTGTCTTTTCATGTTGTGCTAAGCTCTTCCGCTTCCCCAAGCAATAAGCCACCATGCATCAACAGGATATGGATGGTCGTGGCTAAGCTGGAGAAGCGTGTTCTCCTGATTGCCGTCAACTGCCTTTCCAGCATGTTCATATTTTCCTTCAGTAGGGCGATAATCAAAGGGGCATATCCTTTCCGATTGTAGGTTTCGATTTTTTCTCGACCTAATTACAACATCACAGTGCGTTCCATTGCTACATCTATGACCTGGAATGTAGTATTCTATATCATGATGATGCCAATACGTTGTATACATTTCGTAACCCAAACCCGAATTCTATATTCCAGTCCACCTGGGATGTTCTCTAACAGACTACAGCACAATACTGGTCAGCGCAATGCCAAAATTGAAGCAAGGGACACTCGCTCTCTATCACTGTGGGCATGAACTTACTTCCGATAACGCCGTTGATGGGGATGTCTATTGAAGTGGTATAGCTGGCGGCGTCGCTGAGGAGGTAGACGTAGGCGCCGCCCAGCTCCTGGACTTGGGCCAGCCGGGGCATGCCCCCGTAGTACTTGAGCTGCTGCTCCCAGTCGGGCTGTTGCGGGACCCAGTAGGTCATGGCTGTCTCGACGAGGCCCGGAGAGACCGAGTTGACACGGATACCGTACTTGGCCCACTCCATGGCGAGCGTGTGTGTCATGTTGCGGACGCCCGCCTTGGATGCGCCGTACGGAGCCGACGGCACGCGCTGTTACGAAGAGATTAGTATTTTCCGCGGCCGCACAGGAAGATCTGGGCTGTCAGTTTTGATACATACCTTGTTGGGCCGGTATGAGGCCATAGACGCCGTGAAGACAACCGAACCCTTGATCCCCAGTTTGATGAACGCGCGAGCAGCGGCTCTCGCCGTGTAGAAAGCACCAAATAGCTACAATTTTTATATAGAGTCAGTTTCTTTCTTCCTCGCCTCATCTTCCGCTTCGAAAGCATTCGTATAGCAGAGACTTGCAGGTTTTGCTGGATGGTTTAACATACGTTGACAGCAAACAGGGCGTGGATCTCCTCCTCGGTAAAGTCTAGCGCGGACTTGTGGTTGGTCCGGCCGGCGTTGACGACCATGCCGTGGATGGCGCCGGCCTCCTGCACGATGCGGTCGACGGCGGCGGTAACGCTCGCCTCCTTGGTGATGTCGGCCGGGATTGCCTTGAGCTGCCCAGGGTACCTCTTCTCGATCGCAGCGAACTCCTCACCGGGCTCAGCCAGATCTATTGAGTAGACAGTGGCAGCGCCATTATCCAGGCAGCACTCTGCGACGCCGAGCCCAATTCCGCGGTTCGCCCCCGTTACTGCGATGACCTTTCCGGTCAGGAGAACCTTGGTTTGGACACCAGGGGTACTGCTGCTAGCCGGTGCAGAGCCGTTTCCGTTCGTTGTTACCGAAGGGGTCATTTTCTGGGGTGGTGATTAAATAAACTAAGGTTCTCGGAGACAAGACGTAATGATAAGATGATGTCTTTCGAGATGTCGTGCCTGGGGTTGGTGGCTCTTATATGTAGATGATTTGGTAGTGGGCGCAGGAGGAAGAACAATCTCTACCTCTAGAAGTCAATGCTAGATATAAGACCGGCATATGCTACGGTACTAGCTCCGGGGATCTGATCTAAGTACCGAGACGAGGTAAGATAGAGAGCGTCTCGGATCGCGAGCCGATGAGCTGTCCCTCGCGACGAGGGCACCGTCAGTTCTGTTACCTTTTCTAGAATAATCCAAGGCTCCATTTCTTTTCACTGCATGTCTACATGTATTCTTTAAACCAAGACCACCTATAACCATCATAGAATGGATGCCCAGCCCCGCCGAACGATAAGATACCCGAAATATTTCATGCGGGGACACAGACAAGACGACAAGGCAAAACGAGAGGCGGCTTTGCCCCATCGCGTTCCCGTCTTAGTGCATGCTTGGATCTCATCCGTCCCTTCTAGCGAGTTGGCCAGAAACCTCGGACCCGCTAAGCCGCCGCTACACCACAAGTCCCCTGCCCAGCCCAACAGAGACTTACCTCCGTATCAAACGCGAAGCTTCCAAGTGATCGGGGCTTATCAGCATTTCCCTCCTCCTTTTCACGGCTCCCAGTATAGCATACAGTAACGGGTGAAGCTCACTCTTGCAAATCTGGCACCGACCGTTGTTGCCCCCGGAACCACCGATCGCAACAAGGACACACCCAATGGCTCCCCCCTGGCGACTACTCGCGGGCAAAACGGCTTGCATCACCGGTGGCACGACGGGAATCGGGCGCGCCATCACATTGGAGTACTTACGTCAGGGGTGCAATGTTGCCGTCAACCACCTGGGTCTGTGCAAGGACGAGCCGCTAAGAAAGAGTCTCCTCGAGGAGGCCAAGCGTCTCCGGACGGACGGTCCCAGGGACCCACCGGCCGGCGAACTGATCGAGATGGCGGGTGATGTTACGGATCCGCAGACAAGCACGAACCTAGTCGCCGAGGCCGTGAGCACATGGGGCGCATTGAATGTCTTCGTGGCCAACGCGGGCATCTTCCAAGCCTGCGACTTCCTGGCGTAAGAAGTCTAATTGCAATTTCCCATCCATTTCCTCTCTCTTTCCAACTCACTGACATGGTACGGGGTGGTGGCGGCATGTAATGTAGCATAGACAAGGACACGTTTGACACATCGATGCGGGTCAACGTCAACGGCGCCTTCTACTCATGCCAGGCGGCAGCAAAGCAGATGGTCAAGCAGGGGACCGGCGGGGCGATCATCGGCGTGTCGTCCATCAGCGCGCTGGTCGGCGGCGGTAAGCAGGTGCACTACACGCCGACCAAGGCGGCGGTGCTGTCCATGGTGCAGTCCATGGCCATCGCGCTAGCCAAGCACCGGATCCGCTGCAACGCGCTGTTGCCGGGCACGATCCACACGCAGCTGGCCGAGGACGACATGCAGGATGACGAGAAGCGGAAATACCTCGAGCGCCGGATCCCGTGGGAAAGGGTGGGCAGGCCTGAGGACATGGCCGGGCCGGCCGTCTTTCTGGCGAGCGACGAGCTGAGCGGCTACATGACGGGGTCGCAGGTGCTTGCTGATGGAGGCATGTTTGTAAACTTGCAGTAAGGTGTAGCTATTCTCTGCCTCGGTGCCTCCTGCACGAATATCTCTGTATTTCGGGTTGTCTTGTGCGCGTGCCTCTCCTGGGAAAATTGGGGAAACAACCCCTCAATTGGGGGGCTCTTTTCTGCTTCTACAGCCCGCCTTTGTTTGCGGGGTCCGATGTGGGAAAGGAAGAGGGGTAGTACCAATCACATTCCAAGAAAGAAAAAAAAGGAGGGGGAAGATCGGCGATCAGTCTATCCGATGCCCTCTAGCCGTGGATCCCTCGTCCCGTTCGCACGCTTGAATTCTTCGACAACTTCTCGTACAGCCAGTGTATGCATGCCTCGTCTCGGGAAATACCCGCACCGCTGGTTGCAGGGTTTCTCGACCAGTAAGATTGACAAACCAAACCGCCCGTAGCGCGATTCTTGTTGGTGAGCGCTGCGGCTGTCTTGCCTCATGGCGAGCAGCACGAGATCCTTGGGTGAGGCCGAGGTCGAGGCCCAGCCTGACTCTGAGCGCCGTTTCACCCGGGGCCGTCTGTCGCGGGGCAAGGGCCTGCGCAAGACCACAGGATGGTTAGTCTCCTACTCGTCGTTCCAGATATTTCCCCTTGCTGACACATCTGCCTGCTCCCCAAGTTTGACCTGCCGCCGTCGGCACATCAAGTGCGACGAGGCCAAGCCCATCTGCCGAGGATGCGCCAAGCGGAAAGTCCCTTGCGTCTACGACAGTAAGCCTGACTCCACGTCGACGTCCGGCTCTGGTCTTTCCGTCGTGTCCGGGTCCGGGTCCGCGGGCAGTACTGCCGCCCCCAACAGTACACGGGGATCAAAGATCGCCGGGTCCGACATACCCGTGGCTGACGCTGCCACGACTGCTGAGGCCGAGTCTGTTCGGGAAGTCATCCGGGCGAGTTTGAGTCCGGCAGCGGCCCCGGCTGCGCTTGCATCTCTCGAGCCTCCAGCTCTTTACGGCACCACCGAGCCTACGCCACATAGCGTCCGCTTCTCCATTGCCGAACCCGACCATCAGCTCGCGAATCCCCTGGGTCGGCCCTGGGTCGGCCATTCTCCCCAGGCTGCCCAAAGTCCGGAGGAGCCAAGGCTGTATCAGAACAGCATCTCTACTACTTTCGACGGTCTGCCGCCGGCGCATCATGCGTCTAATGGTGGCCCTCCGGCTTTTGACCCCGCCTCCGCCTCGTCGGCGAGCCATACCGCAGAGTCCCCCACGGCGAGGTGGCTGGGGCTCCTCCTAGGGGACGCCACGGTCGGCAACGGGGTTCTGCCGGATATTGAATACGAGCTCGACGGCTTCGACATCTTTGGCAACTCTATCGCGCAGTCCCACGCTTCGGATGTGACCCCGGCGAGCCCGGCGACCACTAGGGCTGGGTTGGAGGTGCCTGTGGGCGTCTCGCCGAATACGTGTAATCCCTCCCTGCAAGAAAGGATCCCACATCTCCGCAGTGATCAGCTTTCCGAGAAGCAGGCCTGGCATTCTTCAGATGCCATCGAACTACTTCCCTATGAACATATGCTATTCATGTACTTTGTGCAACATATCAGCCAGTGGGTGAGTTCTTCCGCCGCCCTACCCTGGGGTCTGAGGTGAATCCTTTTTACTCAGGCTAATATACGCATCTAGATGGATCTCTTCGAGCCCAAAAGGCCATTTGGCACTTTTGTGCCGCATCTTGCAGTAAATCTTCCTCCCTCTCCACCTGTGTTGATTTTTATAGAAACTGTTTCGTTGAACTAACTATACGAAACCCTTCACAGATGCACAATGTCGGCTTAATGAACGCCATCTTGGCCCTCTCTGCCCGACACCTCTCCCTCGGCACTGGTCATCCGGCCGGATACGCCGACGCGAGCCCTCCGGACGCCAATGATGCCGTCCGGTACTACTTCAAGACGCTCCACTACAGCCAGAAGGCGATGCAGTATGATACATACAAAACCAGCCTCGAGCTGCTGGCCATCTCACTCATCATCTCCACATACGAGATGCTGGACGGATCGAGCACCGACTGGGAAAGGCACCTCAAGGGCGTGTTCTGGATCCAGCGCTCGCAGGTCATCCACGGCGACTCGGGCGGTCTGAGACAGGCCGTGTGGTGGGCATGGCTCTGCCAGGACGTGTGGGCCGCCTTCCGGGAGAAGCGCAAGCCCTTCACTTTCTGGCGGCCGGAGCGGACTTTCGACGCCCTGGACCCGTTTGAGCTCGCGGCCCGGTCCGTCCACATTTTCGCCCAGGTGGTAGGCTTCTGCTCTACCGAAGAGATGGAAGAGACCAAGAACGACCTGGCGTCGAGGATGTCCAGGGCTGATGTCCTTCTGGAGAAGCTCGAGGACTGGAGGAGGCACCTGACTGTCGAGTTCGAGGCCCTGCCCGTCTCAACCAGCTCAGGAGATGCGTTTCAGCCTATCTGGCTTCATCCCCCGGTATTTGGTAGAGTCCCCCCCCGTTCCTCCCCCTTATCGCCTGAACGAGTTGTGACCGACCCACTAAACCTGGCGTGACAGGAGTGGCTATCCAGCTGTACTATTGTTCCCTCATACTCATATACCTCAACCGCCCTACTCTTGGTGGTCTCGACGTGTACCTGGAGCAGCAAAAGTCTTTGCGGACGTGTATAAAGGCGGTTTGCGGCATTGCCATGACGCTGACCGATTATGCCTCTGGTGTAATGTCTTCACAATGTGTTTTTATTGGTACGCAATCCCCCCTTCCCCTTTCTCGACCCTTCCTGGCAGAAAAGGATTAATTGGCTAACACAAGCATGTCGAAATCTAGCTGGCTTATCTGTCGAGAGAATCGACCAGCAGAATGCCGTGTTGGAAATACTTGCCAAGTGCAGGCAACGGACTGGGTGGCCGGTGCAGCCCCTCGAGGACGAGTTGAGACTACGATGGGAGAGACATTGACTTGCACCAAGAAGGGAGCCTATATATATATATATATATCAATAGACGAACTATAAGAGCTGTCTGGCTGACTTGTAATATACAAATCCGGTTTCTACGCCTTACCGGCAGAACCACATATCTCCATCCACTCCACCGTCTGCGCAATTACCTTATCTACGCCCTGCTCTATGAGGGCCGTGTGAGGCACATTCGAGACTTGTGACCGCAGATGCGTGTAGTAGTCGTCCAACACCAGCCTGTTGACGTTGATCTTGGATACGCCCGCCGCGATGCACTCCTTCATCAGCTCCGACTTGAACCCGTTCGTCCCGTGGAGCACTAGTCTCACTCTGCCATTGACTTGGGCGCGGATTGCCGCAAATCTGAAGCGTCACGTTAGCGATCTTCCACCCAGATGATAAGATTCTTTAATATAGATGGCCCTGCCACATACCGCTCAAAGTCAAGCTGTGGCCCCTCGGGGCCATACTCGCCATGCACGTTACCAATCGCGGGCGCCAGGGCATCCACCCCCGTGGCGATGAAGTCGTCCACCTCCTCGGGCGTCGTCTTGCTCGCCTCCAGGTCGGCCGTATCCATGACGCCGTCCTCGCCGCCCTCGATGCGCCCGGGCTCCGCCTCGGTCGCGATACGCCGCTCGTGGCAGTAGCGGACCCAGCGCGCCGTCTTGGCCAGGTTCTCGGCCTTTTCGTAGTGCGACATGTCGACCATGATGCTGTCAAACGGCAGTTCGTCGGCCGCTCGCTTGATGATGGCCTCGTCCTGCGCGTGGTCAAGGTGGATCGAGATGGGCACCTTGGCGCGGCGGGCGGCGTCGGCGGCCGTGCGCACGAGCAGGCCGTCCGAGAAGGTGATGGCCCAGGGAAAGAACTGGATGATGAGCGGGGAGTGCGCCTTCTCGGCAGCCCGTACGAGGCCTAGGATCTGCTCTATATTGTACGCGATGGCGGCGATGACACCATATTTGCCTTCCTCGGCTGCCTTTAGGATCTGGATCGTGCGGTTGGTCGCTTTCCAGTCATCGGGGGCAGCCATCGTCACGAGTGTCGAGTATGAGGGAAGATGAAGGCGGGGCGCGAAGGGGAGAGGGAAAGGGGAAAAACGAATGGAGGGCAAAAAGGATGCGTAAGTGTGTTTGTTGTAGGGTTAGTGTCTCTTTACTTCAGTTAATTGTCGGTGACCTTTGTGATGATCGCTAGATATCTTGATTCACGCGCTCAATCTTTAATCCCAACGTCCTGTTTTAAGCGCCTCTGTCGCTATAGTTCGTCTTCACCACGTGCGATCGTCTATTAGCCTAGCCGGAGCACCTAAGCAAAGAAGCCCACGACACGGAACCAGTCCTGGAACCTCGTCTCGTGGGCTAGGAGAATAGGTTAATTTTGGCAATCCTCCATACCCCACCCCCGCACGACCCCACCTATTTTGAGTTGGTGCCCCAGTATCGAGTCCACGCGCCATCATTGAATTACTTGCACGATAACTGAGAGAGATCGATAATGTGATAGGTTACCAGGTAACGAGACAGGCCGTTGTAGCCCAACCGGTGACCCACGATGCAGGGAAGCAGCAAACTGTCTGAGGCTTGGAAATCCCACTGACGACGGCTTCCACGCCATGATCGGGGGTTGATGAGTAATACCCCTTCGCCCTCAAAGCCGAAGTCTTCATCGCCGCCACCACCAGACTTTAAGCAGGGAGCATGGATTCCAAACCTATCTGCCTCGGAACACTCGAGGTTAACTTACGGTCTGTCCATCAATCATTTCTTCCACCGCGCGTTGGACTTGTCCGAGGAGTAATTTGAGAAACCGCTTGAGTAGAGAGTTTCTTGTCTTGACTGACCGCTGGTTGGACAGCCGAGAGGCGGTTAGTAAGTGTCATCTCACGTCAGCCAAACATCTAAGACACGGTCATGAATCAGCATAACCACTGATTAGACACTTTTGTCTCGAGGAGACGTAGTTTCTTATTTAATCGTGACTTTAACCTCCCTCCCTTCTTAAAGCGGGGACCGCTGCTTGTAACCGTTGTACATCCTTACAAGGATCATCCCATCGCTGACAAGATGGCGCCGGAAGCCCCTCCAACCCTCTTCCTTATCCACGGCGGTGGCCACGGCGACCCAGCTTACTTCCAAAAGTTCCAAGACGAGCTGCACAAAGCCGAGATACCCACAGAGACAGGCACCCAGCCATCCAATGGCGGGTTCCCGCCACGACCCATGTACAACGACGCGGCTTATTGGCGCGCAGAGATCGATCGTCTCGCCGACGCCGGAAAGGACGTTGTCGTGCTCATGCACTCGGTGGGCGGCGTTGTCGGCACGGAGGCTACGCAGGGGCTGGGCAAGGCGGAGCGGGCAAAGAGGGGGCTGCCGGGTGGTGTGGTGCACCTGGTCTACCTCACCGCGTATCTGCCCAACGAGGGCGATAGCGTCTTTAGCTTCTATGGCGAGGGGACTCTGCTACCCACGCGGGCCGAATTTCGCACGGCGGTGAGTCAGTGATTTGGGTACTGAGGTTCGAGTGCGTATGCTGACACCATTCGTCGGGCCGGACAGGACAATGGGGTCGATATTTTCGTTCTCGATCCCTTTGCTGCCTATTACTACAACGACATGGCTCCTGAGGAGCAGCAGCATTGGGCTCAGTACTTGAAACATTCCCCACTTGAGGTACCGCAGCCACTCAAACCCATTTCACAGAATTGTGGCTCTCAAGACTGACTCTCCCGGCTAATTAATTAGCTGATTACTCAACCCGTCACTCACGCGACATGGCAAGATATACCAACCTCATATATCATCGCTGAGTTGGATCAGGTTATACTGCCGGAAGTGCAACAGCAGATGGTCAACGACGCAAAGGAGAAGCATGGTATCGAAATCACGACCTTCTCCTTGCCGTCGAGCCACTCTCCGTTTTTGAGCATGCCCGATCGGTTAACCGACGTTATCAAGTCAATTTACCGGGCTATTCAGAAGTGAAGCCGTAGGTTGATGTGGGGCAATCAGCTGTCTGTACGGAGGTACAATACTAATTAGAGAAAAGAAAGACGGCTATATAGCCGAGCAGTTTATAGAGCTCCCTAGGCTTCTTTAACGTTTAAACTCTGTGCTCAGTACGGACTTGAGGCGTTGCTGATGCCACTGTAGAAGTTGATCCACTTGAAGATCTCCGTGTGCCACACCAAACTATTCTCCGGGTTGCTCACATAATGCGTCTCATCAGGGAAGTTCAGAAATTTGCTAGGCACGCCCTTGACCTGGAGCAGGTTGAAGAGCAGAATTCCCTCAGACACGGGAAGTCGGTAGTCGTTATCACTGTGCACGACAAAGTGCGGTGTGGCCCAGTTGTCCACGTACTGGATCGGATTCCAGTCGTAGTACGGCGAGCCCTCCACAAGTGCCGTCTCGTTGAACGGCCCGCTGAAGTCGTGGTTCATGAACCACAGCTCTTCGCTGGCGTACTGGGATAGAGTGCTGGTGCTTCCATCATGTGTGACGAGGGCTTTGAACCATCGCCCCATTTCGTGGCCTTGGATCCTGGATGGCCGCATCAGTGGGCGATGAAATGGGCGGTTGACAAAAGAAAAGGGGGCTGTCCCTGTCATATGCACTTACCAGTTCGTCATGTAACCTCCATAAGATGCCCCTGCTTCAATTCCCCGGCTTGTGTCGACATAGTCAAGAGTTCTGTTCACATACTTCCAGGCGTGGACAAAATCCCAATACGGGTAACTTCCCCATCTGCCTTGGACCGCATCGGTCAGGTTCTGGCCTCAGCCGGAAGACGCCGTGGGATTGGGAGCGATCACAACGTAACCCTGGTCAGCCCAGACTTTCAAGTTCCACCGAACGCTCCAGTTGTTGTATTGACCACCCTGGGGCCCTCCGTGTGTAATGAACGCCAAGGGGTATTTCTTCGTCCTGTCGAAACCCTCCGGAAAAACGATCCACGACTGCTGTTTGATCTACGAAGTGTTCGTCGAGTAATGGAACTCGGAAACATCTTCCGGCCCAAGACCGGTAAGTTCGGGGTCGACCAAGTTGGCTTGGAAGTAAGTCTTGGTGACCTTTCCGTCAGGAGTGGTCGTGTAGATGTCTCGGCTAGACCAGAGCTTCGAATCAGATACCAGAAGCGAGCCATTTGGAATGGTGTAGTAGGCGGCTGTGGCACCGTCATCTGTGATGTTCTTTGGTTCATACGAGTCCCCGGCACTCAGGGGGACTGGGAAGATCCGTACTCGGCCCAAGTCAGATGCCGAAGTGAATATCGTTGCCGAATCTCGTCCCCAAGCCCCTATATCTGGCGACCTGTCCCAATTCTTGGCAAGGGCTATGACATTGAAGTTGGCCGGATCCGCATTGGCAAAATACAGAATGGTGCGATCTGACTCGTAGAAGATACCATTTTGCTGCACGTAGGCAATGTAGTTCCCATCTGGAGAGAACCGCGGGCTTAAAGAGGCTCCTTGCGCCTCGGAATAACTTGTCGCACCTCTGGCATTTATACGGACTGCATCGCCAGCAGATCCGTCAAATGGAACGTACCAAATCTGGCTGCTCGTGTAGTTTGCCAATGGCAGGTCAATGTCCTTGGAATTGAAGACCACTTTGCTGCCGTCGGGCGATAGGTCGTAGTCCTCCGATCCGTCCAGGTCAAGGGGACTCTCGGCGCAAGTGACATTGCAGATGCCAGTCACGTAGTTGGTGAGGTTGCCCCTCAGGGTATACGAATCGCCTTCAGGGGTGAGAACCCCGCCGAAGACAGCATTTCGTCTCTCCGTGAGATAATAGTTCTGGTGCTCCCGTCAGCGTTGAAAGCATTCCCAGGAGTCCCAAGTGGCATCCATCAAACGTACCCAATGCCGAACGTACGTCGACGAGTAAATCCTAGCTGTGCTCTTTGGCTTGGCAGACAGCCTCTGGTTGTAGGCAGTTCCGTTAGGCCAGGCACTTGCGTAGACGAGGAAGTGGATATCTCCAGATGGTGTCACGGCTGCCTTGAGACCGGAGTAGGGTGCCGGAAGGGAGGCGATCAACGAGGTGTGATCAAGGGCAGCGGCATCCGCATAGTAGAGGCTGACGCCACCGTCGCCCTCTTCATTCGTGCTATTGATGTAGATTAAACTCGTGGTAGTCGGGCCCACGAATACGACCTCTGATATGTCCGAGCCCGCGTGCCATAATGAAACATCACCGCTCTCTAAGTCTAGACGCTTCCATGCCGTCGCATGCGTAGAGGTTGAAAAAGAGTAGTTTGTCACCGTGAAAATGGCAAAATCCTGATTTTCAGCAATAAATTTAGCGCCGTGGACTACAACTTTTCTGTGAGGCAGGGTGTGACAGACACCAGATGGATTCGGGACAGCAGCAGAATACCGGTTCGCTGAAATCAATCCCTCCGGCGTGAGGGCATAGGCAGAGTAAGTTAGAGTTGCTAGAGCCACTGCCGCTAGGCATCCGATCAATTTTTTCGTCTTCATGACCCGTTGATTCTCTTCAATCTGGGATTAACGAAAAGGTGATGGACGGAGCTATTTATAAATGCCAAGAGGGGATGGAGGGAATAAACTTATCTTGACAGCTTTCGTCGCCGCAAGCGGGATATCACGCTGTTACCAAACTAGGAAGGTCACTATTACCGTGCAACGCGAACCATGCAAACGCAGTTGCGTCAATTTGTGAAATCTTGCGTGTAAGAAGCTACCTAATCAATATGCTACGGGAGTATATTGACAGGGTAATTGGATGGCTCAACCCCGCGTCGCTGGGAGATACCAAAAGCGCGGTGACAAGAAGAGAAGCATGGCATAATCAAGGCTTGAGGCACAGATCATATTTCGGAAACCTGAAAAATAACTGATGACTTTCCCCAAGATAGGCATCCACAGCCAGAGATGTTTCCACTGAATCCCCTAATCGTCCGGCATACTTTGCCACCATGCAACATGTCTCTCCAGCCACTAAAAAGGAACCGAACTGTCACAGTTCTGGTAAGTATCGCAGCCCGGTGCAAGGGCTTGGGATAAGCTGTTCAGTGCCGAGGCGGCGCTGGTCAAGTCGTTGTCCACGCTCTGGAGGGTATTCCGAGCCGCATCCGCGGCTCCTCCGGACCACCCGCCGATGGTGCCGATGACGGCACTGTCGATTTCGTTCCTGATCTGCTGGATCTGGTTCGAGACCGCATTGATGTCTCCCACAAGATCGCGGCGGGAGACTCCGCGTTTGGAGCTGTCCGCTGGTGCACAATTGGCTATCGTGGTGGCGAGGAGGACGAGGGAGCAGAGTTTGAACTGCATGTTGCCAGTCGGAAGGGCTTGGCTTCGAGGTTAATTTGTCTTTGTTTGCGAAGCAGAGGGGACGGACTGTCTTTCGGGAAGGGCCAAGATGATGGGGTAGGCTATCGGTGGATGTGTAAAGTGGCTGGACTTAAGCGTTGATATAACAGATGGCATTCAAGGAGGCCAAGACATCCGGCCCCTTTTATGTTCGATTTGGATGAATTCCTCCCGGAGTCACAGCCGTCACTTTGGTCAATCAGGTTCAGGTTCAGGGGTGAGATTGCAGGAAGCCGTAAGCACTGCGTCACTTCACTGGTCGATCGCCACTTCTGTAACCTGAAGGAGTTGCACTGCCGGGCTCAGGAGTTGATGAGTTATACAGAAAGATTTTTGGGTAGGATCTGACTCAGCTGATCAACAACCATGCAGGCAGCTTTTCTGCGGTTATTGGGTTCCCAGATGTGCCAAATGTCTGGGAATGTTACCCAGGATCAAGGGATGCCAAGTTTATAGTAAACAAGCATTGGGGAATAAACCTCCAAAAAAAGCAAAAAGAAAATTGTGACTCGGATGCGGGGAGTCGAACCCCGTGCTGTTGAGATAGCAACCACTCCTGGGAAGTGAGAGTCAACGATGTTACCGCTACACCACACCCGACGAATAATCGATTGTGGCTCCGACCGACTTGGCAAGACGAGTCGCTAATTGTCACTAGTTTCGTCCGTTTCTAGTCAGAGAATGAAGAGAAAAAACAGAGGGAAGACAAAGCAATGAAACCAAATAAATATATTTTTATATCTGATGTGCGCGCATCCCCCTTGGAGATATTAATTGGTTGTTGAGCTCTGAAGAAAAATGGCAAGCGATGCTGCACACCAGGGGCACAACCGCACAACCTGCTGAATTGAATCTTTCTATTGATGTTACTTTCTCGCCCTCACTTGCTTTCACATATGTCACAAGTTGCAGGGGATTCTCCTAGAGTATATGCTGCATCCCGCAAGTCGCTCTGTCTTAATTGCCATCTGGTTTCTAAGCGGACCTTGCTCAGACCTTTGACTATTCTGGCAGCAGGGCCAAGCCACGTGTGTAAGAGCAGTGGCAAGAACGATATTCTTGGCGTCTTGGCGCCATTGTTTTGGCAGCTCGTCTCGTCCGCCACTGGCCATTGCTATTCCCATACTTCTGATATCCTTATACATCGTCCCAGAAGGCCTGCTCAATGCAAACAACCGCACTTGGCAAACTTGAGAACGAAGTCAGGAGTCGATTTTACGCAACCAACGTCTTTATGGTCGAGAGGGGTTAAGCTCGGTGAGATTTGACTCGTAACAAAATATTAGGACGTGGCCATTTGGAACAGTGTATCTAGAACGATGCCATCCCGCCAAGGATCCCGCCCAGCTCTAGCTAGCCAACTGGAATCAGTTCCAATGGTAGCAGCTAAAACTGTGACTGTGCTGCAGACAGTAACTTTCCTTTGAAGTTGTCAAGTTAAACGTAAGGCTCAACGGATTGAGTATATAAGTCAGTGCAAGTCTTGCGGGATGATTTAATCATTGTTCTTAATTTTTTCCAAAATTATTGTGGAGAGAAAATTTTCACGATAGCATCACTTTTAGGTGTGGATCCAAACGTTAGCCTTAGCCTAGGCAAATGGCAAGCCAAGCTAATTGGCGGACTTGGCGAACAATAAAATGGCACTTCATGGGGGAAAAATCCCAATTTTCAACATTTCTCAGCAAACCTTTCCTCACACATGGCATCATTCCACGATATTTCGATTTCTCGCACCAGTGCCTATGAGACCCGCAGGGTGCCCGCTGCCTCCATCGAGCAGCTTGCCGCCTCTACTGCCCTTGGATAACCTTACGGGAGAACAGGTGTTCTCGGCCCTGAAGAGCTTGTCCACCATCTACTGCCCGCTTTCGGCTTCTCTTTCCTTCGGGTTGACCACCGAGAGCAAAACCCTGTCGAACATTACATCGACGTCGTCGCTGGATTCTGGCTACGCCTCTGGGACCGACGATGAAGACGAAGGAAGCCTTGGCGCCCTTCGCGCAGATGCCTTCGAGCGCACCTTTGCAGAGCGCTGGCTGACAGGCTTCATCGCGTGCGCGGAAGATTTGCCATGCTTTGCCTCTGAAGAAAAGCGGCAGCGCGCACTTGATCAAGCTTGCTACGTGCTTGAGTCTTTTTTCGCCAGCCCAGCGGACAATGACCAAGCGGACGAAAATCAGGAGGGCTACACACGCAATTTCTCCTTCGAGTTGTCTCTCCCAGCACCGAGCACTAGTAAAACCTCCATCGAGGTTCGCCTCAACGACGGATTGGCAGGCTCGAATTCCTCGGCAGACTATGATGACGTTGGCCTGCAAAGCTGGGGTGCGTCCATCGTGCTGTCCGAGCAACTGTGCGACTCGCCTGCACGGTATGGCCTCACTCAACTTGCCCTTGGTTCCTCGTCGCGCATCATCGAGTTGGGTGCTGGGACGGGACTTGTCAGTCTCGTGCTCGGGACTGTGCTACCTCACCTGGGTCTTGCAGACTCGACAGTAATCGCAACAGACTACCATCCAGCCGTGCTTGCAAATTTGCGCGACAACATTGCAGCTAACTTTCCGTCCCACGACCCGGCACCGGTGCAGGCCACCCTCCTCGACTGGTCTGCACCCTCACTAGAGCCGCCACTTCACATCCCGGCGGATATGCTGATTGCGACGGATGTTGTTTACGCCCCTGAGCACGCCGTATGGCTGCGCGACTGCGCCAGCCGCCTCCTTGCGCCGGACGGCGTATTCTGGCTCCTCATCTCTGTTCGCGAAACTGGTCGATTTGATGGGATTTGTGAAACTGTTGAGGCTGCTATGACTGCAGATGACCGTCCCAGAGACAGAGACGGACATAGACTGACGATTCTGGAAGCACAGATGCTGCAGAAGCGTAGTGGGATTGGGCGTAATGACGAGACAGGGTACAAGTTATTCAGGATCGGGTGGGTGTGATTATACACGAGGGGTATAATAGATTTCCACTACATTAGAGATGTCGGAACGACTTATGAAACGAATATAAGCAAGAACGTGACTGTCGTGTTCTGAGCATCACAGCCAAGAAATAAGCGCCTTGTAACCACGCGCGGCACGAACCAACACACCGCTAATTGGACGGCTTTTTGAGCAACTCCAGGCAGCGAGTGTCGGTTTATTTCATAGAGAGTGCGCCCCTGAATCGAGAGCCTAACAAAATCCCCATACCTTCTTGATCATCCATCCATTCTGTACCCTCCTGATTTCCCCCTGGCCCTCACGCCATCCAACCATGTTAGCCGAACCACTCGATTTGGAGCCCATCAAAGACGAGGAATGTGGGCTGCTGAGTGATCCCGAGATTCAAATCCTCACCATGTTCGAGTCAGCCATCGAGTCATCGCCGAGCCTGGACGAGAAAGCGAAGCACTTTGTCACTGCCCTTGTTGCATCTGTTCCACAGAGCCAATCTGATTCGGAGACAGAAGGTATGGCCATGGACACGTGGCAAGTCCTGACCTACATTGCCTGCCGCACTCCCTGCCGCCACTATGCGCAGGATGTCCTTGTTCAAGTCGTGGGCATGCTGAATGGACATGATGCTCTTGCAACTGTCACTTTTCAACTCTCGGTCAACCGAGCCCGAGGGTGCAACCCATGACAGTCCCTATAGGGGAGGTGCCTTGTATTCAGGGACGAGAGGGTTCAACTTTGAGCGGTGGGGGTTTTGGAAGCGGCGACTGGCAGTGTTACGCAAGGATGTCGGCGATACCGCGCCGATAGATGGAGCGCTGGGGATGATGACAGCAGCAGAAAAAGAAGCGGCCGATACTCTTCGGAGAAGCTAGGAAGAGAGTCCATGGCAGCAGATTGTACGCTACCATAGTCTTTAACTTTATGCAATGATCAAGTGTTCGCTCGTGCGCAGTTGGCAGCTCTCTCCTTTGCCGGAATGATCGATTCTTCGGCCGCATGAACGTCACTAAATAGGTTGACAGCCTGCAAGTTCGGGCATTTGTGATGGCTAGCGCTCTTCGGCTAACGTATGATTGGTTAGTTCCTCGGGTTCAACAGGTACGTACCGACGGAGATTAGCGGAACCCCGCTCAATCTCGGTATTTTGCCTGCGACCTTCTTCCTCTTTCTTCTTTCTCCCGATTCCCCAACCCGAACCGACATTATTCAACAGAAATCATGGCGGATAGCCCACAGGCCTCTCCGGCCCCTGATGCGCACACGCCTCCCCGGCGCAAACGCCGACGACAAACAAAGTCGTGTCAGCAGTGTCGCCAGCGCAAGATCCGCTGCGACCAGGGCCTGCCCTGCCGCCCCTGTGTTCGTGCCAGGGCCCAGCTTCAGTGCTCCTATCGCTCTTCCATCCCTGGTAGTGGGGTCAACACTGCACCCGCCTCCGAGCCCAGGACAGGCCGACCTCTGACTGTTGCCTCGCCCACACCGTCTCTAGACCGAACATCCAATCCGTTGCCCAATCCGCGCTTATTGCCGCCAATTGCGGATCAACCTCCCCAGCACAGGGCGGAAGCTACCGTGAGGACTCAGGGGCGCGACCATCTTTCCATCCCTGGTTCTGCCGATCACGAGGAGATAATTCGGGAGCTTCGACAACGCGTGCACCGGCTCGAGACCCAGCTGGCAGAGAAACCCGACCAGGCGACAGGCCATACGAACACCTCGTCGGGTTCATTCATCCCAGCCACGTTTCCGCGTCTTCGTAATGCAGCAGACAAGACGAAACTCTTTGGAAAAAGCCACTGGCTCCATACTGCGGAGAAGGCATGACATGAGGCGGACTTCCCTTCCTTTTCATGTCGTACAGCCGCTGACCATTGCATAGTTTCAAACCCTCGGCAAATTTGATGCCGTAGAGCTGGAGCCGTCCTTCAATCATGCCTTCGATGATGTCCAGGCCGAGCTGAACAGCATTGTGAAGGACACCCGGAGCCTCCGCAGAGCCGTCAAAGCCCATGACTCGGCCCAGCTGAACAATCCCGTCCCGGATTTGCTGAATACCCTGCCGGCCAAGGCAACCTGCGATAAACTTGTCCGCTGCTACTTGCAGACGTTCGAGCCCGTCTACCGGGTGGTTCACGTCCCCACTTTCTGGAAAGAGTACAACCAATTCTGGGAGCAAACTCAGATCATGTCAACGTCATCTCCATTTGTCATGAAGCTTGTCCTCGTCCTCGCCATTGGAACAGTCTTCCTCCCAGATACGGCCGATATAGACCGCGCCACGCTCCATCGTCTGGCCCAAACATGGATCTATGCTGCTCAGTGGTGGCTGACTGGACCCTCCGAGAAGTCGATCATTACCCTAGATGGACTTCAAGTATTCTGTTTGCTTATCATCGCAAGGCAAGCGACCCATAACTCACCAGGCGGGTCCGTCTGGCTGTCGACGGGATCTTTGATGACCATGGCCATGGCCATGGGACTCCATCGGAATCCAAACATGTTCCTCCCAACGCTATCGCCATTCCAGGTGCAGATGCGAGTGCGTCTGTGGACGACAGTTCTCGAGTTGGCCCTTCAGTCTTGCCTCAACTCTGGCTTGCCGCTCGGCATCTCAATTCATGACTACGACACAGTTGCGCCTTCGAATTTTGATGATCAGGACCTTGACCCCTCAGGCTCTGCCGAGCCGGCGCCGGATGATCAGGTCACCGATTCTTCAGTCCAAATCTTGCTTGCCAAGTCTTTGCCTTTGCGCCTCAAGGTTGCACAGCTGCTCAATGACTTTCGAGGGGAGCCGTCCTACGAGACGGCGCTGAAGCTGGGTACGGACTTGAGGGCAGCTTGCCGAGATGTCGCCATCTTCTTTCATTCCGCCATCCCACAGCCTTTGTCTGACGCTTCCGTTCTATCGCGGACGGATTTCCATCGAAGGTTCCTCGGGGTATACTTACGGAAGTATATCCTTCTCCTGCACCGCCCCTTCATGCTCCAAGCCAGGAAGGATCCTCGGTACTACATGTCTCGCAAGATTTGTGTCGAGTCTGCCATGGCCATTGGATCTTACTCGAGAGAAGCCAACTCAGGCCTTGCTGCCGGGGTGCTAGATGACCTCTCACGATTATCTATGGTCGCGGCGGGATGCTTCAAGGGAGCACTCACCATGGATATCATCATGGTCCTCTCACTGGAGGTGATCACCCAGTTGGAGGAGGAATCACCTCGAGACTCGGCACCCGACCCCCTGGACGATATCCTCAAGGCAAACCGCGCACCCTTGATTCAGACCCTTGAGCATATCGCCGAACAGCTTCTACAGGGTATCGCGCTCGGCAGCGCCAGCATGAAACGGTATATCTTTGTGTCGGGGTACCTCAGCCAGATCCGCGCAATGGAGTCCGGCCGATGCGTCAAGCAAGCGATATACACATCTCTGATCGAAAGCATGAAGAAATGCCACTCTCTTTTGCAGGAGTACCGGCCTGTGATGTCCCCGCAAGTATCAGCGACCCAGCAATGGCGTCTCTCTTCCCATTCAAGCTCGGGTCTTCGGTAAGTATTACACTCACAGCCGCCTGTGACAGCGACACGAGAGAGTCCTGGCTAACAAAGACACACCCCTTTAGGAGGCTGATTCGTCCTGGGATATTTCAAACTTTCTGTACTTGCCCGTTTTGGGTGACGATGGGCAGAACACCTGGCCCACGTAACGACAATTTCGTGGAATTCACAATGTGCAGTTTGGTCTCAGTCGCCTTGGCAATATTTCTTGCCTCGACGAGGCTCATTGACACACACACCCAACACCGTTTAAGATCTCTACCCGGTTGCTTGGACGGATTTCCGGTTCTCATCAAAGCGAACGTCGAAAATATCCGAGTATGGTTGGCCCCCACACGAACACGCTGGCCATGTGCGGAACTAGAGAACTAACTGAACACAGCACATTACATGCAGCTCCCTACCACCGCTTTCGGCCAGCAAAATAGTACGTAACAAAGGCTAGGACGAGCACTGAGGGAAACTTTAGCAAGCAGCCTCCTTGATCAAATCTGCCGCATGCTCCGCAATAGCATACACCGTCGACTGCGTATGCGTCGCCGGAACAATAGGCATGATGCTAGCATCCACTACCCAAAGCCCCTCGACGCCATAGACTCGCAGCTTGGGGTCGACCACCCCGCCCCATTCCCGGGGCATCATCGCCGCCGTTCCAACAGGATGATCAAAAGTCGGGCTCAGCAGCGACTCACGCATAGTCGCCTCCACGACCGCATCGCCCACCACGGCCGGCCCCGGCGAGAGTTCCACGGCCGCGAGGGGCCCGATGCTCGCGCTCGCCATGAAGGCGCGGGCCTTGGCCAGTGCGCGGACGACCAGTATCAGGTCTATGGGGTTCGAGACCGAGTTGAAGTCGACGAGCGGGGATATCGACGGGTCGGGGTCCGTGCTATTGATGAGGACGGTGCCTCTCGACAGGGGCTTCTCCACCGCCACGGGGACGCTCGGCTGGCCGCCAAAGGTGATCTCGACGATGCCAGCGTGGGGGTTGAGGAACTGGGATTGGATGGCTTCGCGTTGTCGGACGAAGCCCTTGACCAAGGACGGGTTCTCGGCGTATACGGCGGGGAGGTGGTCCAGGGGATCCTGCTCGCTGAGCGTGGCGACGATGTCTTTGTAATTGGGATCGAGATCCCGCAGAGACGCGAATACAATGCGATTCCCCCAGGCATGTGTGAGCGGGCCGGTGCGATTCGCCTTGTATTCTTCCCAGGACGCATTATAAAACTCGGGGTTGTTCATGAGCGTAGGATTAATTTTTGTATCCGTGGTGACTTGAGTGTTCATATCAGCACACAACACACAACACACAAACGAGATGCTCCCATATCCAAAGAATTCCGAATAATTAGCAGTTAAGACTTACAGTTATATGCCATGTAGAAGGACGGATGGTCCTGAAAGTTCGCACCAACTCCAGGCAGATCAACCACCACGTCGATGTCCAGGGATCTGAGATGCTTGGAAGAGCCGATGCCGCTGAGCTGCAATATCCGGGGAGTATTAACTGCTCCAGTAGCTAAGATGACGTTTTTGGCCTTGATTAGTCTCGTGTCTGAGCTGTCTCGGCTGGCAATTTCGACACCCTTTGCTCTTCTCTTTGTGTCAAACTTGATAGTGGCTCCGAAGTGACGCACGAGTAGGTGTAGGTTGCTACGATGGCTCGCTGGGCGGTAGTATGCCGTCTCTGCCGAGGAGCGAGTCGCGTTCTTGCCACCGGAGTTTTGGGGTAGCCATGAAAGGCCAGCGTTGTTGCCGTCTGTGCCATCTTCCAGCGCCGGCGCCTTTAAATCCTCGACCCACGCTTCAGCTTGGAGCTCTGTATCGATGGGTTAGCACATGATACGACACACGTCCTGTTTGGATTTACGATGCAGTGCTCCGTACCGGCTTCTGGCCATTGCCACGATGGAAACCCTACCCGTATGGGCCCTTTGCCGTACGAATCCGGATTCCACTGATACCCGTATCGCTCAACATACTTGTCGGCTGGTGGTTCGATTGTGGACGATTTCCGGAAATACTTCAACATAGACTCCCATCCCCAATGGGGGTTCCCAAGGGCCTCCCAAGAATCGTAATCTTCTTCTGATCCACGGTCCCATGCCAACCCATTCACGGTCGATCCGCCACCGACCACGGCTCCAAGGCGGAGCCCCGAAGTGCGGTTCCCGAGGTGAGTCTGCGGAACCGACGTAATGTTGTACAGGCGAGGCGCCTGACTTAACGTGGTCAAGTATGGCACAGTGGCATTAACTGTGTTTGCGAAGTCACCGTACTCGATAACTAGGACGGTTTCTGCAGCATGTAAGTTGAAGTGCAATTCAGAGGCGACTACACCTTATGCTCTGTAATCACTATTCAGAGACGTGAGAGGGAATACAGCCGGCAAGGGCAGTCGTAATTACTTGTTGAATCTTCAGTCAGCCGGTTGGCCACAACGAGACCACTGGTTCCACCCCCGACAATGATGTAGTCATATTCGTCGTTGAGGGACCCCAAGTCTCGCTTGATATTGTCATCATTTTGTCCGAGGGAGAAATCAGCAACGGTCAGAAGTGCTAGCAGGGCAACACCAAGACTGGAAATGCGGTGAGGAAACATTGTCAAATTTGAGAACCTCGGGATGATGTAAGTAGGGGGGTTTGGGTTCCGGTTATATACTGTTACTCCAAACCTACTTGTGCAGTTACATTGCCATGTGCAAATCAGCCTGCAGCGTGCCGGACTGCCTGTAGCATGCATACTTCATCCAATAACACAACCTGGCCCACCAAATATTTAATACACATGACTAATTGTGCATGGTAAGACCGGAACACAATTTAGTGTCGCCCAATCTCGGTCGATCTTGGCTGGCATCTCCCTCTTTTGGACTGCCATTGATAATCAGTGCCAGTCAACGCCTCTACGCGAAGAGAATGATATCAGTTGCTAGAAACCATGACAAGGCGAGGCGCCTCTGTGTCAGCTATCGCGCCATTGGCTTCGATGATATCTGATTCTTCACGCGGGGCACCTTCGCCTGGATCCTGCCACCTCGATCGGGTCATGGGTCAGTCGGAAGCTGTCGGCAAGATCCATCTAGGATTAGCTGACCCACCGGGATTAGATTACTCGAGAACTGCTGCCGTATTACGACAGTCGGTGACTGGAGCTATTTTCTTTCGAGGCACTCGACCCCTTTTTCCTTTCTTCCGCCTCCTTATACCCGATTTCCTTCATGTCCGCAAGGATATCTATCCACAAGCCCCCATTGTAACAGCCGCTACTCTGCTTCTGAGACCCGTTAGGCTGCACGGGACAAGTCCGTGTTAGTATGACCAGAATTTCTGTTGCTATTTTCACATATAAAAGATCAGAGAACCAGAAATTACAAGTCGCTGACCGCAGATAATTAACCAGGCAACTCGACAAGCCACAAGAGTTCGTTATCTACATCTAGACCAAAGTGTGTAACATGGCAGTGTTTCTCTTTGGGCATCCTGTGCCACAATGGTAATACCATCTAACCCTTCTTGCAAGCCACAAAGTTGTTTCCGGTTGCTCCATTGTGCGTGATCAGAGCATCAAATTTTCCCTTCGAGTCGAAAACGACGCGGTCTGCTCCAGGAGAGCCGCTTGTAAAGACCTTGTAGCTCGACAGAATGGGAAACTCGTACCACGGAGCCGACGTGGGGAAATCGAAGCCCTCGTAATCATTGTACTGATGGGGGTAATCGTCTGGGGGCGATTAGCAGGTGAGCGCGGAGGAAGTCGGGGACAAGTTTAAAGAAACATACCCACGGTTGCCCCAGACTGGTGCAGCGAATAGCCCTTTGCCAGAGCGTCATCGATGTCCGACTGCCAGTAACAGACTGAACCGCAGGTGTAGACACAAGAGGCTCGCTCCTCCAAAGGGATGACTGCTCCTGAGGCAGTCACGGTCAGAAGACCAAGCACGATAGCGGGAAGGATCTAGGCAATGTAAGCATGCGCGAATGAATACGTCGTGATTGTTTACTCAGCATAATTACCCTGAAGCTGACCATGATGGGGAGTGAAAACACAAAAGGGGAGGGGGAGAGGAATGGACTACTAATTACCTATTTAAAAAAGGAAAAGGAGACAACTGAGAGATATATATGTCGATCAAGCATAGCTTACATGCCTCGTGCAACGCTGCAGAGCCCCCTTAGGCAGGTCCTTTAGTCCATTGCCCATGGAGAAAGCGTCGGAGGTGTGATCGCTGCAGTTAGACAACGATGCAACCCGTTCTCTAATGAGTATCGGGCGTTACGACCTTCTTGTTTCACACAAGCCGTGCTTGGTGGCTCGATTGGCCAACCAATGTCCGGCTCTGGTGGCATTTAGGTTATCTCAGGGAGTGCGATGCTACGCGCTATTCGGCACGCAAGGATATTCGTGGCCATGATTGGGGGAAAGATGGTGGGGGGAGCACGGCGATCGCTCTACAGTGCGTCAGGCACAGGACGAATCAGCAATAGGAAGACGGCCACGACCTCAAAACTTGGAGTGAATTTTGATCGCAGGGTGAGAAAGTGAAACTTTGTAATGTTGACTACGAATGGAAGTTCTGAGAAGCGAGATTTGACGGTTGCAGCAATCAGCAGCGCTTTAACGAACTTCCCAAATCTGGAAATGGAAGTTCTTGCGGAAAAGGACTTGAGGACGTTTGCCAATTTCAGCTTGGAACGTCTCCTCTATACTTCGACCTGCCTCTTCAATTTGTCATGTCGTGTCTATTTTCTAACATGAGCTTCCTTCTGCAACTCTTGAATCGGTTTAATATCTCGACTATCTCAGTTTCCTCTAGATGATTCGTAATTATCCCAGTTCCATATGCCAAGATGTGCTCTTCCAAGTGCTCAATGGAATCATTCTCTCTGGTGCATTATCTAGGAGCAGTGTAAAGAGAGGCTGCTCATTTTATCGAGTTTCGCAGGCCCTATGTTTTAGTAGCAAGCAGACACGTTGCTCGATTCTTTCAAGAGGAATTCCTCCCTGAAGACGTATTGAAACAAAGCAAGCAGTCAAGCTAAAGTACCAGCCTCCTGATGCCCTTGTCATGTGGAATTGGATATCGAAGCATTCTAAATTCTGCCAGAAGGGTTCCACGATAGTAGGGTTGACACTGGGCCAAAACAGAGACTCATTGACTGTTCCTGCTAGTGCAAGGTTCTTCATGGTCTTGAAATGAGCTGTAGTCTCACGGATCGCGGCATAGAGAGGGTAAAGGTGTGCATTTGAGGTGCTTAGGCTTGCTAGACGCCAGTGGTAGTTCCAGGCATTGCCGTGGTCCACGACTATCTTCAGTGACAGTAACGTGGAATTCGTGGGTAATATGTATCGGGCGACGTGGGCAAAGAAAGCCATTGCGGTTTGCACGGCGTAGTAATACTGGATAACGCCGTTCCATGTCGTTCATATACCAGTATCCATCGCGCAGATTTTGCAGATTTGCGCAATGTCGACAGCAACCTGGCAGGCAAGTGTTTGTCTCATTGGATGCACCCTGAAGGAGCTAATTGCAGGCACTGGAGGGAGTTCCCCAGGCTGCAACAGACGAAGGCATGGAAGGTACTTGTACAAGGAAGTGGGGCCATAGCGCACGGACCGATTTCTCGAGAATCGATACTGGCTGGATTTGGACAGGACAACAAAGAGTGAATATGCAGATGCAGCACCGATATCCAACCAACAACCAACTCCCGAGAGAAGGATTTAGCCGCTTGCTGCGCCACCGAATATACGTGGGTAGTCGGCCAAAAATTGCACATCATCAAGCGCTAGGTTTCATCTCTCGCCCGACAGCGTATCTGGGATTAGAATGCTGAGAGGATGGGATCGTCTTGGTCAAAGAACGAGTTCCCCGTCGACGGCCGTGTACGATGCTCTCGCTCCTGGAGAAAACTACCTGTGCTAATCTTCCAATTTGCTAGACGGTTCTCATCACCGGCGGCTCGCGAGGTCTTGGCCTCAGCGCCGCGTGCCAGCTCGCCAAGAAAGGCGCAGATATCATCATTGTCGCCCGCAATGCCAACAAGCTGGAGGAGGCCATGACGCAGATCTCGGTACCTATGTTCCCCTGCACTCCTTTTTCCCCCCTTCTTGCACTGTGTTGTTGAGTTGACAACTGTCCTAGCAAAGTGCCCGCGCGCCCGACACTCAGCGCTTCCATCAGATCCGCGCCGATGTGACCACAGCCACTGAGTGCGCGCGTGTTGTCGTGGACGCGACAGCATGGAATGGTGGGGCGCCACCAGACATTGTCTGGTGCTGCAGCGGCAGTGCGCACCCGACCCTGTTCATTGACACGCCGGTCGAGCAGTTCCAGACCATGATGGACAGCAATTATTTCTCGTGCGCCTACATGGCCCACGCCGTGCTCAACGCCTGGCTACGGGAACCCGAAAAGCAGAATCGGAAGGCTGCCGACAATGAGCAGTCGACCAGTGCCGGCAAGGCCTCCTCCACCACCACCACCACCACCACCAAATCCGCTCCGCCAGCACGCCACCTCGTCTTCACGGGCTCCTTCGTCTCTTTCTACAGCTTCGCCGGTTTCACGCCCTACTCGCCTTCCAAGGCCGCCATCCGATCCCTCTCGGACTCACTGTCGCAGGAGATGAACCTCTACGCGGCCGCGCACCCATCCGTGGCCCGCGTCCGCGTCCACACCGTGTTCCCGGCCACGATGCCGACGCAGTCGCTCGAGGACGAGAACCGCGTCAAGACGGACCTGACCAAGTCCCTCGAGGAGGGCGACCAGGTCCTGCAGCCGGACGAGTGCGCCCGACGCAGCATTGCGGGCCTCGAGCGCGGCGAGGAGCTGGTTGCTACGTCGACCATCATTCGCCTGGTCATGACGTCAGTGCTGGGCGGGAGCATCCGGGGTGGCCTCGTTAAGGGGGTCGTGGACACGCTGCTGGGATGGGTCGTCCTAGTTGTGATGGTGTTTATCCGCTGGGACATGGACGTCAAGGTGGCCAGGTGGGGGCGTGACCATGGCGCAAGCGGCATGGTATCGAACAAGAAGGGGTAACTGTTTGTACTATGTCTCGGAATTGATTGGCTTCTAGCGTTATGGAATAATACAACAGCGGTTTCCTTGCCATCTGACTGCCCCATATTATGGAGTGGTCGACCCATGTCAGCAATCCGTCTTCGGATCTTCGGAGGTACAGGGTGTTGTTGCTCAAACTGCAGGGGGAACTCAAAATCGGCTCCGAGCATTGTCGGCCAATTCACCGTCTTTATCCCCATTCACGTCGCACGCGTATGCGTCAACGCGGCCATTTGTATGACTTCGGCCAAATCCTAAAATCCGCGACCTAATCTCCGGGTTGTGCCGTTGCCGCACAACGCACAGACAACGCACAGACCACATCACCAGATAGATAGGTACCTATATATATGGACGGTGACGTCTCTCTTCTTGCGCAACTCGGCCTCGCTTTGCAATACACATCTCTTGAAACTGCGTTTTCATTAGTCTCCCTTCTCACAACTACAAGACTACTTGCTACCGCTTCATAATTCGTTTTACCCCAGCCAGAGGATCCTGCACACACAATGGCTGCTACCGCAAAGAAGATCGTCCTCATCACCGGAGCCAACACCGGCATCGGATGGGAAACCGTCAAGGCCTTGCTGCAATCCAGCCAGCCCTACCGCGTGTTCCTGGGCTCGAGGTCTCTAGAGAGGGGTGAAGAGGCGATCTCATCCCTGAAGAAGAAGGTCCCCGAGACGAGCAGCAGTGTCGAGACGATCCAGGTGGACGTCGAGAGCGACGACTCCATTAATCAGGCGTACGAGAAGATCAAGGCCGGCCCCGGGTATATCGATGTACTCGTGAACAACGCAGGTTAGTTATTCCACCGCGACAGACAGACCCCATGCCACGAACGACCGCCGTTAACACCAAGCAGGAGCGGCAATGGATCCCAAGATCGCCAAGGGCGAAATGACCCTCCGGGAGGCCTACAACAAGACCTACGACATCAACGTGTCAGGCACGCAGGTCCTGACGCACACCATCCTCCCCCTGCTGCTCAAGTCCGCGGACCCGCGACTCATCTTCATCACAAGCGGCCTATCGTCGCTCGAGAACATGAGCAACCCCTCGGGGCCCAAGCCACGCGTCCCGTCCCCGGACGGGTACCGCGCCAGCAAGGTGGCGCTGAACCTGGTGATGCTGTCGTGGCACGCGAGGCTGCGGGAGGACGGCGTCAAGGTGTGGTGCGTGTCTCCCGGCTTCCTGGCGACGGGGCTGGGTGGGGACAAGGAGCTGCTGGTCAAGAGCGGGGCGGGGCACCCGTCGATTGGGGGGAAACTCATCACTTCTGTTGTCGAGGGGGAGAGGGATGCCGATGTTGGGAAGGTCGTTGCTGGGCAGGGAGTACAGCCGTTTTGAGGAGCCGGGAAGAAGAATCAGAGCTGACTTGTTCGTGTCACTTGAGGAGCAAAATTCGTTACGCAAAAGGCTGTGTCCGTGGGTGTTGATGCTTGTTGTGTGTGTGCTTGTGATGTGATCTTTATTGCTGCGGACGGAGATGGTGTTAAATGCTGAATAACGATTGGTTTACTACCTAACTAAATGCACAGGACGCAACCTGGAAGGTCATACATAACTTACACAGCCCCATCTGTTGAACCTCAGAATCCCCACTGGCTACACCAGTGTTTCATCAAATCCGGCGTCACTGCCTTCATCTCCCTCATCGTCTTGCTATACTTCTTGGTTCTCGTCATGTCCATGTTAACGTGACCCTGATCCCCCTTGCTCATCCCTCGGTAAGTATCCAGAAGCTTGACTGCCGGGTTCTTGTTTGCATCATCGGTCTTTGCGTGGCTCTTCTCGACAGTGTCGACCCATTCCGAGAAGGGCACAAGTCGCTTGATACGACCGCCGTAGAACTCCTTTACGGCCTGTGCAAGGGGCGTCCAGGAAATTTTGGACGGGTTGACGCCGTGGAAATAGCCGTTCACTTCCTCGATGGGAACCCTGGAAGTGATGCCAGAAACCTCGAGGACCATTTTAGCAATCCCCTCGATAGGCGTCCAGTCGACGGTCTGCATTGGCCCCAGGTCTTCCGGGAGAACGCCCAGGTACGCCGAACTGGCGATGATTGTCGGGAGCCATTCCTGTTTGTTCCACATCCCGTTTTCCGACTCGGGCCCTCCAATCTGCCCGACCCGGATAATCTCGGAGGGGACGCCGGATTTCTTGGTTGCCTCCTCGAGGAGAAGACTGCCGACCAGTTTCGACCGACCGTATCCGGTGGAGATGATGGTGAGGTCGTCGATGGATTTCTCTGGGACCGGATATGGGTGTTTCCATCTGTCCACCGTGCCGATGGAAGAGATGAAAGTGATAGGGGCCTGTTTCCTGGCCCCGGCACTGAAATCGACGAGGTGACGGACTCCCCGCACGTGGGGTTCGAAAGACTCGACCGGCATGTTGAAATTGACCGGCCACTGGTTATGGATAATCCTATCCACCTCGTTGTGGAGCCGCCTGTAGGCTTCGTTGCCCACTCCAAGACATGATTGCCCCAGGTTAGCGTGCAGGAACTCGACCTTGGCGAAATCCGTCTTCAAACCGCGAGATTCTGTTACCTCCCTCTGCCTTCCAAGTCCGTCTTCCGCACGGTTCAAGCAGACGATCCTTTTCACAGCCGCCGAGGAGCACATGAAGTCCAGCAAGTATGATCCCAAGGCCCCCGTCGACCCCGTGAGCATGATGACCTGCCCATCGTCGGCGGGAGGCAGTTTCTCGGTAGTATCCGCAATTGGCAGATGGCGGGTATATTTATCGAGCTGGGCCTTCATCGCATCAATCTCGTGCTGGGCATCATCCTCTTCGACTTCTTGGCCGTGGCTGCCGCGCTTGACTAGTGAATACAAGTACCCGGCAAGCTTCCTGGGTGTCGGGTTCCCGTATATGACACGGGTCGCCACATCCCCGGCGCTGACGTCGAAGCCAGCCGCCTCCAAGCTGGCGCGAAGGAGTCGCGAGGCGTTGATGACCTTCATAGAGTCGATCCCGGCTTGAAAGAAATCCGTATCAGGGTCGAGGGAGACATCTCGTGCGTTCGCCTTAAAGAGACCCGCCACTGAATTCGTCAAACCTCCCTCCGAGCTGAGGTCGAGCTTGACAGCTTCGGATACAGCTGCCTGGCCAGCCTTGTCATAGATGTCGTTGATCTCGTCCTTGTATAGCTTCACAGTACCAGCCCGTTGGACCGTGCCTTTCCCGGCTCTCAGGAATGGCTTGTCAGGTTTGGAGATTGCGATGAACTTGCGTCCAATCTGGCCGTGTGCCACTGTTTCCTTGTTGGCCTGAACAACCAGCGGCCAGATATTATCAATGAACTCGTTCACCTCTTTCTCACTCCCAGGCATCTTCTGAGGTTCGATGAGAAGTGCCGGCTGGAACTTGTTGGATCCCACGACAAGGGCACCCTTGACGTCCGGGTGGCCCATGATGGTGCTCTCGATCGTGACGGGGTTGAGCTTCTCCCCGTTTGAGAAGACGATGACGTCGTCCGCACGGCCTTGGTGGAACCAGTGGTTTGGCAGGGTCGGATGGCGTCGATAGAGGTCTTTTGTGCTGTACTCTTGGGCATCCGGAAAGGTGTAGAAGAATCCCTGCAGGCCGGGGTCCTTGTCCTTGCGGATAATGACCTGCTCGAATACGTTGTCTTCCCCGGTCTTCCGCCAGTCGCAGCCAAATATATCCGAGTTGATGATGAACCAAGGCCACAACTTTCGGTCAGGTTGATGGTATATGGGGAACGGAGTGAACCTGGCAATGGTGTCAGAGGCAGTCCGGACAAAGTTATTGATGACAGGCAACAAACTCACTCTGTCGCGGAGATGATGTTCTCCAGAGCCACGCCATTCTCCACGAGTCTATCGCCGGCCTCTTGGGCGAGATTGCCTTATGAAGAACGTCAACAGGAAATTGTCCTAACCCGCTTCTTTGAAGGGGAAACTTGCCACCACCAAACGCAACCATGTTGAGCTTACTCAGGACACTTGTGCCTTCGTCCGACTGACTCAGCTCTTCAAGAATGACAGGGGGGAGGAGGACCGCCTTGGGACCAAGTTTAGTCAGACATTCGACGACAATGTCCGAAGAAAGGGGCTTCTCGGGAATTCCTAGGGCGACCAGCTTGTCCCAGTACAGTGTCGCGATGATGGTCATGTACAACGCAGCCGCATGGAAGAGGGGCACTGTTTTGACACACAACAAAAGTCAGCATCAGTCATCGCCCAGGACAAAGCAGGTTGCATACTTGGCGCAAACAGGAGGTCAGACATTTCCTCCCAGGCCTGCAACCACACCCGCGTCCCCTGCCACTCCGGCAGATCGTGGTAGGCATCACTGATGGCGATCATGCCCTGGCGGCAGACGATGGGCTTAGGGATCCCCGTGCTGCCGCTCGTGTGCAGGACCACAAGAGGGTCCCACCTCGCCTCGTCAAACGACGAACCCCTATCGTACGGGAAGGGCGGAACCTCCTCGGCCGGGAACCACTGGTCCAACGAACTGACCATGATGGCCTTCATGTCGCGCTCCTGCAGCCACGGGTGCACAGTAGCGCTGAACCCCGCGTCGAAGCAGAGTGTCCCGCAGTTGGTCTTCTCGAAGAGGCTGATCTGCCCCTCGTGCGAGTTTCGAGGGGAGATGAAGAGGGCGTTGAAAGGTATATGTGTGTCAGTATTGTACGGCCAAAGTTATCAGTAGCTCGGGAACTGATGGAAACAAGGTGACGCACCTGGTAGCCCGCTTTGATGGCGCCAAACATATAGATGAGGTATCGGATATCGTTGGGGCCGATGTATGCAACCGTGGGAAACGTCTTCGGCGGCGGCGGGCCCGAGGTCTCGATAATCTTGTGGGCGATGTGGTTGATGGCATTTGCGGCTTCCTTGAAGGTGACAGCTTTCCACCCATCCTTGGGATCCGCCGAACGTGGAATCATGATCCAAGGGCGGGAGGGCTCGTTTTTAGCACGCTCATCGATGATGTCGACCATCAACCTGCGACCGTAGGGCGGCTTCACCCCATCTATTCCTGGCATGTTTACTTAATCTTGCTTTGCCGTGAGAAGTAGGAGTTGGGGTTATTCTGCCTGCGAAGTTGGTTGCCTTTCGGAATCCTGGGTAGGTTCTGGTGGTGTTATGTGCCAAAGGACGATGGGCAATATTTCAAGATGTTTGCATGCCGGATGCCCCGGATTGTGGAAGCAAGAAGTACGAGTGCCGCAGCATCTCCCGCATCTCCCGCATCTTTCCTTCCATCACTCATCATGAGTCCAATATGTGTGGGTCATCCCCCCATGTGGAGATGTTCAATTGCATCACGCGTGGTTGAATAGGGGCCAAAATGACGATCCCATGAAGTTTAATACGTGTTTGTCAGGGGATTCGGAATAAATATACCGGGAGCATGCTTGTTCTGGCACGATTAGCTAAACTTAAAGCAATGCCTCTACTTGAGAAGAAATACCGCGTGGACGCCGTATGGCGTCAGAAGAAGCTCACTTGATGTATCCTGCAGCGTGCAGGCGGAGCCGTGCCAATCAAGCTCTACGTCTCCGATTTATGCCTTTGCACTCGGGGTATGATACCGGCAGTTGGTTGCAGGACAGCAGCCCATCTGTACACGTTGGACCAACAATTATCCTCGTCCGACTTTGACTTGTAGCAGAGCCTGGCACCCGCCTCAACTTGCGCCCCGTAGAACTCAAGTGTATGGGTTCTACACTCCCGGTATCTCAGATCACTGAGCCGAGGTTGCTCGACTTGTGGAACGGGATCATACGGTAAACCTTCAAAGTCTACGGAGAGGCGGTCGGGTACTGTGGCTTTTGAGATCAAGCTCGAGCTCGTATCGCCAGGTGCTCTAAAGGTTGAGCTGTACCTCCTCTACCCACCAATGCACACAACAAAGTGCATATAAATATAGCCCTGACAACGAAGGCTAGGTTGTGAAGCTTTAGGGGCCTGCAAAGGCGCTCTGAGAGGAGCGAGAAGATTATTCTCGGGGTAGATCCATAAGACGCTATGCTAGAACCCTTGTGCAGATAAGCTTGTACTGCGGTAAAGCATGCCCAATAAGATCTACTGTTACATTGATTAAGCGACATTCACAGCTCCGTCTCAACTCCACTCGTCTTGGCTTCCTTGCTATCGCTCCCTTGATAGTCGGTGTCGTATCCGTGATACCCAACCGTTGCATGTCACAAAGGGAGAACGCCAATGATGGATGCCAAGGATGAATACCTGGGTGCTTGCTTCTTGGTTCCATATCCTCTATTGCACGCTCTATTGCCAACAGCTACATGCAAACATACACAGGGCCGGCCATCTAGTTCGGCAGACTTGGCAGCTCACACTCAATCAGACTCTCAACCCCCTTCCCGCCGCTCCAGATATTGACAATCTTCAGCCCAGCCATCTCCTCAAGCAGGTGATGCCAGTCGGCCTCGGTGCGCTCCTTGGAGCAGAAGAGCGTCAACATGACCATGTCGAGGGCCGACGTCTCCCAGTAGGCGCCCGTCTGCGGGATGACGTTCTCGTTGATAAGCAGCTTGCTGTACCCGGGCTTCATAGCCTCCTTGATGCGCCCCAGGATGGTCTGGCAGACGTCGTCCGGCCAGTCGTGCAGGCATGAGTGCATGTAGTAGGCACGAGCACCTGGCAAATCAATCAGCCAATGCTCAGGGGAATGACGGGGAGAATTCGGTGCTTCCTCAATTACCTTTGACTGGCTGCTCTGTATGGAAGTCATACTCTATGCGCTGGATCTCCGAGTCCAAGTCTTTGATCTGGCCGATGACGACAGGTAGATCCTGGAGGATCAGCTTCCCCGGCGTGTTGGGGTGCCGGCGCTTGAACTCGGCCAAGTCGTGGCCCACGCTGCCACCGATATCGACAAGGAAGGGGGCGTCCGGGCTTTCGTCGGCACCATCGATCAGGTTCTCCCTCACCGGGTAGAAGCCCGGTGCCATCCACGGCGGACGGCCTTGGCGGTATCCTCCCATGTGGTGGTTGAAGTGCATGCCGTAGCCGAGGGACTGCTGCCACGCAAACATATCCTTCTCCGTGCTGTAGGCGTACATCATCGGCGTGTCCTTGGCGTCGGTTGGGTTCTTCCAGCCGTGTTTTCGGGCGTATTCGTGGAATTTTATGGGCCCGGCGCTCGTGGCGGAAAGCCTCCAGTTGGAGAGACAGAGCGTGGTTAGCCTTTGTTTCCGTCATCGAGACAGGGGACTCTGCTTACATGGCGAGATAACCATCGCCAATGATGGGAATGCTCATGGCTTTCGAGTAGTTGGTAGGCTTGTACTCGTCCGCGCCAGTCTCGGTGACGTACCCCATGGCACCCAAGTGACGCATCAAACGGCCTGTCAACATCACATGTTAGTTCAAACCGGCTGCGACGAGGATATAGCCGGGAGCCAGCGGTCAGACTAAGGAGACATACTCAGGAGGACAGGATCAACCCCAAGGCTCTCAGCCAGCTCGCCAACTGTCTGAGCTCTGTCGCCATTTTTGGCCATCAAAGTCCACAAGCCAGAGTCGACACCGAACATGAGGCCAGCCATGGCACCAGTCTGCAAACGTCAGCAACTAGAGGACAGGTGCAGTAATTGGGAGTCCATTTACGCACTTGTGCCCAGCAGTGCTTTACCATGGTTTCCCTAGGCGTCTCGAGAGCCTGAACCATGGTTCGGGCCTTGACGAGAAGGTCGTGCCTGGCTTCATCGCCGCCGGTTTCCAGTGCATCTACACCAGCGATGATTTCCTTCAACAGGCCCGGAATTGCTTCGGCATCGTTGGGACTCGTCGCAATGGACACGTCAACCGGTGGGCTCTGAGCTCCATTGACTCCGTTTGTGCCGTTGGCTTCGCTGACTGTCATTTTGTTGCTGATATTGTGTAATTATCCGAGAAGCTGGGGCGGTTTGGGGCAGCAAGTAGGGAAAGGGGAACAGCAAGAGGGCAACGGGGAAGATGGCTGGATATCCGCAGTTATCAGATCCCAGGAGTCAACTTATTAACCTGGGTGGGGAGATTCTGTCGGCCACATGCAAGGGTGGAATCGACAGCACCATCCAACCGGTTATCTCTCCTCGCACTACTACTCACACTACTGCCGAGCACTTCACAATGTCAACACGCATGGGTCCCTTGGCGGTGATAGGTCATATCTTAATGGCGAGTCGGAGACTTCGACGACAAGGGGTAGTTGGGTATTAACGGCCGAACCCCTTTTGTATTTTTCCCATGGCCGAGATAGCAGGTAGACTCGCTCTACGATGACTTGCGAATAAAGACATACCGCAAGTAATTACAGTGCTTGAACCTGCCAGGCAAACATCGCGATTCAGTCAGTCCTCCGGCGCAACCCGTTCGCATCCTCCCAAAAGGAGTCGAAGCTCGGCCCACGGTTCTACGAGGACTACAGCGAGCAGAGCAAGTCGGGCATCGAGCTGGGCCAGCGCAAGCCAAAGTCCAAGGCCAAGGACGACCTCGGGCTGACCATCGTCGCCGATGACGACAGCCAGGAGAACATCCTCATACCGACCCAGGGCCAGGAGTGCTCGTATAGCAGCAGCAACAACGAGAACGACAGCAAGGACAACAAGAAGCATCGCGCTAGCCACCCTGTTGACGGCACCATCGTCCGGACCGATGTCGTCACAGTCGAGTATGAGCCGCGGACGGCGAGGCGGGACACGGTGGGCTCTCAGCGATGGAGGGTTGTTTGATATGTTCGGCGAGTGCATTCCCCAGGCCGTGGACTGATCGATAGACCCATGGCCTCGTCGTTAAAGGGGGGTCATAGTCCCGTGGCCATGTATTTATAAGAACTTGGTGTATAATCTACTCAGGATTGGCCATCATGTGATTTACATTCCCGGCCCGTATCAATAAATGCCGAATCGAAGACAGCACCCCGCCGTGTTCTTGGTTCCATCTTATTATGGCGACGCATCTCTCGAATGGGCCACCCCTTCCTCCGTTTCCAGCAAGCGTTGAAATATTCTGTGTTGACGACCTGAACACATGAGCACCAATCCAATTATCAACATTCAAAAACGCAGAGAAGGGCAACACCGACGCAGATGTCTCCAGTTGCATGTTCACTTGGAGGTGACTGGGGAGGGAGGGTGGTCCGTGCATTTTCCAGCCCCTGACCCCTGACCCCTGACCCTTCTTGACTTCTTAATAGTAATTTTCCGATGCTTCCTATGGCACACTTTCCGTGCGCTGTGTCCTGTATCTAACTCAAATCTCTCACGCTACTAGCCCAAAAGTCTCCGAGCCTGGCGTTGTCCATGTGATGTATATGGGAGCCCCGTTACTGACAGGAAAGAGAACATGAGCCGAGAGCTAAACCCGCGAGCACAGAAAACAATCACAATCATTCCGTTCCTCATTCACCTTGTCAGGATCACTTCATCATCAACAACAGAAGAATTGCGGCACCCACAACTGCTGGTGCTGGTACAAAGACGATGGGCGAGCTCAACCGTGACTTCTTCGAGTAAGTTGCCAACACCCCATAAATTTCACCACATCATCAGTAAACGGCTGACATGGTATCGGCTACGCAGCCGGCTCTGCAGCCAGATTCCCTGGGTCCGTGACCTTGTCGAAGAGATCTCCGGCTTCCTCCGGGACCACACTGCCTGGATTGGCATTCCAGATGCACCGGGGGTTAGACTGTTGGATTACGCTTGTGGATTCGGCGTCGCTTCCACGGTACGAGTGGCAGCAACCGGCAGCAACCAACAGCAACTTCATCTGATCTCTCTCTTCCCCACCCCCCACCTTCCGCCATCGTCGCATCGGCTGACAAAAATCACCCCTACAGGCCCTCGCCCCGCACGTCCCCGTCCTCCGCGGCATCGACAGCTCCGACGGCATGGTAGCGCAGTACAACGCGGCCGCACAGAGCCACGGCCTATCGCCGGGCCGTGAGGGGCGACCTACTGGCTGGTTCCGGGCCGATCGACGACCCGGACCTATCCGACTTCGACGTCGCCGTCATCTCGATGGCGCTGCACCACGTCGAGGATCCCGAGACGATGATAAAGAAACTGGCCGAGCGCCTGCGGCCGTGTGGATCTCTGGTCGTCGTCCACAAGCTCGTGCCGGCCGGCGCCGGCCCGCCTGTGCCGGTGAGCTTCCCGGCTGCGCATACGGTCACTCGTCAGGGATTTGGGGAGGAGGAAATCCGCGGCATGTTTGCCGACGTTGACAGTTGCTGACTAGGTGGACTAGGTCATGTATCGCATTGGGTCACATGACTTTCGATGTTGACAGCGCCTTGCTTTGGGAACTTGCCCAGGACTCAGCGCAAGAGGTCGCCGTAATCGGCGCGGGACTCATCATGAAGGAGTCCCAAGACCTCGCGCGGAATCCTTGGAAAATGCCGCTGATCAAGAGGCTGGGAAAATTGGCCGGCTACCTCTAATTCGTTTCCTTTGACCGCGACAAGTACGAAATTCAGGATACCGCTTCCCAAAAGGTCGGGGAATTGCTGCAGGGCCTCGAGCTGTTGTGCACGGTGAGCTTCCACGTTCTCTCGTGTGCCACTTACGCCTTTTTCTCTGACTGGAGTAATGTGGTTCTAGTGGCCTCCCAAAGCTGCATCACACTTGGGTAGCAAAGATCCTTCTACGCAGTTCCCTACCCTCTATGCCTTGACGTCCAGGCACGTTGAGCAGGTGCGATACCCAGACGGGATAGTTCAGCTTGAACGCAGCCTGATAGCCTTTGTTTCAAGCGACGCCCACATGGTTAAGGGCTATTTCTCGTTTCTCAAAAGATTTTCATCAACCAGAGACGAGCTCCAAAAACAGGCGCAGGCAACTCAAGCAGACATTGCCGGACCATCCGCGAAAGGCCTCGAGATACCGGACGATTACCCAGCCCATGTCCACCAAACCTTGTATGAAATCGTGAAGAAGTACTCGCAGTGTTGTTGCGCAGTCTCGGGTGTACTGCCGAGTCCCTTGAAACGGCACGATGGCTGGCTGAGGCTGAAGGAGAATTTCCAGACCAGCGATGACGATGTTGTTTTCGATGCTGTTTTCTCCAGGACTCCACAGCGCGAGCCAAACGACAGAATCGAATGGCAGCATCTGCAATTCCACATTGCAAGGTGCCTTTCCGAGCCCTGTTAACCTCTGTCGTGTTCCACTGACGCGAAATGCCGACCAAAGGAATCAGCCACGCCTGAGAGGTGTGGAATTCGCCGTCTAAGATGCTCCATCTCCGCAGCCGGCAAAGCCAGCCGCGAAAGCCCAGTATGAGGGCACAATCAAATCTACCAGTCAGTTCTGCGAGCTCCTCAGAAAACGAGTCTGTCCCGTCAAAATATGTCTGAAGGTCAGAGGCGACAAGCTATTGCAGCTGCGCGACCCCAAAGGAGTCGACGACGACATCGCTCAGGAGCAAAACATCTCGCTTGCAGACGTGCTCGAGCGCCACGACCTATGTGCCAAGAAAAGGTTGCTGCTCGCCTACATCCTAGCCAGGTCCTTTTGGCAGTTCTACAACTCAGATTGGATGGGTAACCAGTGGACGACAGAGACTGTGCAGTTTTTCCGGGAGCGGGATGGCGAAGACGACGACGACGAACACCACAATAATGTCTGCCTGCTCGAAGAAAGCCCGTACGTTGCGCTGTCCTTCCAGAAATACAATTCGTTGCTATCGGCAGAATATCTTGCCACTGAATATGTGGTTCACCGCTACCCTCGCGTCCTGGCATTGGGTACCATGCTCCTCGAAATTGGGCGGAGGAAACGCCGCAAAAAGACGACGCCAGGGCATGCAAATGATGAAGTCAAGACTATCGAGGAGAAGATCAGCAATTATTTGAACGATATAAGGAGCACCTTGAGACGGAAGACGTGGCCCGAACTTGGTCTCCAAGAAGAGGTGCAACAAACGTACAGAGTCATCGTCAATAACTGTTCGGACCCGAAGCTCTTTGACACTGGCCATACGAACCCGTCAGCACAAGACAACGATGTGCTCACAATTGAAGAAAGACGCGCTATTTTCTATAAAAGCGTCATTTCTCCCCTGAAGAAGCTTCTTGAGAAATTGCAATGGATCGACAAGTCGGGGAACATTCAACGTCAGGATGGCGTCGAGGACTCTCGCATACCAGCGGCCTTTCTCAATGCTGAGCAGGCATCCAACGCATCTCAGCCAGGGTTCGTCGCTGCCATTACTCCTGCTTTGGATATCAAACATCTCTTACTGACGGATAGTAACAGCTTCAAAGCTCGGCAGTGGCTTCTCAAGATTCAGAACTCGCCAGTCACAAAAGATCTCTGCTGGGGATTCGTAAAAAATCCATCTCTTGAACGAATTCGAATTGCCGTCCTAGACACGGGATTTGACCCAGCAGCGGCTTCTTTCAAAGGATCCGGACCGGAAGCGCCGGGTCAGGGAATGGAAAGACTACGTAGTCGACGAATCAAGGACGAGGGTGGATGAGGATGGACACGGAACGCACGTCTTGTCGCTTCTGATGAAAGTAGCTCCCGCAGCCAACTTTTACGTTGTGCGAGTTGCACGAGACACCCAGGATTTGGCCCATTCCACCAGCAATATTGCCAAGGTATGAAACCCATCTAGCCGAACATTCCAACGAACGAAGGGGTTTTGCTTCTACCACAATTTGCAACAGTTTGGTTCGCTGACATTTACTCTCAAGGCAATTATGTGGGCAGCTGGGGAACAAAAAGTCGATATAATCTCCATGTCATTTGGATTTGACGAAGAGGCTGTCATCCAAGGCAAGCCGGTCATCAGCAATGCCATATCGGACGCCCTACGAATGAGAAACCAGCGCATCCTCTTCTTCGCAGCTGCGGCCAACGAAGGGGGAAACCAGCCTGAGATGTTCCCTGCCAGGCACCCACAGGTCATTTCGATACGAGGGACGGACGACAAGGGATGGCTCCAGCGCTTCAACCCCCCGCCGGGCTATGCGGGTTTCGACTGCTTCATGACGCTCGGCCAAGACGTCCCGGGCGCCGGGCTCAGTAGCAGAGACGGCGGGTTTGAAGTGTGCAAGTCCGGAACGTCCTTCAGCACTCCGATAGCCGCGGGAATAGCTGCCATGCTGCTCGGTTACGCTCGTTTGCACCAAACGCAGCTGCAAGACATGCTCCGCACAGACACTGATTGGAAGCTGTGGACAGTTCCTGTCATGCGCAAGATGTTGAGAAAGATGTCGACGGAAATGTTAGACAACTGGTATTACTTGTCAGCGGAGGAGTTTACGAAACGCCATCACCACCTCAAGTTAAGCATGATTGCTTTGGAGTTTTGATTAGGGGCTAACAGTTGGGAACTTGATCCAAAAGAAATCTAGCCTAACACATACTCATACAAGAGTATTCATATTCGAACTGTGAATTCAAAGGTTGAAGCTTTCTGATTTCGCCATTGAACTGTAATTAATTGCTCTCCCATCTTTTAGCGACAACCCCTTGTTTTTATTATACCAAGAGAGCAATTGCTTAGTTTGCTTGTCTTGTCCCAATCCAGATGATCCCTCGCCAATGACATGACCCCGGAAACAGCGCCGGGAATACAATGTCTTGTCCCACAACGGTGGGTTTCATTAGTCGCTAAATATAGAAAGTTGCCAGAGGGTAGTGGATACGAAGGACCGCATCCCCGAACTGCAACTCCAGGTTTTACACTACACAATTCTCGATGCCCTTCAACACGCCTAGCCTGCGGAACGTCTCCGCTCCACAAATCTGCCACGGACCCATCATCTCCGGTCTTGGCTTGCTTATCTAGCCCGACTTCCTCGATGATTCCAAGGGTCTGATCGCCGTCCATGGTTTCCTAACCTGGAGGTTTGTGGTGAGGAGCCACTGGTGTCTCCCAAGTCAATGATGCATGCCAAGATTGTAGGTAGTAAGCATCGGGATGCCCTTGACTTAAGGAAAAGAGAATGAAGGATGTGTATCTGTCTCCCTAGATATATAATCCGAGACCGCTTCACCCGACTCCATGCCTCTTCACGTTTTTCCATCCCCAGAACCAGCCAAACCCCAACGCATCTCTCGCCATCAGACTTTGCAACCCTCCAAACCTCGAGCCAACCTGCCCAGAGCTCCAACTCACAAACACTTCCACGATGCACTTCTCTCAGCGCCTCATCACGGCCGCTCTCCTCCTCGCCACGACAGCCCTCGCAGTCCCAGCCCCACAAGGGACCAGCGCCAAATCCGAGTGCTGCTGCTGCAACCCGTCGATCCCGGCCACGGTGTGCACGACCATCGCATCCGGCAACCACTGCATTTGCCCGGCCGTCTTCTGCGAGCCCAAGGTACCGAAGCTGAAGCAGTGCTGCTGCTGCGACAACTGCTCGCTCATTCCCTACGAGGACAACTGCTACTGCACCATGAGGGTCTGCCCGACGACGTCGGTCAACTAGGGGGAGCAATACTGGTCACGGGCAAGATATGCCCGGGAGGGGGGGCTGCCTGAATGGGTGGGATGAGCGGACAGAATTGGGAAAACCAAAAAAGTTCTGCATTGCAGATGCAAAGTGTAATTAGGAGACTGCTTTGGTCGGTTGAGCGGGAGAAAAAGGAGCTACGAGTCTGGTAAACGCATGGGAACTGCAAGAGGGAGTCTTCGTTCAAGAAGATATCAACCAATTCAAATGCCCTTGAGGACTTCAACTCAGACGCACCTATTTAATGGTGCACAGTATGGTTTTTACGCTCTCCAACATTGTGCTCTAAGTTGGAGGATTCGTCTAATATTCTTGACTGGAAGCAAATCATGACTCCGAGACTCGCGGCGCATATTCATACTACCACTTGCCCAAAGCTGGTTGCATTTCCCGGAATGCCTTGTGGTCGGTTACATCCCGACGGCTATATTGCGATCCCCTGGCCGATGTAACTCTGCGGCGTGCGGCAGGAGATGGGGAAGGTTATGCTCAACCAGGTTGCACCTTCTGCTAACATATAAACATCGATAGAGCACCTCACAACTCGGTCTCTAATAAGAGAGGGGAAGGTCAGTTGACATGAGGCACGAAGAAGTTCACATGGGCTCTGCATCTGTACAGCACTCCTGCCCCTTCAACTATTACTGGTGGGATCTGTTGGTTCTGCTGTCACCTTGAAATCTCCCGGTTTTATATCTACGAATTGCACGATAGTAGATAGCATTGTTGAGCCACGGTTGACACGCTGCTGCATGGCTGTAGTTCCTTACATCACCTTCATCGGTGTCCTGGACCTGTCACAGGGTATGTACCATACGTATAGCAAGGGTGCCGTAGACGTGTGTTGGTGATGATTAGCATCATGCCTCTCCTTAATAACCCATCGTCTAGCAGATAACCCTCAACCCCCACCCGCCAGCAATACCCCTTGCGACGGCAAACGCAACGACGGCCGCGAAATAAAAGCACCCACAGAAGATAATCAACCCCTGATAATCCCCGTCATTAGCTTGCAAGATAGCCCCGGCAATCGGAATCCCCACCAAGGCACCAAAACTACAAACGAAGAAGGCGGTCCCGCTCCGCTTCCCATAATCCTCAGTCTTGCACACCTGCCCCACACACACAGGCGTCAAGCTGATAGCCGCGCCCGACCAGAACCCATAGAGCACAGTAAACGACGTGATCATAGCCTCGTTCGCCGCGGACGTGAGCCACAGCGCCAAGATGAACGCCGTGCACACCAGCGCCGTGCCGCACATGACATTGAAGTGCCCGAAGCGATCCGCCACGTAACCCGGCAGGGCTCGGCCGGGGATGGCTCCTACATTGAGCAGGGCGTTGAGGCGATACGCCTTCTGCGGATCGACGCCGGCGCGGATGGCGTACGACGAGATGTACGAGTAAGGGATGAAGACGGCGAACTCGATGAGGAAGACCGCGACCGTTGTGGCGGCGAATCTCCTGTCGCGGACCAGCGCCGTCAGGTCGATGGACGCGCCGGCCTTCTTGTTTGGCGGGAGTCGCTTGCGCAGGAGGCAGCAGGCCATGAGGCCGAATGCGGCGCTGATGAACCCGATGACGCGTATGGCCCAGGGGAACCCGATGCGCGGGGCTAGGTGGAGGATGATGAGGGGGAAGGCGACGCCGCCGAGGCCGCCGGCGGTGCAGGCTATGCCGGTTGCGAGGGCGCGGCGCTTGAGAAACCAGTGGCCGATGGAGGATATGCTTGGGTTGAAGATGAGCGAGGCTGACATGCCGCCGAGGACGCCGAAGGATAGCAGGAACTGGTAGAATTCTAGGCAAGAGCTAGATATCAGCCAAGTTCAAGTCTGATGTGGAGGTTCGGCGTTGTCAGCGACCTTTTGACAGGCTCAAGCACATTATGGACGCCACGATTCCGATGCTCCCCGGGATCACCAGCAACTTCACATCGTGCGCATCGAAGATGGGGCCTGGGGAATGCCACGAGTTAGCTGCGCATTATAAATTGCCAACATTCGCTGGGTAACTCGCCAGTCTGGGCTCCGCAGAAGTACAGGAAAAAAGCGTAGGTACTGAAGATCCATCCAGTGGTTGATTCTGGCAGATGCGACAACTCATTCTGGGAGACCCATGCCTGAAGAACAGCCAAGGTGTTTAGCAGCCCCATGCACGGGATCATGGCGCACCAAGCACCGAGCACAACGAGCCATGCCTTGGTGCCGCCTTCCGGGTAATACTCTGTATCGATAGCGTCATTGTCCGACGCCATGTCTGCTGATGTGCAGCTCAATGGTGGTTAGTGTTATTCCAGAATACATCGAATTACGGAGATAAACATACCCATTGGTAATGTCGGACCTGCTTGGGTGGGCGGTGATGACCCATCCCGTTCCTCCATCTCGGTGCTAGATCCACTGGTTTGGCATTCATCGTTGCTTGCTATGGGGAGGATTCCTGTCGTCTTAAATATTCAAAAGGTTGGTCAGCAAAGTTCACCGCTTGAGGTCAGAGATGGAGACCGAGGTCGTCTACAGTAGCGCACCCGCCGCATCCACAGAAAACCAGGGATATTGGGGACTTGATCGAATCATCGTTCTTCTGATTCCCAAGCAGCGGGTGAGGCCACACGGGTAAACAATAGCCGGCTCTAAGGCGACCCACTTGGTGTGCAGTAGTACGGAAGGAAGGGGAAAATGTCTAAGCCCGAGCTCGCCCCGCTTCAAAGTCCCCATGGCCATCTCTTATCGCCGCGTGGAGTCGGCGAAGGAGCACAAAGAGAAGATATACCATGACAAAGTGCCGCCATAGCTCCGGTTGAATGGGGTCTTTGCTGGTCCCAACGTGGTAAGGCCTATAAGGCTAGAGAGCGAGCGACAGGCCAACGTGAACCTCTCGGAAGAGGACCGGTCTTGGAGCATAGGGAATGGGATTTGAGACGAGCAGCATTGACTAACTCCTTCCGGCTCGGAGGGGTCTGGAGGGTGTGGTGTATTTCAATGATATATTCATCGCCCAGGCCCACGCTAGTCATCGACGCCGACGCTAAATAGTACCGAGACAGGTTGCCAATGTGCCATAACCAACGTATATGACGCACCCGAAACAAGTCGAGATAGAAGAAAACAACCCATGGTCCTTTCAAACCGTGGTCGGGACAGTCGGGCAATCCGAAGTCGTCGTGAACGGGAACCCCGTAGTGCACAGGACGCAGCCCGAAGCTGTAGGGCACGGCAACGTCGACGTCGAAGTCGAGACGCCGAAGGAGCTGCAGCCACAGGGCGCAGTCACAAACTCTGAATCGAGGAACGGGAAGAGTCAGTAAACCTGTCCATCCATCCATCCATCCATCCTCCACTCAGGAATCCGGGAAACAGGGAGTTCAAATCAAAATATCTCACTATCAAGAATGCAGAACCCGGAGGTGCAAGTGTGGGCGCACCCAGACGTCGGGTACGAGTGCACCGTCACCGTAGCCTGGCAGGTCGTGGCGGGCGGCGACGGCCCACCGGGACATGTCGACGTCGAGGTGGCGTAGACGTACTGCGTCCCGCACCCGCCGCCGCACCCGCCGCCGCTACCGCAACTGGCGCACGGCCGGTCGACGGTGACGGTCGGCACGGGGAAGGCGCAGTCGCACGGGTTGGAGATGGTCGAGAGCACAATGCAGTCCGGGACGGGGCATGTGGGGCAAATCTTGCCCGTCTTCGTGACCGTGGGGCAGTGTGTGTCGGTCGATGTAGTCGATGTAGTCGTCGTCGTCGTCGTCGTCGTCGTGGGCTGAGGTATGGCCGCGACGCCGCTGGAGGTTGGGGATTAGAGTCTTGAAGCAAGTTGGTTAGTTATTGGATGGGCAGCTTACACGGCGATGAGAGATAGGATGAAGGGCAGATGCATGGTCATTGGGGTATCTTTGGCTCTATAGGTCAGCTACCAGCACCGAGGAGACGACACTAGAAGAGCTGACGATCCGGGCACTTATATGTTTTTCTCTAGCCAACCCTGGTCGTTGTTGTCTTCGTCCACAAAAAAAATATCCCTGCTAGCCACGTCTATTTTTAGGTCATGGGCAACTTTAGCCGGCGAGTCTTGAAGCAGCAGCTACCTATAGACAACGGTAGGAGCGACAGTGATGGATGGACAATCGACCGCGACGGCAAGGTTATCAACAGCGTCAGTAAGTGGGAGCAGTCTGTGCCGTTGTGGCCGTTGGCGGGAGTTCCCGGCCACATCGTGGGCTCCTGAGATATAAACGCATTGGTTTTGTTTGTGCAAATAACTATCTCCGCTGGAAGGGATGGGAAAATGCCGTTATCAATGCCCACTTCTTTCAAAAGTCGTCCAGAATCATACAAACCATCTAACATCGACTTTAGGAGATTCATCCTCATCGTCGTCCTTGCCCTCCCCCTTCTCTTTGCTCCGCTTCCGCTCGAATTCGTCCCACGTGTAACAATATATCCAGATATTCGGTACCCTGTACTTGTAATCCACATCATATGCATATATTCCCCCGGCTCCAGAGCTCATCCAATCCGACGAGTACGCCATCGCGCCGGTCTTGGTCTCCGGTGGTGTCCCCTCGGCAACATGAGCGCGATTGATGACAGGCAACGACTCGCCATACAGGTAGCTCGCAAGGCCCCTCACAAAGTCACCCTTGGTGACTCCGACCTCGTTCTCCAGCGTGATGGTGGGCTCGACCTTCGGGAGGCTGCACGCGCAGCCCAGGATATGATGCGCGTCAAACAGCTTTATCGTGAACTTCTTCCGCGGCGGCAACGTCAACGTATCGGGGATCTTCGGGTCTGATACGACGGTGTCGTGGAGGCGGGCCAGGATGTCGCGCCAGTACGCCTGGAAATCAGAGGGCGAGGCCGGGTCGAAGGCCGGGCTGCGCGGGAAGGCGTCGTAGGTGGCTTCAAGCAGTGCCGCGACGACTTTGTGCCATTTCTCTATCAGCCCTTCGTCGTCGTCGTCGTCCTCGGGTTCTGAGTAATCTGCCTCTACGTCTGAGATAGGATCTGCTGCTCCTTCGGGTCTTTATCTCGGCGTCCTCCAGTTGCTGCTCGTCCATGACTGATGTCGAGTTCTCGGCCATGATAGATATGGCTATGTGAAGAGGGTTTTTTTCTCTTTCTTCTCTTCTGTGGTGGGAGAGAGAGGAAGGGAGTTCAACTTCTCCTTCACCTTGTTTTATAAAATCCTCATTTTGGCTTTACTTAAAGTTCATGACTCACGCTGAAGTTGGATTTCGGTCATGATGCAGCCGTCTGAATTGGCCACATGCGCGGTGTCTGCGTATCTGTTGGCCGAACCTTACCGGGATAGCTGTTGCCTGGTTACGTTCTACAAGAATGAACATCGACGAGCGGGACAGTGAGAGGCAGAAAAAAACCAAAAGGCTTCAGAAATGGATGGATATTTACGGGTACCGAGGTACCTCTTCCTCTCCTTGTTTTTGAGTTTATGGCAACTTTAGCCGAGGGTACAACTCACTTGCATCCCAGGTTAAAACAAAAGCAGCTGTAACTCCGCGATTTTAGGGTTGGAGTCGCTGATTTGAGAAACGTGGGGACAACACGAGAAGCTGGCGGTCTTGACACAAACGAACCCAATGGGGGGGTTTTGCCCAGCCATGTGGCGTTCCACGATGCACCGGTCATGGGTCGCCGGGCTTCAGCGCTACGCCAATAGAGGTGGTATTTTCCCGTATCGGGTCAACGGTCACGCTCCTCCGAGCCTGGACCGCTCCGTGTCCCGTAAAGCCACCAGCGTCGTCTGCGTGCCAAGAAACCATCCTGTTTCTCCAGCAAGTGATACGACCTCGAGAGAAATGCCAGTCATTCCTGTGTGGCGGCCTCAGAACGCCCGCAGTGCTGTGATACGAGCTTTATTTTCTCTTAGTGAATCTCAAGGCCGAGACCAGGACCAACCCCAGCCGGAGCTACTGACAGCCTCCAATTTCCCTTCTCAGCCCCAACTAGCGTCCTCGGATATGTTCCGTCTTCGGTTTGAGAGCCTCCTACTCTGGCTTTCGAGCCCATACAATTCTCTGTTGGTAGTACCCATGATGCTTTGGGCTGCGTATCTCGCGGCGGAGGTGGCTGACATACACCATGATTTCATCCTTCGTCCAACCTATTGTATTGGCCGCGAAGAGCACAAAGCCCTCCGTGTCTTGGTCGGCAACGAGCCGCGAGTATCGCCCAATCTCCTTCTCTCTTGGGCCATGCGGCCAGCTGCCCAATGGTGTCTGTTTCGAGGAAATTCAGAATTAGCCGCGTTGCTTCAGACCCAGCTGATATCCAGGCTGGATATAACGGGAGAGAATGCGCCCTGGTGAACTTGTGCGTTACCTTGAAGTCCAACTCTTCAATATCAACAAACCCAGCCCCCTCCATCCCCTTCCTCTGCAATCTGTCGGAAAGGACAGAGAAGGGCCGCCCAAGTTTCTTCCCCCCCTCCTCGAAGAATTTACCCCACTGCCCCATGGCACTGGTCTCCTTCACAGTCCCATCATCGCTCTGCATCACCGAATCTGGTTCGAAGCTTTCGACATAGCCGCCTGGCTTGAGGCATCTGTAGGCTTGCTTGAACAGCTCCGTCCAGTCCGCGATGCTTCCGAGCAGCCAGCGGATGTGCACGTAATCGACGGAATTGGGCGCAAAGGTCCATTCCCCAGTGCAATCCTCAATTTCGCTGATGGACGGAAAGAAAGGAGCAAAGTTAGATACAAGTGTGGCTACACAGATTCTGCTTTGGCTGACTTACAATTTCAAGTTCGGGGGCACCCACGAAGGTTGAATTGCCGAGATATCGGTCCCAATAACTTCGGTATCGGGGAATTGATCTGCAAAGTCCCTGGAAATACGTAAGTTTGATGCCCTATTGCATGTTCACTCGGAGGGGATGCATTCCATACAAGGCCCAGATCCCTGTCCCAGTCCCAATGTCGATTGCTTTCTGGGACGAGAGAGAGAGAGAGAGAGAGGTGTCAGTTGGCTAGCCCGATATTATCTTGCGGGGTGGTTGGTAACGTATCACACCTGGATGCCCTTCTTTATGGGAGCTTGATGCAGCTTGCCATTGGTGCAGAGAGTGAGCACATGGTGGCTGTTTATCTGACCATCAGCGAGTCTCCCCTTTGCCTGCCAGCTCGGCGACGGTTGACAACTCTCACAGGATATCTAGGGCCTCATTTTGCTGTTCATCATTGCTTGCCCTTTGAAGCGAATCAGCGGGAACAATCTGGAAAAGCCGGACAAGGGTCTACCCCACCAGTACTGGGCGTTGCCCCTCTCGCTGTGATATCTCCGGCCATGAAGGGTGCGGTAGTGCAAGATGCTGGACGTGAGCGAGGCAGTCGAACTGGCGGTGTCAGAGCCAAGGGCCGAGTCATCTTCATCGATCTCTTCCAAGGGGGGAGGGTCCTAGTTTCGAGGTTAGCCCCTCGTCAGTACGAGGCCTGTGACTACAGCAGTCATTTTGTTTTACTGACTTGTGTTGCCCAATGGTGCGCAGGAAGAATGCCCACAGACACAGAATGGCCCCGCCTGCTCGTGTCTTGCTCGGTGGCTATTTTGTCAGGCATGGCGGGTGGAAAGTTTGGGGGATGGATGTGGTTGTACAGCACGAGACACAAGAAGCACGGAAACTCGTCTTAAAAGTAATTTTGAGGGGGGCCTAAGCCGGACACCAGCGTTCCACTCCAGCGATCCCACTCTCAGTTCCCAATGTTGTTGGTTTGTTGGTACAGGGTTGACACCCCCGAAAGGAATAGCCCCTCTCTGGAACATCCAACCGCAAACCGTGGAGGAATGCATGTTGGTCCTGGCAGATGCAAGGCCTGCGTCCGCGGGCTGCACACACGTCCTTACTGGTGAGAGGCGGCACCACCCGTTGCGTTTTATGCCGGCAAGTGGAGATGCATGCTGCATTCCATCACGGCCACCGAATGGATCCAACAGTCGCCATCAAAAAAGTCGCACGAGTGTGTCATGCAAGCTGGCCCCCATCTCGCTGGCAGTTGTTCTCTTTCCGTCCATTCAATCTGTCCATGATGATGATGCAGGTGGGGGAGGCTTATTATGTACCTATTCTCTCATTGGCAGCGGTAGACTGCCCAAGAATGGCAGTTCACACACATCAATACCAAATTCCGCGATATCCTGGTTGATAGGGTCGTCAACCTAGATTGATCAAGGGGTTTGATACCAGCAGCACCAGCGATGAGGCGCCGGGACGTTTCGCCATGGACAGCATCATCGACGACCCAGAGATAGTCAAGGACTTCCTGCACAACTGGGAGATATGGCGCGACCTGTGCGAGCCATCTCTCTTCAGACTTGGCCGAGTTGATGTTGGTCGTCGGGGGGAGGGGTAGATTTGGCCTCACCCGGAAGGCTTCCGGACAAGTCGGGACACACATCTGACTGTTCTACTCTAATTAGTCTTAAAGCAGATCGATAGCTTGGAATAGGACTCTTACGGATATGGCTTTATGACACCCCAGCTGCGCAGGCATCGCCATCATCATAGAATCCGTGGCTATAATTCTCTTCCATCCCGAGTCCGGGCGAGTCTCGGGAAAGTATTGTCTTCATGCATCCAATGTGCATAATTATCCGCCCGGCCACTTCGGAATTCGGCGTTGTGCTCAACGTCATTCCAATCGGCCCATGCCGCGGGATTCGGTGTTGTCCTCAACGTCATTGCCGGCCAATCAGTGCAACGCCAATTGGTCTTACCCATCAATCTAAGTTGCAATCATAAGATCTAGGTTCATAAAGAAAGCGGAACCCGTCCACGCAAACGAGACACCAGGCAACAGGCATAGCATGAATACCAAGGCCATTGGCAACATCACCATCTGCATCGGCGCCCGGAGTCTGTTGCGACCGCAATCTAGATTGAGGATCCCAGTCCTATCACAACAACAAACGGCGAGAGCAGCACCTACCGCAGGGTTTCGACGAGGTCAGCTGATTGCTCAGCCCCAACGTTATCAATTCCACACCACCGCGGCGACGGGAACAACCATGAGCACCACCGGAGCACCCAGCCGGGTCCCCATCTCACCGCAAGCCGTCGACGCGCCCCTCACCCGCAGCGCCACCTTCCTAATCCTAACCATCTCCCGCTCCAGCCCAGACGCCATCAAGACGGTGCGCTCCACCCTCGCCAGCGTCGGCGACCTCGCCAAGAACGTGTCGGTGCGCGACCTCGACGCGCGGTTCGCGTGCACGGTGGGCATCGGCGCGGGCGTGTGGGACGCCGTGACGGCGGGGCGGCAGGCGCGGCCGGCGGAGCTGCGCCCGTTCCGCGAGGTGCGCGGCGCGCGCCACGTCGCCCCCTCGACGCCGGGGGATCTGCTGTTCCACATCCGCGCCGAGCGGCGTGACCTGTGCTTCGAGTTTGAGCGGCAGCTGCTGGGGTTGCTGGGAGACTCGGTGGACGTGGTGGATGAGACGGTCGGGTTCCGCTACTTTGATCTGCGCGACCTGCTTGGCTTCGTTGATGGCACGGCGAATCCGGTTGGGCCGGATGTGCCGGAATCGGTGCTTGTTACGCAGGAGGATGATGCGGCTGCGGCGGGGGGCAGCTACGTGGTGGTGCAGAAGTACGTTCACGATCTCGGCGGGTGGAAGGCGCTGCGGACGGATGGCCAGGAGGCCGTCATCGGGCGCACAAAGTTTGACAACGTCGAGCTCGATGATTGTGCGGCCGAGTCGCAGAAGTCGCACAAGCAGCTCACGACGATCGAGGACGAGCAGGGTGAGCATGACATCCTGCGCGATAACATGCCGTTTGGGTCTCCGGGGGCCGGCGAGTACGGCACCTACTTCATTGGGTACTCCCGCCGGTTGTGGGTCATTGAGAAGATGCTGGAGCGCATGTTTGTCGGCGACCCGCCGGGGTTGCACGACAGGCTACTCGACTACTCGACGCCCCTCACCGGGTGTGTGTTCTTTGCGCCAACGGGAAGTCAGCTGGCAAGTCTTGATCCAGATGACGATTGAGGATGCAGGTTATGAAGATGTATTGTACAATCTACGGTAGGTAAGTAACCACAGGTAAACGACAGATAAACTATCAATCTTGAAAATGACGGTGAATCTTGGTACCCTCTTGGTAAGGACAGCAATGAAACTCGTGAGTCGTGCAAGGCAAACTCTCCTGATCCTAGTCAGCAATGAGCATTCTGAGGACTACAACGCCGTAACAGAAAAACGACAAAACCGAGTAACCCCTGTTGTAACCCATGATGCAACCTTGGTATCCATTCCTCAACAAATTTTAACAACGAATTGGTAAGGGACCGTCAAGTTAAACAACCTTGATATCGTCAAGGTTCGATTCGAGGATATATCTTTCCCCAGTGGTCTCCGTCAGCGAGTAGAGCTTGTTCCCCCTCGGATCATAACTCAGATCCTCGGAGCCCTTTGGGAAGAATCTCGCATTTCGATGCGGGTCCTGGCCCGGAACCCACCCGTAGGCGTCGCCGCTGCTGGTCGAGATGTAGAACTGCGAGCCGACCTGCACGGCGCCCTGCATGTTGTGCACGTCCACGCACGACGCCCATTTGCCTTTGGCCGTCTTGCCGTCGGCCTTGAGCTTGCGCGTCTTGTAGTCGAGGTCCCAGACGGCGAAGCGGATGGGCGCCGAGCTGCTCTTGGGGACCCACTCGCCAACCAGGATGCTGTCGGGAGTGGAGGTCCGGTCGAGAGCGATGAAGGAGAACTGGAAGTTGAACGGCGAGGTCCATTTGTACCACCTATTGACGTATTGTGTTAGTAAATACTAGTCGAGACATTGGGAAGCCGTGGGGGACATGCCTGATCTGAGGGATAACGTATTTGTATCCAGCAGCAGAATATCCTCCGCCCGACTTCTTACCGACACCTTTGCCCGCTTCAACCTCCCATATGTTGCTCAGGTCGAAGACGCGGGTCCCATTGTCCGTGTCGACAACCCAAAGGGTGTCGCCGTACCACACGATCCCGCCAGCATGCACGGGAACCGCCTTGAAGTCATCATCGGCATATGGATAGACCAGCAGCACGTGTCGGTACTTCTTTGTCTTCTTGTCGATGAAGGTCACGCGCACGCTCTTGTTATCGCTCCGGTGCCAACTGACAATCCAGCCGTCGTGGTCGCCGTATTTGCCATCCTCCACGGCGTCGGCTGTCGACGTGATGCCCTGCGGCACCCATTTTATTGTCTCGCGGTCGTTGAAGTCGGACGTCTTCTCCCACTGGTACTTCCCGCCCGCGTCGATGGTGACTTTGTGGTTGCCGTCGTCGAAGACGTGCGCGACGCTGACATGCTTCTTGGCGTTGGAAAATTTCTTGGCCAGCGGCGCGAGGTGCGAGTTGTCGCCCTGGTCGGTCAGGACGAAGTCTTTGCCGTCCTTGGCCTTGGATTTGGTGTCGCACTTGTCGGGTGGATCTGCGGCAAGGGATAGGGGCGAGGTGGCCAGCAGGCCGAGTACCGAGATAACTGAGAAGAGCTTCATAATTTCTGGCTAAATTGACTTGGATGGCGCTATTGTAGTGCCCGGTATTAGCGAAACCTAAAATGCAATGCCATGGCCAGGGGGGCCAGTGGCAAGCATTTATAGGTAGTTTGTCCAGCCGTTGTTGGCCTTGACATAGAATTAGCCACCACATGTATATCACATACTGTGGAGGGCTGAGGGATCGATGCAGAAACGCGAAAATACGAAATACGATGCGATCTGGCATTCAACGGTGGCGACTGACGTAGATATTCTGTGATAAGGGGTGTATTTTTGTAACCGATATCGCCTTTGACCAATCATTTCCAGTACCAAGTCACGGCTTGGCGGGATTTACATACCTCACCCAGGCTTCCAACGAATTTCCACAGGGATCGACAAGAATATCATCGGGTCGATTTTACACCATCTTATATCCTATCCCAAATTCTTGAGGCACGCGGGCTGTTCTTGGGAATGACCAACCATGACCACGTTACAGAACACTCTCGCCCTATGAAGTGCGATAGACCAACTTCTCACCACTGATTCCGTCACGTCGAATGACGCACTCCCCCGCACGCGCCCGTGTCAATCGCCATGTAGCAAGACCTTGATGATCGAGTCCTCACCGCCGTAGTCGGTGGCGTAGTCGAGCGCGTTGCGTAGCCGGGAGCAGATGTCTTGGCGCAGTCGGGGGGTCTGTAGTCGAAGATGATTTGGCGAGGTAGGACTGCGGGAGCTTGGAGTTGTGCGGGAAGCAGGTTGTGAGGATGATGGAAGCCGCAACTGTAGTCGTCTAGGAGACTGACAGATGCAACCAAGGACGATAAAGTAGCCTACCAAGCGTGGTTCTGACGCGGTTCAGCGCCCCCGCTGCCGCTTGATAGGGACTTCGTCGGCCTCTAGCAAGGGAGGGTGCCAGCATGGCGCTCTAAATGTGGGAGCCGCCAAGTGTGATATGTTGCGAGCAAATCCTGCCGCCACACGACAAGACTATGCACTCATCGACCTACCTAGTCGAGGCAACATATAAGATGGTAGAAACCAATCTGACTCCCTTCAAGCTTAATGTTGACAGCCACCAAGAGACAAACACCCACCCCTTCAAAAAAAAAAAAAAAAAAAAAGTGGTTCGGAACCTGACAGGATTTGAATAGCTCACCTGGGCAGGTCGGATCATGTCATAGAGAGGGAGCATGGATATAATAATTTCCCAAGGTGTGCATTAGCAAAGATGAAGCAAAATAAAATAAAAAAGGAAAAAAATTGAGTGGTGCAAGGATCGCCTGCCTTCAGAACGGACCCAGAGGTGGCTGTCGTAGGCGCGACGGTCAGCATCGCATCTGACCATTACACCACTCGGTGACCTGTGTTGGTTGCTGTACCATGCCACTTAACTTGTTTATCAACCTTTGTCCTGGTGCGACCGGCAAGGAGCATATCAACCTACACCCTGAAGTGAATCACCTCCTGGTGATATCATGTTTTGATGATTAGTCATGCACTGGTTCTGGAAACCCCTCTGAAGAAAGCTGCACATGCCCGTCAAACCTCCGTGGATAATACCAAACCTATGAATAAAGTCGACAGTTTCTGCCAGTTCAATAGACCAATGCAGTACTTGTTTGTGGCCAGCTTACTACTTTTGTTGAATGATTTGAGATGGTAGTTGGAAGCATACTCCAGGCAGATTCCTGACTCTAAGGTGCTGCAGCTACGCAGTATTTCTTTGTGGCCCGTCAACCGCTTATATATCTGACGCTCCCTGTCTCTGGACATCTTGATAATTGAGTTTGACAGTACGTTGAGCACGACGAGCCCAGTAGTTCCCCGACCAACAATGTCTTTCAAGCCAGATACGCTAAACAGAGGCGAGTTCGTCTATTGGTATGCTGCACGCCGTAATACTTTTTGGTGCCATTCCCCTTTGAATCAATTGTTATTTGGCTATAACCCCCTTGACCCCTTACACTAGCCTCCAGGGACTCTATTATGGTTATTTACAGCCAATAGGATCCATCCTTCCCCACGGATCACGATGCGCACCAATGAGATCATCTTATGCACTACCACAATATAGATTGGTACTATAAGCCGCGGCCATTGGCGTGGGTAATGTCGCATCTTCCCTTTGTCCGGAATGTGTGGTGTCGGCTTTCAGGCGGTTATCATGTAGTTATCGTAGTGCCTGGGGGAGCTTTTCCCGGCGGTTCTCCCCACATTACGGTCCCATTGGACTGGAGCGCATTTCCGGTAATTTACCTTGTATTAACGGAGGAATATGCCAAGTACGAAGAGGTATGCGACCCGGAAGACCACCACCCCGTCTGTACTGCACTACTCTTGTTCAGTTAAACCACTGCATGCCCAGGAGCCTTTCCGGGGCAATTGGGTCCGTATAGCCATGCCCTGGGGCATAATGCCGTAGGCTATATAAACCCGGCGGTCCTCCGCCTCGGCTCCTTCCTTCACATGCTCGGCCTCTTCCTTTTCACATGTCCTTGTGAGGAGAAAGCGTTACGATGAGACTTATCAACACCAATGTTAGCCCGGCGTCGGCCGGCATCGTGTTGCTAGCGTCAGCGGCCGTTGTCGTGGCGCAGACGGCCACCACGTGCGATCTTCCGTCAACGTACCGCTGGACATCGAGCGGCCCGCTGGCGAACCCGAAGTCTGGGTGGGTCTCGCTCAAGGACTTCACCACCGTCCCCTACAAGGGCCAGAATCTCGTGTATGCGACGACCCACGACACGGGATCGAACTGGGGCTCGATGAACTTTGGCCTCTTCACGAACTGGTCTGACATGGCCTCGGCGAGCCAGAACGCGATGAGTGCGGGTACCGTTGCGCCCACACTCTTCTACTTTGCCCCAAAGAGCATCTGGGTGCTCGCGTATCAGTGGGGTCCGACGGCATTCTCCTACAAGACGTCAAGCGATCCCACCAATGCGAATGGATGGTCAGGAACGCAGCCGCTCTTCTCCGGAAGCATCTCCGGCTCCAGCACCGGCTGCATCGACCAGACAGTCATCGGTGACGACACGAACATGTACCTGTTCTTTGCAGGAGACAATGGGAAGATCTACCGGGCCAGCATGCCCATCGGAAATTTCCCGGGCAATTTCGGCTCATCATCGACCGTGGTCCTGAGCGACTCGACCAACAGCCTATTCGAAGGAGTTCAGGTCTACACCGTCAAGGGCCAGAACAAATACCTCATGATCGTCGAGGCCATTGGGGGGAACGGGCGGTTCTTCCGTTCCTTCACGGCCACCAGTCTGAGCGGTTCGTGGACACCGCAGGCCGCAAGCGAGAGCCAGCCCTTCGCCGGCAAGGCCAACAGTGGCGCCACCTGGACCAACGACATCAGCCACGGCGATCTGATTCGCAGCGACCCCGACCAGACAATGACCATTGATCCGTGCAACCTGCAGTTGCTCTACCAGGGAAAATCCCCCAGCTCCGGCGGCGACTACGGCCAGCTGCCTTACCGGCCCGGTCTGCTGACGCTGCAGCGCTAGGATGTGGCATTGCACACAACTAGGATAGGGCGGAGCAGAAGTGGTGGGCTCAGTGCAAGGGCAAACTCGCTCGGACGTGCACAAGCTGCGGAAGCAGAGAGCTCGATAGTCTAGGGTTGTAAATAGTGAAATACAAAATACATACAGAACATGTTTTGCCCTCGACTCGAACGTAGATGGAAATCATCGGGAGCTGCCGAGCTTGTGCAGACCTTCAGAGAGAAGGTGGGGGCTAGAGAGGTAGCCGGTAGCGCACCCCCTATCTAGGTTGCTAGAAGCTCGATCGTACTGACACACGAAGCAGTTCAACAGGATGTCCGACGGCGTCGCTGAGCATCAGGCCGATGGCGGCTGAGTGGGAGTCGCAACGCGGAGCCAGGAGCCCGTTTCTGCTGGACGGGGCTGACGGGGCTGACCTAAGGGGAGTACCAAGCAGTTCTTGATCACATTAATCCAGAGTGTCAGATACAGTATTTTCGGCCTATGCTCTAGTCATCCGCCACGGCAAATATTGTCTAGGCGGCGTCGAAAGACTTGAACAGCTACCCCCCGCACTCGTTGTTCCCTATTTAAGAAGCCGCTTAAAGGGGTGGGCTTCTGTATTGAAGACAAACTCATCTAAACTACCTAGCTCCGGTTCACTGAAGATCAGATAAAAGTACTTCAATGATAGAGTCCGATCGATGCAGCTCCTCGTCCAGGATAGTGACATCCGAGACAGCCGAGTTTGCAAGCGCAGTACTCGTGCTCTTGTCAATGGCCTCGAACATGGTCCAGGCTGACTCAACGAAGTCTGCCCGACCCGTCGCGCGATACAGGACAAACACGCTCTCGATGGCTTCGGGCCGGAGGATGTACCGCCTATCCGGGAATTCCGTGGGGGGAAGGCCTTGTAGGTCCACACACACTAATCGCCTAGCTTGTTCGCGGTGGTCATGTCGTCGTCGGGGCCGAAGGGTTTCCCGCCCAGCGCCAACAGCCCACCTAAGAAGCAAACGAGACGCGGCCCTGTGGCTCCAGCTCGACGGACGTTTTCCCGCTCTCTTTTTTCGTGTGCACCTGACCAGAGACCAGGATATCCTCGTTTGTCAGCGTCATCGGCCGAAACAGGTTGTATTTCGTGGCCGTTGCCATCGCCTCCTCATACATAGTCTGGTATACCGGCAGCTGACCCCCAAGCAAGGCCGACATTTTGGGTAAGTACTCATACGCCGAGTCTGCCATGGCGCCGAGGGTAAAAATTATCCCAGAGTTGAAGACCTTGGCCTGGGCATCTACGACCAGCGGCCAGAGACCAGGTAGCGATGTCGAGTTCTGCTGTGCAGCCATGTCGTCAGCAGCTACGGCCTCATGGAATTCGGTGCGCATCCCTATGATCCAGATGGTGTCGAGCGAGTCGACCAGTGTGGCCACCCAGCCGCCGAAGCTGTTGCGACGGCCCCCCGATACAGGGGCTAGCTGGTCTGAGAGCCATGCGTGCTCTTTGTACGCTGACCAGCACTTGGCAAATGTCTCCTTCACGGCGCGCCAACGGTCCTCGCGAACCCTCTGCGCATCGGCGGATTCGGCAGGGAAGGCTGTTTGGATCTTGGGGTAGTTCACGGGAGGGTCAGTAGGCAGCGCGCGGATCGAGTGGGCGGGGTAGTGAGTCACGACTGTCCTCCAAAAATATTTGTCGTCGATTGGGAGGTTGCACAAACCCCCCGCGGGTCGGCCAAGGCCCTGGCGAATTCCGAGCCTCCAAAGATGGTAGAGCAAAGCCAGCGTCATCAACACGACCGCGGAGGCGAAGGCTCTCCGCCTGGGTAGGACCATGTTGGAGTTGGATGCCCCCGACTAGAACGCGGTAATCGGTGGTGCCGTTGGCGGCTTCATAGGTGGCGTCATCCTGGGCGGCCTTTGCGTCTGGATATTCCTCCGGGTTCGGAAACTGAGGAGAGGTGCGGAGCATGGAGTCGACGCCAACACGCCGGCCCCCGCCCCTTTCAACTTCGGCTTCAGCCAACGCAGCTGCCTACGCCCTACCACTTCCTCATCGCAGTTCATCTGGCATCTTCCAAAGGCGACACGTTTCGACCCGGGTCTATTCCGCAGGGACCATACGCCAGCTTCGTTGCCAGAGTTGCTGCCACACTGATCGCGACCCAACTGCTACCAGCCCTTTACTGCGTTGCTAGGTTCTTTAGGGAGAAGAGAGCTGAGATGGCCAATAGTCCGATGGAGCCGCTGTTGATGCAAACAACAATGAGCCTCAGAACACCACTTCCCTTAGACAGCACCGGATGGGCCCAGAAAGGGCTCGAGCTCACGGATGACCAACTCCGAAATGCCGAGGCCATATCTGCATCAGAGCACTCTCCGAAGAAGATCCTGAAAATTGGCGGCGACATTGTAGTCAAACTTGGACCGGATCTCGACCTGGCTGAGTAGACAACATTCAATTTATCCGCACCCATACCACGCTTCCCGTCCCCAAGATCATCAGTGTCTATGAGAAAAACGGCTTCAAGTACATACTCATGGAGTTCCTCGAGGGCGACAAGCTAGCAAACATCTGGAAGGATCTCCCGCAGTCGCAAAAGGACTCCATCTGTGCCGATCTAACGGATTATCTTCGGCAGATGCGGAGCATCCCACCGCCGCCAAAATTTATAGGCTCCGTCACTAGGGGGCCTGCAGTTGACAGAAGATCCGGATGGCAGCTCGCGCAGCTGCACGAGAAACTCGCGCCGCTGCCGCGGGAAATGTACGCGGCGATGCACTAAACCGACCACAGCGTCGTGTTCAGTCACGGCGACCTCGCGTTCCACAAGATCCTGGTCCGTGATGGTCGCATCACGGGCATCATCGACTGGGAGTATGGTGGGTGGTTTCCCGAGCACTGGGACTTCTGCAAGTCCATGCAGTTCCTCGCGGGAACGGATGAGCAATACGACTTCTGCAAGAAGGCGTTTGGAAAGGCGTACCTGCGCGAGTACTACTTAGACACGTGGTTCACTCGCTCGGTAAGGCATGGCGGGTGGTAATCCTCTCGACACCGAGACTTAGAAGATATACATGGTCTAGCTGGCTTAGAGATACAACCGGAGTTGATGGGCGTTTCATCCGTGAAGGGCAGCTGAATAGCGTCTTTCTGCTACTCGATGGCTGTCTCCTTCTCCGCCTCGGTGATGAGACCCTCCTTAACCAGGACCTCCCAAGGCATCGCGGACCCAGTTCTTGACAGCTCCAGTCCAACGTGGCCTTGGTGGCAACCCCTTTTAACATATAGTACACCATTTACCAAGTGCCCAACCACTCAGCTCATCCGTCAAAAAAAGCAAAGATTAGAAAGGCACCATCAGCATCGCCCCAGCCGCCACAGCAGCGCACCACACAGCAACAAGCGCAGCCATGCCGCCCCCACCCCCTCCCATGTGCGCACCGGGAGCCGCCGCATTCGTCTCAGAGGCGCCCGAGCCGCCGCCCTTCCCCTTCCCCGCGGAACTGACATCCGAAGCCTGGTGGACCATGATGATGGGCGGCGCGTTGCCGACGAGGACCATGCTCGCCGCGTCGGTGGCGGAGAGCGATTGCGTGGACAGGATGATCGGGGAGGTGGCCGTGAAGGTGAAGACCTCGGCGGTGACCGTCTGACCGTAGAGCGGGAAGGTCGCCGTGATTGAGTCGAGGTCGTTGTTCGGGATCAGCCTCTCGCAGTACTCGGTCGGCTTGGGAACCGAGGTCGGCAATGCCGACCAGCAGAGGCCATGGGCGTCCGCAATGTAGGAGCTGGCGGCCCGGTGGTGGTTAGTTTCCTGGGGGGTGGATGAGACGAGATGGAGCGAGCGACATACCTTGGGCAACACATCACGGCGGTTTCGCCGGGATCAAGAGCATCCATCAGGACGTTGGTGCCAGGGTTAAACATCGGGCCATGCCCAGAAATATCACCAGAAGTTGGCTCATCCTCAGAATCATCACCAGAAGTTGGTCGAGTGAACATGCCGGACATGCTGGTGGACGTGGGGTTGACCTTCACGGCAACACCCACCGTCTGATAGCCGGACGGGCAAACGACGCCCGGCGAGTAGTAGGGGATCCAGTGCGCAGCGGGATTAGACGCCACATCGCTCGGGATATGGGACTTGAGGGCGGCAGTGGAAGGGGCGCAGTCATTCACTGTCACGTCGCGGCAATCGAGCGCGTACCAGACCGTCTTCGGTCCCTCCGCGGGCGCGGCGAGCCAGGTGTCATGAATACATGAAGCTGGAGTCGTAAAGGTGGTCGTCAATGGGCCGACGTTGAATATGCTGATCTGCGACAGCGTAGTTACAGTCGGCATGATAAATGTTTGCGTTTCTACAGCAATTTGTAGGTTGATTGTAGGTCAATTGGAGGTTAATCCGTAGGTTAGTCGTTGGTCAATCATTAATTCATCATATAATCAGAAAAAGGGGGGAGAGATCCTTTGTTATTATAGTATTCTCCAGCTTCTTGGCAACGCAACCTCATCATGATCCTGCCTCGCGACGGGCGGGGTTGCATCCAATCGCACATGTTGTTTGCTGAGGCGCAGCTCTCCTCAAGCCGCACACGACAGGGTTCGTTCATATCTTCAATCGGTTGTTGGTGCAATTATCCATGGAGGCTTTTAGGGCAGATCGTCCAATCAGACTCAAAGTTTGATTGTGCCAGCCAACACCACATATAACGACTTAAAAGCTGTAGCAATTTACCTCTAAGTATCAATTTGACAGGGGATTTATGAAGGCTGCATTCAAACCCCTTTTCCTGCCCTACCTACAGTACAAGGTCTCTTGTACCTTCTGTGCAATCAATCTCAGGTCTTGGTCTTGGCTTTCAGATCCAGCTCCACCATTCCTCCTTGCCAAGATTGATATTTAAATTTGCAAGAAATCAAAAGTGCAGATCCCCATGACAAAACAATGCTACTAGTACGAGCCCCTGCCAGGACCTCGCGACATTCGCCTGCTCGAACTTCTCCCCGGCAGTGGCCAGGATCCAATATCAGTGGCCTTGCACATATGCTCCATAGATGCGAAGCCCGACTTCGAGGCCTTGTCGTACGTCTGGGGCAACCGGGGCTGTAGACTGGCCATTTTCTGCGGTGACGCGCGCCTGGATATAACGAAAAACCTTCACGCCGTTCTCAGCCGGTTCCCTCTCCCCAGCAGTCCTCGCTTCCTCTGGGCAGATGCGGTCTGTATCAACCAGGCCGACCTGGTGAGAGGGCGGCGCAGGTACAGCTGCTTCATGCACCTGATATACAGCTCGTGCAGGACATGTCTTGTCTGGCTGGGCCCCTCCGATGAGGATTCTGTCGACGCGCTCAAGGTGACTCGGGACATCTCTGCCATTGTCTGCCGGCGGGCAGGAGTATCCCCTGAGGAACTTGATGGCCACTTGGAGAGGGAAGGGGGATATGCTCCAGGCCCAAGAGATGGGCCTCAATGGCCTTCCCCCTCCGGACTCGCGGGCATGGGGCTCGCTCTTCCACCTCTTCAACCGGCCATGGTTCTCGAGGATATGGGTAAGCAACGGAGACCGACGGGTCTCATGCCGTAGAACTGACAATTGGCCATTGATATAAGTCGTCCAAGAAGTATACTTCGACCGTAACTTGCTATTTACCTGCGGCGATGAAGAGTTGACCTACGCTCAGCTATACTACGCCGCGGATTGAACGTTGACGAACTCGGCGCTCATTGAATAGAGCGCGCTCAGGGACATGTCCAAGTATTTCACCCAGACGCGCTTGAATATCATAAACATGCGCGGCGACCATTTCGGCCGCCAGAACCAGCCCCCCCACAGTCTGCTGGATGGAGGGAAGAGATTCGACGCCACAGACCCGAGGGACAAAGTGTACGTGCTGATGAACTTCCCCGCCTTCTGCAGAGAAGCGCTAGACCTGGTCCCCGATTACTCCGCAACCGTGCAAGCAGTCTACGCCGACGCGACCGAGGCATCGATACGGCACAGCCAAAGCCTACACATTCTGACATGCGTCGACCGCGACCCCGAGAACGTATACGACGGAGATTTCCCTTCCTGGGTGCCCCGATAGCACCGGCCCGACACCAAACCCAACCTGTCCTCCGTGTGGTACAACTTATTCTCCGCCGCCGGCGACCTGCGCACGCCCCGTCCCCGCCCATCCCCTTCCGGACCAGCAATGTCCTCCACCTCTTGGGCTTCGAACTCGACACCATCGCCGACGTGTGCGAAATTGTCTCCCCAGGGAGCGCAGCCACCTCTTCAGCCGCCAAGCCCGCCGTATTCACCCCCTCGGCACCCTGGGAGCCATACATCGTCCCAGGGGATGGGCCATACCCCACCGAGGCCGCCGTCGTCGCCGCGTACGTCATGACGCTCACCGCCGGCTGCCGCGAGCACGACGGCGTCTTCGCGCTGCACTGCGCACCGGAGATGGTTCCTGCCCAGTTCGTCGAGTTCGTCGCGTGGCTCCAGCGCCTTCGGGGCGGAAGCGGTGTCGACGGTGGTGGAGACGACGCCGCTGGGAGCCCTTACCCTCCAGGCCTGTACTCAGAATCGCGGCCGTTCCTGCCTGAGGTGGCCTCCGCGGACGTAAACGCATTGGCGGCGCATTTCCGTACCATGGTCGGAGCGTATACCGTTGGCCGGTGCTTGTTCAGAACGAGGAAGGGGTATCTGGGGCTGGGATCGCATGAGCCGCAGTCGGGCGACCTGGTGTGCATCTTCTTCGGAGGCGCGGTGCCGTTTCTTTTGAGGCGGAGGGATGGTGGAAGTGGTTATGAGCTTGTCGGGGATGCGTATGTGCATGGGGTGATGCAAGGGGAGACTGGCGACATGTGGCTGAGGGGCGAGACGGAATGCCAGACATTTGACTTGCGTTGAGAGAACTGTACTCTATTGAATCCCATCAAACACCTAGCATGGTGTGACAAGGATGGGTATTTCACGTCCAGTTCCTGTTTGTTTCGCATCTTGCTCCCCTGTTCCGTCTTGATATTGGTCTTGGCCCCGATCCCGAGATCGTCTGCGATTTCGTAGAGAACGATCGGCCCATCGAAGACCACTTTCCTATTGAACGTCACCCACCAGGCAGACGCCACCGCACACGACTTCTCCAAAAGTCATTACTTGGTGCCAAAACTGAGCCCAAATGGCATGACAGCGAAAGGACATTTATGGATGAAATCGCCAATACCCAGTTTTTCTGTGAACTGACTCAACCCGTTCCTCATTCCATGGATTCAATGGTACTCTGGAAGTTCACACACAGCTACAGCGCCAAGATAATCGACAACGAGCTTTTTGCGGCCCGCTTTCACTCGATTTCTGGTCCTTCAGTGTCCCCAGATCGATTTGAAAGACTTATTCGGAGCATCAAGTTGTCTGTTTGCCTACACTTGCATTGTTTTGAAACTTTACAGTCCAACCTCTATCAAAGATGGGTTTCCCAGATTGGCGATTCACCGGAATTTTTGCTCAATCTCCAGCAAATGGTAGTAGGACCAGGTCGATTTTGTGAATCATGTCGATTTTGTTTCATCGACTACACGCTTTCCATCCAAGGAGGCAAAGGAAAGGAGGACTGGAACCTGGAGCTTGCTACTTATCATCGCCTTGGTAGCTGTCGTATCTTAGATGACCCCATTTGGTGTACTCTGACCGACATCACGAGAGATCCCACCCGCTACAACGATTGTCAAGGATCTGGAGTGGGAGAAATACGGGGACGGTGGCGTCAGAGCGATGGGGAAGAAGATGTGGGTGAGGAATGGCGATGGGTTTGATTCTCCATCGACCTTTCCTTTCCGGATGGGTTTGACTCCCGGTCGACCTTTCCTTTCCAGATGGGTTTGATTCTCGGTCGACCTTTCCTTTCCGGTGCTGCAGGTAAAGATGAGGTACCTAGTCACCGGCATCCTACCCGCTCTGGCCAATGTCACGGCGCTACGAGAATGCAAATAAAATCGCATTGCGCCAGAAAGCATGTTCATTCCTTGACCGTTTTTGTGTATCCACCTATGCGTCTATGAACAGCTATTGCTTATGAAGAGGATTTGATGCAATGCCAATGAGGAGAGGGAAGTGCCAAGTGGAAGTGGGAAAGGCCAAACAAGCATGCAGCGGGTTTGGAATGCCTCCACACAGGTATATTTTCCCTCCCGTTCCCCCAAAGCTACCGTCGCGGAACAACCTAACCCATATAGGCCCGGCTACCAGGAGATCCATCGGAGCCGTCATCCTCCTCGGCATTCTCCTTCTTGACGCCGGACTTCTCGTCCTCGCCCTCGTCCTTGACCTCGTCCTTGACCTCCTCCTTCTTGACCTTGGCGGCCTTGGGCTTGGGCTTGGCGCGGCTACGCTTCTTGGTCGGCGTCTCCATGGCGGCGTCGGGCTCGTCATCGTCTTCGTCCTCGTTCTTGACGCCGGCGGCCTTGCTGGCAGGGGTCTTGCGCTTCTTGGCGCTGGCGGGGGACGGCGTGACCATGTCGGAGAAGAGCTTCTTCTTAATAGCACCCCAGGCGTTGGAGGCGCTGCGGACGTTGGTCATGCCGCACTCGGCGGCCAGCTTGGTGTAGTCGATCTGGGAAAATGCATGTCAGCGGGATTCAGGAGTTTGTGAGGGTAATGTGAGATCGGATGGGCGTGGAACGGAAATGGGGAAAAAAAGCAGCGAAAAAAAAAAAAAAAAAAGGATGGTCCGCGGAGGGGTGTCAATAGGGTAAACGAACCTCAGGCTGGCTCTTCATGCATTTCCAGGCGTTGGAGAGGATCTCCATCTCTCGCTCGCTGAGCATCAGCTTGTTGCTTTCGGGCTTGGTTGCCATGATTTCTGATGTTGATGTGGTTGTTGTTGCAGGACCTGGAGAAGGTGGTCAGCGAGGTGAACCAGTGACAGAGAAGAGGAAGACGTGAATCTTGCCTGATATGAGAGATGCGGTGTGATGTAGCTTATGATGGCTGCCTTGCTTAACTTCGAAACGGTGCGTCAGCAGAACGTAGGGCGAGGGAGAAAAGATAGGTGCGGATGATGTTCTGGTTTATGTGAAATGGGTGGTATTTTATGGTGGTTGCAGTGGGAAACGCTTGCCTTGGGAGGATGCAAAAGGTCAGGTCGGTCTCTGGTGGTTAGGCAAACTTTACAATGGTCCAAGATGTGATATCAGGGGATTCAGGTGATGTGTTGAAAAGAAAGGGAATCCGGATATTTTCCACTCACCAACAATACCTTTGTGCTTCCTTCCTTTCCAGAAGACTTCTTGGGTTTTCCAAAGATGCGGTACTTGGATTGTCCAGGCAGGTGCGAAATATTCGAATTCGCATGTGTGGTGTGAAAGTGTGTGGTGTGTTCTGAGGATTTTGATGTTTTTCCAACCCTTCTCCAATGGAGCTCATCGCAGCGACACATCTCTGCCCAGGGTATTTGTGCCTGCACTTTACCTTTTTCCACCGCTTTTCTTTTTGACCGCCTTACTCGATCGATGGTATTTACCTTCCACACCGCATCCGTTATTCCATCATCACAATCTGCCCGAGTCCCCTCAAGCAGCCTCTTCTTCCGCACCATCAGATTCTTCCTCGGGGTTTCATCAAAATGTGGCCGGGTATGTCACCAAGTCTTCTCCATTGGGGACTTATCTGACCTAAGCGCCTGAGACGGTGAGGCAGTCCTCTTTCCTGGGTCCTAACTAATTCACATTCCACGGCCACGGGGACGAATCGCTGCGCTCTTGGGCATTCCATCCAGTTCTTCCACTGCGGATGGCCAACAAAATAGAAAGGCCCTCGAAACAAGCCCACCCGCCGACTGCGGCCTAAGAGACATCGACGCGCCCCTCGAATGGATAAGGAATGGAAGAACCTCGACTGGCCTGGAAGATTGATGCGACGTGGCCGGTGTCATTGACTAGTCGATGGGCCAGTTGTGTAATGCTGGGTAAAGTCATACTCGATGCTCGACCATTTCTAGCAACAACCCTTGTCAGCAACGCGTCGTCCCGCTCAGCAAGGAATGCGCTTGTCGGAACCTACCAGGAAGAACTTCTTTCTCGCATGCTCGTCTCCCTCCAGCTCTTTCAAGATGCCAAAGAACTTGTCCGTCTCGAGAACTGTCCAGGGGTCGGTCTTTGACAGCCGATTCATATTCTTGATGCTTCTCTTGTCGACGAATTCCATGAACTTCTCCAGCCTCACCTTCTCGTAGAGGTCAAGGATTTCATCGCCCGCCTTCCCCTCGTACAGCCCGATCAGGCACTCGGCCAGACCTCCAGCATCCAGGACAGCTGTCATGCATCCATACCCGCCCCAGGGGTTGCAGACGTGGGCAGCATCGGCAGCGAGCAGGATGCGGCCCACTCGCATCTTCTTGACGCACCTGTTGTGCATATTGTAGATGTTCGTCTCTCCGATGCGGTACTGATCCGGCTTCGGATTCCCAGGCAGCATCTTCTCCAGCCGCTTCGGACGGCGCTCAAGGTACTCTTCATCTGTCAGGCCGCCGACATCGCCGTAGGTCACCCGCCAGAGACCGCCCTTTCCCCGCCGTGCGATGAGGCCCCAGGTGTCTTGGTCGACCATGTAGTTGCCCCCTTCCCAGCCGTGCTTCTCAAAGCCATCGTACCACACCTGTTGGACATCCAGTCAGCCACTAACCAAACGACACCACTCTCAAGGCCTCTACTGCAGGGAGCAAGCAAACCCCTCACATTCTGCACAACAATCTTTTGATCAAAAGTCTGGCCGGGCCACTCATGCCCGAACAGCGACTTCCTCACCGCGCTTTTCGCCCCATCACACCCAATGACATAATCCGCCTCGAACCGCTCCTTCCGCGCCCCCGTCGCCGATCCAACATCCACATCCGCCCACGCGACGCCCCTCGCGTCATCCTGCCCCACGCCAACAACACGATGCTCGAACCTCACCTCCACCAAGCCAGCAAACCTCTCCCTACAATGGCGGAGCATGATCTGCACCAGCTCCCCCAGCGGAATAACCGTCATGCGGTCCGGGTGCCCCGCCACGGGGTTCAGGTCCATCTCGACGAGCCTCTGGTGGTCGGCGACGCGCCACCACGTGATGGTCGGGTAGGACGGGATGGACGCCGCGCGGATGTCGTCGAGGATTCCCGCGCGCCGGAACACGCGGGTGGCCGGGACGCCGTACTGCGTCGCGCGCAGGCGCGTGTCCAGGTGCGGCCAGGCCTCGAGCACGAGCGAGGGGATGCCGTGCTGGGCGAGGAGGATGGCGAGGATGAGGCCCGAGGGGCCGGCGCCGGCGATGAGGACCTGCGGAGGGTGTTAGGGTGGGGGGTTGGCATAGGGGGTTTCTGGGACTTAACTTCTTGAAGCCCTTGGGCTGGGTTGGGTCGCCGTGGGATCCCATCTTGACGGAGTGGGTGACTAAAGTTCTTGTGGGGTAATTATGGAGTAGCCTTGAGCGAGGAACAAGTGTCTACCTACCTAGGTAGGTATGCAACGACCTGATATATGTGAATCTTGAAGCACCGTTGCCGCCTACCAAGCCTTGATCAAAATCACGCGGTCTAAATTACTTGGGCTGCACGTAGCCCCGCCTCCTTTCCTCTTTACCGTGCTAGCAGCCGGGGATCCTCTCCATCTGAATTTCCCCTCCAATCCCCCGCATTTCAAGCCCCGAATCTCAATCTGATGACGCAACTAGTTCCCCATTTCCCCATGGCCCCCCAGCGCTGACCCCATCGCACCCCTGAGAGTGGCTTCAACTTCGCCCGAGGAGATGGCTATTAATGCCAAAAGTGGTTATCACGCTTCAAACGAAGGTGCTGTGGCGGGTTAACTATGCCGAAGGACCCTTGATTCGTTTTTAGCAGTCAGTCTTTTGCCCAGCGACTAGTGCTACCGGCAAGCGCTATTACTTGTCGCTGCAGTCAGCGTATAATTCGACGGGATTTGAAGACGGTCGCTGTCTACCAAAGAACTCAAAGCTGGGTAATTAGAGGTGTCTCCGAGGATACGAGAGGAAAAGGAGCGTTGAAAAAAGAGTGAAGGAAATTATTGTCCCAACTCGAGGTTCAAACTATTTCCGGATTTTACCAAGTCACTGCTGAGAGAAGCCATGAAGTGAGCGAAACCCAATTCGAGGATGTCTTGTCACCAGAACTCCGGAGTGCACGGCATGAGGCTTCGAGAACAACTTTCCGCGTTGGTCGAGGCCAGGCATCTGGGTCACATTGGTCGGGAGCTTTGTCGACAAATCGCCGGGCCTGGAAAGTGGATTCTTCGAATCTGCCGAGTTGTTGGCTGTATCCCATGCCACAGTGGGCTGCCGAACCGGACAAAAAATGTCCCTAGTGAGGAGCTGGAGTCCTGGTTTGACTACCCCAGGCTTGGCTACTTGGCGATAGCTGGCCAAGTGCGAATGAAACAACTTCAATTAGTAAATACTCCATAAAAATTCGGTATTCCGGCTGTCTGGGCGGATGGCAAGGAGCGATAATGCTGAGGTTTATGGAAATTCAACGTGATACAGAGTACATGTTGATGCCAGAGTACCCAACTTCAGTGATGACGGGTGGCAGATTAACGGTAATGTCGTTGCTAGGTAATTTAGATTGTAGACGGAAACCTAGGTAGGTATTCATGTTGTATATGGGTATATCGCATGTTCATCATGCTTACTGTCGAGGACATCGTCGTCTCCGGACTCGCCTGGTAATTATATGACACCCCCCTTCCTATTTTCATGTCTCCAAGCTCTCGACTGGCAAGAGGAAACCGGAGAAGAAGTCGCCAATCTTGTCGACATCTTCAAGTGCACAGATCTTGGCCGTGTCTGTATCGTTTCAGCACGTTGAGTGAGCTCATGGGGACGGGGACCGGACCGGGCCGGGACCAAACTCCAAAAAGCACTTACATTGATCCGGCCGCACAACCAGCAACGCACCGACCTTGGGGTCAATCCTGTAACTGTCATATACGAGTCCGTGGCCAGAGTTGTAGCTCTCTTCATCGACGAAGACCTTGTGCAAACCTGTGGAACAAGATCAGCAACCCAGTTGGGATACAACAACAAAACCCAACAGCAGGGCAGGCCTACATTTCACCGGCAGTCGGCCGGCAGCGCCTTCAGCAGCTGGACGGCGCGGGCATCACGGAATCGCACGACCTGAGTGCTGGGGAACTTGATGCCGACAGTCACACCGGCAGCCAGGCGTCCGTCGTCCGGGCCAGCACGGCGAGACAAACAGATATCACACTTACCAATACGTATTTCGCATCATAAACCTCCTCCACCCCGTTCCTCACAGCCGTGACCCAAACACAGTTTGCGTCGGGGTCCCCCGCCATCGCCTCATCAACCTCGATGCTCCTCACCTCGTACCCATACTCGATCGGCGGCACTCCACTCCTCCCCAGCTCCCCAATCATCAGCTCATTCAGCCTCGCCTGGTTAAGAATGACATCCGGGTGGTGGCTCAACGCAGTCTCCTATCAGCCGCAGAATGCGACCTCCTAATCCCCCCACCACCACCGCCGGCAGACCAGAACGCGACCTCCAGCACGTGTTACGCTTCCTTGAGCGTGTCCTCGTCTATGCTGAAGCTGTCAAACACCTCGACTGTGCGGCACTACACGCCGTCGGCCTACCCGACCTCCAGCGCGCCGGGCCGTCGCTCCAGCACCCTGTAGTCGACGCCGTGCCGCGCGAGGCAGATGGCGGCGCAGAGGCCCGCCGAGCCGCTCCCGCATATCAGGACATCGACTTTGGTGGACATTGTTTGCTGGACGGAGTGGGTGAGTGAAGGTTGCTTGGAGATGGACCTCGGGCGTTGATTATATATGTGTGGGGCTGGTCGGATTCGTCGCGGTCGGCAGTTGCAACAGTTGGCGTCGGCACGGCGACCGGCTTGCACACGGGGCGGATTTCTGAGGTTGTAACGGCGCAAAATGGTGCGGAGCTAAGCAATGGCGTAGAACCGCGTGTGCAACCACCGGAATTGGAAAATAGGTATGTACAGTACGGTACATACTGCAGTGTCACTCTCGTCTCGACATGCAATTCACCTATAGTACAGTACAGGCAGAAGTGTCACACGCGGGTTACTCTCTACAGCTGTTCCTTCTTCCCTCGAAAGAAACCACTCAACGCCCCCATCAGCCCCTGCAGCCCCTTCTCCTCGCTCCCCTGCGCCATCCCCCCGCGGATCCACCCGGGCAGCTTCCCCTGTATCCTCTCCGTGCCGAACCGCCGGTCGACGAGCACGATCGCGGCATAGTCGTTCTGGTGCCGTATCGCCCTGCCGATGCTCTGGTTCACGGCCCGCATGCACGCGTTCTCGTAGAAGTCCCTGGCAGCCTGCTTGGCCGCTGCCGCTGCCGCTGCCGCTCCTTCGCGTCCAGCAGGTGGGCCGTCGGTCGTCGGGCTACTGGTTAATCGAGCCAGAGTCGAAGATTCGATGTACTCGAGCCTCGCCTTCCACTCCGGAGAGTTGATGTTCGGGTACGGGAGGCCGATGATGACGACGCACCGGCCCAGCCGGTCGGAGAAGTTGATCCCCTCGCTCATTTTGCCGCCCACGACGCTGAGCAGGAGGGCTCCGCGAGCGCTGGACGTGTTACTACCCCCCGCTCCTCCCTCGCCCAGAATTGCGGCGCTGTATTCCTGAAGCACTTCCTCGCTGGACCCTCCCTTGGTCTCCCTGAAGACGGCCTTCTTCGACTCCAGCCGGTCCCACAACGTCTTCGCGCCAGGGCCGCCCGCTGGATCGGGGGCCTCCCACGTCGCTACCACTTCGTCGAGGTAGCCGTAGCTGGGGAAGAACACGACGACTCCGTCCGGAACGGCAGAGCAGATGTTGAGCATCGCAACTCCAAGCTGGCGTATCATCCCCTTGTTGCTGCGCTTCTGGAAACTGAACTCGAACACACCACTGCTTGCAGAATCACCGGCTGCATTTGTCTTTGCAGTGTTGGGCCGCATCGAGGCAAGCGTCCAGACACAGAGGTTGGAGCTCGGGATGACGTGCCCACAGCTGAGGGTGGTGATCTTGTCCACACCTAGATATGGGAAGAGATGGGCCTTGTAGTCGTCAAAGGGCGACATTGTTCCTCCAGCGAGGATGACCGCCCGCGCACTCGCCGCGATCGAGGAGAATGCGTGTGTTGGCGATAGGAGGAGATAAGAGAGCTTGATATCCGAAGGCGGGCCAGGTAGCCTCTCGTAGAACACGCGACCTTCGCTGGACAGGTTGGTAAGTGCCGCGAGGAAGGACTGAAGAGTGTGCAAGACCGGTGTCGAGGATGTTTTGTGTGTTGAGGAAGCTTCCGACTCTTCGATGTGACTCGCGTAGCCTTCGACCTTGTATGCCAATTTCGATTCTCGGATATATCCTATGAGCTTGTAAAGATTCACCTGGTCGGCCCCTCTCCCCTTGAGGAGAGTATTTGGATCCGTGATTCCCCGGTCGCCCTTGGGAATAGCATGTCAATGGGAAGCCACTCGCGTCAGTTATCGGGGCACAAACCTTGACCTTTAGAGCACCATCCAGCCACTCGCTCAGCGCATCCACGACTCGAACAACCTGGGCAACCATAACTCGGTTCTCGCCCTTGAGTTTTTTCCCAAACCTCTTGACGTATATGCCGAGAATCTGCCTTGCCTTCCGCAGTTCGCTGAGTCGGATGTCGGCCGCATGCACGTTCGCCACAGCATCCATGATGTTGTGTGCCTCGTCGATGATGACAATATTACCTTCTAATTTGATGCCGAGAGCGTCCCTGGCGCTCTTCTGTAGAAGCAAGGGATATGGAAGAGTGATAATCTCCGCACCTGGTATGGCGGTCCGCGATGCGTAGTAGGGACAGACTTGCAGTGACTTGCCAAGCTGGAACATATCCTCGATGTCCGGAAGGGTGGCCAAGGCTGTGTCACGGAATTGGTGCGTATTACTTAAGTTATCCGACTTGGGTACAAACGGGCATTTGTCTTTGGATTTTGGCTGCTGGAGCTCCGTACATCGATCGTTGATCGCACTCAACGAGCCAAGTCGTGCGACGGATGGATTAACGCACAGTCTTTGACGGGAGGAAAGTGGAATGTGCTTCACCCCCTCCCCGTGTGGACCGGTTTTAGCTTCTTCGCGAGTCGAATCGGCCATGTTGGGGGGCATGGAAGGAGGGAAGACGGGCCGACGAAGTTCGGAAATGAACTGCGAGAGCTGAGAATGTGTTCTCGAAGTGTAGAAGACCTGGACACATAAGCTTCTGAGCAGCAGCCGGATATCTGCGGCTCTGGGCAAGGGTTCACCTTGAGTTCGTCATCCTGCTCTTCTTCCTCGTCCTCCTTCTTAGACACGCCGAGACCGACCTTCTCCATCAGAGCCCTTGTCTCTTTGCTGAACATGGACATTGGATCATCGTCTCCAACTTCATCGTCCTCATTCCAATCATCGAGAAGGAACTCGGCTTCCTCGTCGGTGGTTGCATCTTTAGTCCTTGAGGTGGGTTCCTCTATCCGTCGCCGCTTATTGCTACGCTGCTCCATCGACTTTTCTTTTGCCCGAATCCTCGCCAGTCTTGCTTCTCTTTCCTCCCACCGTGTTGCCAACTCGTCGCGTTTTCGACGTAGAGTATGCTCAATAATCCAGTCTGGTTCGCCCTCCATTCCTGCCTTCGAAGTATTGATTGATATTTCATACTGCTCTTTCTTGTAGTTCCTCAACCATGACAATGCGGAACAGATGAGCGAGAGAGATTTTCCCTACAAAGATGGGTTAGTCATTGGGGTGGCAGGCCCCTTTGTATGGACAGAAGGGCCAGAAGACAGAGGAGTGTTTCCGGCATCAACCACATATCCTCGCAAGGGGAAAATGGGCTTGTTCCGTTATTGAGGCCATGACATTACGAGAGCGGACATATACCGGATATAGGATAGAAAGCTAATAGGCGAGCTGGATGCCACATACCGTTCCCGTAGGACTCTCTAATATGCCAACTTGGCCTTCGCCTCGCTGCAGCACGTCGTAAACGGCGCGCATGAACTGGAGCTGGACATCGTAAGGAGTGAAGGGGTGATGGAAATTGATAATCTCATTGTCGCTAGTCAGTGATGTGAGTTGGTCCGGTGCCATTGTAGAGCTTCTGGGATGCCCATTATAAGCGCTTTGCAAAATCGCTGCTGACTCGAACCAACCGGGCAGCTGTGTGGAAAAGGGGGATTTGGGAGGCACTCGACTCAGAGTGAGCCTTCTCCGGGGGTCACGTGATATTGCCGCTCTCAAGCCGTCGCACAGGCGAGTACGGACTGATTTCAAGACAGGATGAGGCTTCTCGGCTGTACTTGGGCTGAACCGCGGAATTGAAGATATCGGATGTACTGATGTGGATATGAAGGGGGAAAGATCCCAGGAACCTCAAGACGGTGCTCGCGTCCGGTGAGACTCCGGTAGAGGGTACTCGGGAATCAGGTACCCATGTACGATGCTCCTGAGAGTGCCATGAATAATAAGAGTGGTCCGTGCCTGTGATGTGATTGCAAATTCAAGCTCACCTGACGAGGCACATGGCATATTATCGGTTTAGGGTCCAGGGCTGGCTAACCCCATTGCCGACCCACTCGCTTAATCAATTTCATTGGGCGCGAGACTTATCAAGGCCACACGGAGAACCACCCACACCAGACCTGGAAATTCGGCCGACTTCGAGGAAAATTTCCATCAGCACATCAACAAACCATCAGCATCTCAGGCCGCCGTCAAGATGCCCACCAGATTCTCGAAAACCCGCAAGCAGTACGTCTACTTACTTCCCGAAGCCTTGCATCCCGAATACCTACCTGCTGCCGTGAAAGAGATGGATTCGATGTCCGGGGAGGAGATTCCTTCAATCGCGACGCGGGGCAGTTTGGGAGGACCTCGATGAGGTTCTCCACGGCGGCAGCAGGAGGAGGGCAGACAATGGATGACCGGAACGAACAAGCTTGCTAACGTATATCTTCTCTCAACAGCCGCGGCCACGTGTCCGCAGGAAAGGGTCGTGTTGGCAAGCACAGGAAGCATCCAGGTGGTCGTGGTCTGGCCGGTGGTCAACACCAGTGAGTCGCAGCCCGGAACCGCCGTCGAGATAGCAGCAGCTGCTCGGAAAACCACAGTGAGCCGATTGCTGACCATGCACACCCACAGCCACCGTACCAATCTCGACAAGTACCATCCCGGTTACTTCGGTAAGGTCGGTATGCGGTACTTCCACAAGCAGCAGAACCACTTCTGGAAGCCCATCGTGAACGTCGATAAGCTCTGGTCGCTCGTCCCCGCCGAGGTTCGCGACGCCTACGTCTCTGGCGAGAAGAAGGACACCGTCCCCGTCCTCGACCTCCTCCCTCTCGGCTACTCCAAGGTGCTGGGCAAGGGCCGCCTGCCTGAGGTTCCCCTCGTCGTGCGCGCAAGATGGGTCAGCAAGCTGGCGGAGAAGAAGATCACGGAGGCCGGTGGCGTCGTCCAGCTGGTTGCATGAAGGGGCTGCCGTATGGGACTTTCGGTTTTGCACAAGGCGGGGGAAGGGGATAGGTACCTGACCTGCTGAAGGGCGGAATAGGCCGGGCATCTTGGCAAGCAGCCACGCGGGCTCAAGAGGAAGAAACTCGGAGGCTCACTCGCTGGCTGGCTGGACTGGAGGGAGAAACCTCGGTCGGGCGTTTGGCATTTGCATGAAATGGATTCTACAAATGGTGTTCTGACTGAAAAAGAAAAGACATTCCCGCCACTTGATGATGACTTTTTTTTTTTTTTTTCCGCGGTGAGGCTCGTTGTTCACTACCTATGATGCTGGATCAACCGGCCAAGTTTCCACGACCTTAAACGAGCGAACCAATTCCAATCGATGACGAACCTTGGGTTCTCGCTTCAAGCCAGTTCGAGGGGAGCAAATAAAAGGTAAGCAATCACGCGACTAGTAGATGTACAATAATCTATACACACAGGAATATCAAACCCCTCCGGACTCCCACACATGCCAAAACTCCACCGTAATTACGCCTTCTTCCTTACTTTACACCTTGAGGATATCCATCTCGTCGTCCTCGCCAAGCTCCGCAGACTCCTGGCCATCCAGCCCCATGCGCAAGAAATCATGCTGCAGTGCCTCTTCGGCGCTGATCCTCCTGCTCGGGTCCAGGTCCAGGCAGCGGCCGAGGAACTCGAGGGCCAGCTTCTCCTCGTCGGTGAGGCCCTCACCCGAGTCGCTGCGGCACGTGCTCCAGAGGATGATACGCTCGAGCGAGAAGCCGGCGGTGCCGATGGTGGGGATGCTCGTCTCGAACATGCAGCCGTGCAGCTGGCCCGCGGCGCGCATGCGCTTCTGCCCGAAGATGGTGGCGATCTCGATCATGGCCTCGACGTCGTCGGCCGAGTTGAAGAAGGGGAACCGCCGCGACAGGATGGTCAGCAGGATGACGCCCGCCGACCAGATGTCGATCTTGGTCGTCTGCTCCGTGCACTTGAACAGCACCTCGGGCGCCCGGAACCCCCGCGTGCCGGCCCGGTTCGCCCGCCGCGACGGCCGCGTGTCGTTCTTGGGGTAGCCGTTGTTGGGCGCCGACGACGCGTGCAAGGCCGCGCGCAAGCGGGACTTGCGCGTCGTCGGGTCGTCGTGGCACACGCAAGGCTTGCAGTCGACGCCCTCCCGCTCGGCGAGTCCGAAATCCACCAGCACCCCGCGCTGCGTGGTCGGGTCGTAGAGGAAGTTGGTAGGTTTGATGTCTCTGTGGAGGATGCCGTGTGCGTGTACCCCATCCAATGCCAGGAACAACGCGCGCAGGTAGATGGCCGTGTCCATGATGGACATATTTCGGAAGTACTCCCTGAAGTCCGAGTGCCGAAAGTAGGGCAAGATAGCCACCACCTGGTCGGTTTGGCGGAAGGCCGTGATCAGTGGACACACCGAGGGGCAGCCGCGCAGGTCATGGAGCAGTTCGAGCTCGTTGAGGATCCGGTGCGGCGACGAGGTCACATAGATCTTCTTTATGGCGACATATTTGGGTCGCCGTTGCCGCTGGTGTTGTTCCTGCTGTCTCCTCTGTTGGCTCTGCAACTGGGATGTTTCCTCTAGGTTGCTGCTGGAGGTCTGGCTGACCAGGCGTTTGAGGGGAGGAGTTGACCACTTCTCGTTCTCTTTTTCTATGTCCCAGCCATTGTCGTAGCGGTTGTATTGGAGGTCTTCGGCTTTGTAAACGGTAGAAAAGGTGCCTGCCGACAATCGAGTGGTTAGCTTTTGAACTTATGCTTGGAACTTGGGCCAATTGGCAATCCATACCTTCTCCAATCCTCTTGATCAACCGGTATTTCTGTCGGAAGCCTGGGAAACTGTTCTGCAGCTTCTCCATGTCGATCTGGACGTTGGCATCCACCCTATCGTCATCCGAACTCTCGGAATAGTTCGACTCTTGACCGTCCAGGTCTTCTCCCCGGTGGGCAGCATCGTCTTCTTCGTTCCCCTCGGCCACATCCTCGTTCATCTCGGTATCTTCGGTGGACGGGACATCTTCGTGTATCCGAAATGAACCAGCTCGTCGACGGCGGATAGTTGCCGACATTGCAAGGACGAGGGTGGAGGGAAGCTCGAGGACGCTGAGGAGGGGAACCACACGTTTCGAGCCAGAGCAATTCAGGCCTCAGCGGCTCTGCATGAGTATACCGAGGAATGTATAGCTCAATCAATCAATCGACAGCAAATCCAGACGAGGAAACAATGGAAGCCAATTGGCAGGGATTTGCTGATATTTGGAGGGGTACATCTGGTACCTGTGAGGTATTCCATACACTCTGACGCGATTTTAGTTGGTGGTCAGTGCACTGCGGGGAGTCGCGTCGCAGCTTTTTCCAAAGAAAACAAACAAACCGTTGCTAAGGCGCAGACAACACAACTGTCACCCACACATCGAGAAGCCGAAGTCGAAGCGGTATCATCACGGCGCAAAGCTTCCATCTTTGTGCGTTTGGCACTCGGCTCCAACCGCCAGCATCCGATATTTTTGACAGTCCATTTCGCTGTTTCTTCTTTTCTTTCTTACTGACCTTCGTCTGCACCTGTCGCAGAGCAGCAAGCACCCCCGCCCTCCACCGTCCGCCATGGACAACATAAACTTCGACATCAACGATGCGCTCAAGCATTATATGAGCGATCCCGCCTCCATCCCCACCCCGGAGGCGGATGGCGCGCTGGTTGACTATGAGAGTGACCCGGAATCGCTGGCGGACAACGGCATCATTAATGGAGTGCTGAACCCCATCGTTGATGCCGTCGCCGAGAACCCGGACGCAATCACACGAAGCGCCCACTTTGACTCGTTACAGTTCCTTCTCAAGTGCGCCCCCATTTCTTCTGCCCCAGTATCATATTTATCCTTGGCTTTGTCTTCGTCTTCCTCTGCTCGCCCACGGTTGCGCCCTCCTGGACGAGAACTAGGTTCTGAGCTCTTCAAACAATCTAGATACACGTCTTTCCTCTCGGCCCACGCCCTGAGCAAGATATTCGACCTCATCACATCCGGGCTCGCCACCGAAGCCGACATCATCCACAACGACCTCGAATCCGACGAGCAGGAGCTCGTAGCGCATCACAAGCAGCTGCTCGAGGTTTACGGCTTCCTCCTGCAGTGGACAATCGCCGCCGTCGAGACCAAAGCCGCCGAGAAATCCTCGACAACATCCGCAGCACGCGGCCGCGGCAAGCCCCGGGGCAAGAAAGATGCAGCAGCCAAGGATAACAGCTGGGACTCGTCGGCCCAGCTCGAGACAGCGCTCAATACCATGTGCAAGGTGTTGCGACTCAAGCTGGGGAAGATCTTCCTCACCACACCTGAGAGAGATACCTTTGTAGGGCTACTTACGAGACCAGTCTACATGATTCTCGAGAGCGAGCAGCGGGCCAAGAACACCAGCATCCGCATGCACGCCTTCAAAGTCTTGTGTGTCGCTGTAAAGCATCACGGCCATGGATACGGTATGCACAGTCTTTCTATTCCAACAACTAGTGTTCACCTTTCTGACTTATCGAACAGCCGCGCAAATTTCAATCGTCCAGAACTTGACCTATTTCGAGCACCTGTCAGAGCCGATGGCCGAGTTCCTACATATCCTGGCAGAGCAATACGACTATCCACAGCTTGCGGACGAGATCTTGAGGGAACTCAGTAACAAGGAGTTCAATAGCAATGATACCAAGGGCCCCAAGTCTGTATCTGCCTTCATGATCAAGCTCTCCGAGTTGGCCCCGAGACTGGTGATCAAGCAGGTGACATTGATGGCCAAGCAGCTGGACAGCGAGGTAAGATTCATAAGTCATGCACCATTTCCCACCCTGTAGTCCAGCCTGGGAATCCTAACTCTTCACAGTCGTACACTCTTCGGAGCGCCTTGATCGAGGTGTTTGGAAACATGCTTGCGCATCTCACCAAGACCGACGAGCGCAGCGAGAACCACAAGACGCAGATGAATGCCTTCTTTGACGTCTTGGAGGAACGCTTCCTCGACATCAACCCTTACTGCAGATGCCGGACTATCCAGGTCTATGTCAAACTCTGCGATCTCGACCAGAAATTCCCCAAGCGGCGCCAGAAGGCGGCTGAGCTCGCCTGCCGAAGCCTCGAAGACAAGAGTAGCCACGTCAGGCGAAATGCCGTCAAGCTGCTCGGGACACTCATCAGGACACACCCGTTCACTGCCCTGCACGGAGCACAGTTGTCAAGAAAGGACTGGCAGGAGCGTCTCGAGAAGGTAGAATCGGAGCTCAGTGCTCTGAAGCCCCCTGCCGGCGCCCCCGGGCTGGGCGAAGACAAGGCCAATACCACTGTTGATAACGAGCTGCTTGACGAGGCGACTCAGCTAGAGTCACCTAAGAAGCAGGTCTCGGAAATGACCGACGAGGAAAAGATTGCGGCGATCCGAAAAGCCCAAGAAGAGGCTGCCACGTCTGAGGCGATTGAGAAGCTGACGCTCACCAAGCGGTACTACAGCGAGGCCTTGAAGTTCATCGACGTGCTGCACGAGGCCACAGGAACGGTCTGCCAACTCCTGGGCTCCAAGAACAAGAGCGAGGTCATCGAGGCGATGGACTACTTCGAGATCGGCGACGCCTACAACATCGAGCAGAACAAGGTGGGCATTCGGCGGATGCTCAGGCTCATCTGGACCAAGGGCAATAGCGACGAAGGCAAGGGCGTCCAGACACATCTCATCGATTGCTACAAGCGACTGTTCTTCGAGGCGCCCGACGCCTTCAGCCCCAATGATGCCGCGAACTATATCGCTCGCAACATGATCAGCTTGACCTTTGGTGCAACTCCGGCCGAGCTCACATCGCTCGAGCAGCTGCTGAGCACGATGATGAAAGGCGGCATGATCTCGGACATGGTCATTGCCAAGCTGTGGCAGGTGTACGGCGTGCAGAGGCGGGAAATCTCGCGGACCCAGAGGCGAGGCGCCATCATCGTCCTCGGCATGCTCGCCACCGCCAGCCCGGAAATAGTCGTCGGCGAGATGGAGACCATGCTCAGGACAGGTCTCGGTGCCCATGGACGCGCCGATCTGCAGCTGGCAAAGTACACTTGCGTTGCTCTGAGCAGGATCAACCCTACCGGCCGGCAATCCAAGGACTCTGCGGTTAAGTTCTCCAGGTTGCCTAACGAGCACGCCGTCCTCGCCAAGCTCGCTGCTATCACCGAGGTGCCGTCCGAGAGTAAGGAGTGGTTCGGCGTGGCCGAACAGGCCATCAATGCCATCTACGCCGTCGCGAGACATCCCGACGTTCTCTGCTCCGAGATTATCCGCCACAAGACCAAGCAGGTCTTTTCCGCGCCTCAGAGCTCCCGGCCCAGCTCGCGCGACGAAACCCAGCATCCAGAACCCAACTCGGGCGCCGGAGACGAAGGCGAGGACGGTGCAGAGACGACAGTTATCGGACCATCGCAATCTCAGTCGTCGTCGGCCGCCAAGAAGTCGAACAACAAGGACGGCGTCATCGCGCTCTCGCAGCTCCTCTTTATCGTCGGCCACGTCGCCATCAAGCAGATTGTGCACCTCGAGCTATGCGAGCTGGACTTTAAGCGGCGCAAGCAAGAGAAAGAGAAGAATGCCGCGGCAGCCTCCCTCTCAGCCTCGACGTCATCGCGGAAGTCGGCCGCGGCGAAGGACAAGCCCCAGGACCAGGAGGAAGAAGGGGACGAGCTTGACCTCATCGGCGGCACCACGGAAGACGACTTCACCGACGCCATGGCGCACATCCGGGAGCGCGAGCTCCTCTTCGGACCCAGCAGCCTGCTCGCCCTCTACGGCCCCCTCGTGTCGGAGATCTGCGCCAACAACACGACCTACAAGGACCGCGGCCTGCAGGCGGCGGCAACGCTCTGCCTCGCCAAGCTCATGTGCGTGAGCGCCGAGTACTGCGAGGCCAACCTCCCGCTGCTCATCACCATCATGGAACGCAGCACCGACGCGACGGTGCGGTCCAACGCCGTCATCGGGCTGGGCGACATGGCCGTCTGCTTCAACCACCTGATCGACGAGAACACCGACTTCCTGTACCGGCGGCTGGCGGACCCGGAGCCGAGCGTCAAGCGCACCTGCCTCATGACGCTCACCTTCCTCATCCTCGCGGGACAGGTCAAGGTCAAGGGCCAGCTGGGCGAGATGGCAAAGTGCCTCGAGGACGACGACAAGCGCATCGCCGACCTGGCAAAGATGTTCTTCTCCGAGCTGAGCACAAAGGACAACGCCGTGTACAACCACTTTGTCGACATGTTCAGCCTGCTCAGCGCAGACCAGTCGATACAGGAGGAGAGCTTCAAGAGGGTCATCAAGTTCTTGCTTGGGTTTGTCGAGAAGGTAAGCCTTCGATCTGTCTTTGACCAGCTGTCTAGACGTCTTCTTTCCCCTTTCTCTGAATCAAATCTACACCGTGCCATGACTGACGATACCCCCAAAACAGGACAAGCATGCCAGGCAGCTGGCGGAGAAGCTGGCGGCCCGCCTGCCGCGCTGCGACACGGAGCGGCAGTGGAGCGACGTTGCGTTTGCGCTGGGCCTGCTGCAGCACAAGAACGAGGATATCACCAAGCTGGTGTCGGAGGGGTTCAGGGTGGTCCAGGCTTCCGCTTGAGAAAGTGGTGTGGAGTTTGTTGGTTACGTACCTACCTTTCCTTTGTTTCCTTTATCCTGGGGCGTCGTTGGCGTTTCGGGGATATCCTGCGCGGGGTTGGGATGCGTGTATGCCATGGTGGAACGGTTGGTTGGTTGTAACGATAACCGTATGGACAGTAATTATGACAATGCTTCTTGTCCTGAGACCTTGCCTTCGCTGCTGTGAGTGTGTTGTACGTGCCGAGTCCTCCTGTATTTGCCGATCTGGTGATTTGGTAATTCGACGACCCCCTTCAACAATGAGCAAGGTATTTGTTCAGACGTCAACAAATCAGGACCAAGATCCTTCAGCTTCTTTTCCTCTTCATTTTCACAGAAATTCCATTCCATGGGCCTATTCTCCCAGTCAATCAGCCGTACGTATATACAAACAACCCAGCCGGATTCCTACCCCCGGGCAACTAATCCCCATCCTCCCAGACCTCTTCCGGTAGACGTAGAAGGCACCGTTGTAGGCTTCCAGGCCCGTTCAACTCCCGCTCCACTCCACTCCACTTCCTTCCGCCAATCTATTTTGACCGGTCGCTGGGCGTGACAGCGAATGTCGGGCGGACGTATCTGCAGATTCCCAATCATCGATCAGTCCTGGGGGAAGTCCATTAAGGGGTAGAAGGACGCCAGCGAAAAGACAAGGGACAAAAAGGGTGGATGGAGAATAAAACTGACCTATCGCCATGGTAGACCTTGAAGTTCTCGCCCATGAGCTCCTTCTCGCGCGCCTGGTCGGCCAGGTGGCGGCGGACGAGGTCGCGGTCCTCCTCGGCCTGCAGCACGGGGATCAGGTGGATGCGGCTCCACATCTTCTCGCGGGCGTACTCGCTGTTTTTTTCGGACTCCAGGTTAGCTTTTTCCCTGTAGGAGAGAAGGAAGGGGGGGGGGGGGGGGGGGGGGGGGAAGGGGGGGGGGGGGGGGGGGGGGCAGGCAAAACTTTTGCGCGCGGAACCAAATTACCACCGTGAACCACCCGGCGGCCATGTGGCGGCCCCCGCCCCCGAGGGGGGTGGGGGGGGGCAA